GCGGAGTCTGTAACCTGAAGTGTCTGTAACCTGAGGTGCCACTGTACTAATGATAATAATAATAATAATAATAATAATAATAATGTGTATGTAGCCCAGGTCAGTGAAGGAAAGGGCCTATTGAACCCTTGCCCCATCCTTTAACTCCCTCCCCTTGCTTTATTTTCTTGACTGGACTCTTTTTCTTTCTTTTTTAAGGATAGTGGAGGAAAAAAGGTAGCTGGTGAGAGGTTAGGGACTGAGGAGGATTCCACCCCATCTCCTTTCCTAATCCCTCTCAATATGAAATTCCCACCCACACCAGCTTAATGCCTTTCTGGCATGATCCACCAGCCCAGTAACCACCCCATCTCATTAGTTAGCCCCACAGAGAAGACTGTAGATTCCCGTAAAGAGAGAACAATGGTCTCTGCATGCCCTCAGCAAATCACTTCAACAGGCTCCTACGTTTCAGTCAAAACCGGTCTGAGCCATGGAGCCACTGGCGGCCTGGGCGGCACTGTTTGGAAGGACATTTTTCCCCCTGTAGGGAAAGGGGAATGAAATGTCAGAGAGCAGCTGGAATAGTAGCAGGTGGGGGGGGTGAGGGGCTCTTCTCATTTCTAGGAAGGCCCCAGGATTCCTCAGCTGCTTCTCTCCAAAACATAGCGGGGTTTGGTATTCTCCCTGCATGAATTCCAGCAAATGAAAGGCAGGCTTCTCTGAGGCGCAACACTGTGAGGTGCGGACAGGGAAGAAACCGCAAATAAATTACCAGCGGGTATTGGATGCCATTCAAGACCAAGGTGGTGAAAGACTGGCTAAATGAGGCAAGCGAGGACTAAGAAGAACGCCACAACCGAGAAAGCTGCCTTGTGTTGAGTCAGGCCAAGGGTCTTTCAAATCTCCTGAGGAGGCCTTTCTCTTCACAGGCACATTTGGTGAGGACACGACAGAGGGCTTTCTTAGTGGTTGCCCCCAAATTGTGGAACTCCCTTCCATGGGAGGCTAGGCTGAACCCCTCTCTGCTCTCCCTTCCCTGGCAGGCAAATACTGCGGTACCTCGGGTTACAGACGCTTCATGTTACAGACTCCACTAACCCAGAAATAGTACCTCGGGTTAAGAACTTTGCTTCAGGATGAGAACAGAAATCATGCGGCGGCAGCACGGTGGCAGCGGGAGGCCCCAGTAGTTAAAGTGGTACCTCAGGTTAAGAACAGTTTCAGGTTAAGAACAGACCTCCAGAACGAATTAAGTTCTTAACCCGAGGTACCACTGTACTCTTTTTGTTCAAGCAGGCCTTTGGCCGCTAACTCAGCTGTTGTGGCAGGGTCTTTTGAGGGTGGGTACTGCTTCGAAATGGTTTCCAGTGCTGCTTTGAACAATTTATTCAATTGTTTATTCAATCTACCTGGGGATGATGATGATGATATTTGTATCCCGCCCATCTGACTGGATTGCCCCAACCACTCTGGGATGCACAAGAGAAATCAACAGGTGCAGCTTTTCATGACACAGGCCAGAGGTTGCCAACACCAGCAGAGTCTTCCCTGGCACCCAAAGGATTCCCCATGCCCCACTGAACCAAGGCTTGAAAGATTCATTTAGCTGGGAGTCAAGAGAACAGGTTGGGGGGGTGTGCTAGGTTAGGATGCATGGGCATTGTCCACAACACTTTGCAATGTGCCACGGGTTCAGAAAAGGTTGGCAACTCCCAGCATAGGCAGAAATGGGCATGATCACCTCCTGACACCTGCAAGTTTAACAGCTGCTGAAATTTGTTGTTGTTGTCGTTTAGTCATTTAGTCGTGTCCGACTCTTCATGACCCCATGGACCAGAGCACGCCAGGCACTCCTGTCATCCACTGCCTCCCACAGTTTAGTCAAACTCATGTTCGTATCTTCAAGAACACTGTCCAACCATTTCGTCCTCTGTCGTCCCCTTCTTGTGCCCTCAATCCTTCCCAACATCAGGGTCTTTTCCAGGGAGTCCTCTCTTCTCATGAGGTGGCCAAAGTATTGGAGCCTCAGCTTCATGATCTGTCCTTCCAGTGAGCACTCGGGGCTGATTTCCTTAAGAATGGAGAGGTTTGATCTTCTTGCAGTCCATGGGACTCTCAAGAGTCTCCTCCAGCACCATAATTCAAAACCATCAATTCTTCGGCGATCAGCCTTCTTTATGGTCCAGCTCTCACTTCCATACATCACTACTGGGAAAACCATGGCTTGAACTATAAGAACCTTTGTTGGCAAGGTGATGTCTCTGCTTTTTAAGATGCTGTCTAGGTTTGTCATTGCTTTTCTCCCAAGAAGCTGCTGAAATAGGGCCAGGTTAAAAAAAAAAAAAAAGGTTGGCAGTCCAGTTTGCTTGTTTGTTAGTAGTATTTTTATGCTGCCTTTCCAGACCAAAGTCCTCCCAAGGCAGATTATGTACAAATTTAGAATATGAACTACAGATAAAGATCAATTAATTAAGATGATAAAACTAAAGCAATAGTCTAAAGCTCTCTCTACAGTCCAACATGTCAAATCCAGTAAAACAATTCAAAACCGTTTAAAGCCAAGACTGCAACAATTTAAGCAACATAGGTTTTGGCACATCTCCTTTCACAGAAAGCAAGAGTGAAACTAAAGGGGTTTCAAGGCCTGTTTGAAGGCTGATAAAGATGTGAGCCACACAAATGTCCCCTGGGAGGAAGTTTTGCATGTATGGGGCCACTCCAAGAAGGCTCTGGGCCACTTCAGACTGGTGGGGTTTTTTTGGTGGTTATATACTGAAACATGTCACTGATGCAACAATAGAGCATTCGTGGTGGATTTATAGTGGACCAGCCACACGAATCATTCTGCTTTATTGGTTGCTTTGCAATGATTCCCCAGTGGTAATAATAATAATAATAATAAATTTTATTTATATCCCGCCCTCCCCAGCTGAAGCCGGGCTCAGGGCGGCTAACAACAATAAAACAGTACAAAAGTACAGCACAAACAACACTCTAAAATCATTCATTATAAAATTAATTAATTCAAGCCACTGGCAACCATTGGGCCAGAGCTCCGCGAAGATTGCCGAGGGAGGGAGTCAGGCTGTGCCCTGGCCAAAGGCCTGGTGGAACAGCTCTGTCTTGCAGGCCCTGCGGAAAGATGTCAAGTCCCGCAGGGCCCTAGTCTCTCGTGACAGAGTGTTCCACCAGATCGGAGCCACGGCCGAAAAAGCCCTGGCTCTAGTTGAGGCCAGCCTAACTTCTCTGTGGCCTGGGACCTTCAAGATGTTTTTATTTGAAGACCGTAAGTTTCTCTGTGGGGCATACCAGGAGAGGCGGTCCCGTAGGTACGAGGGTCCTAGGCCGTATAGGGCTTTAAAGGTTAAAACCAGCACCTTAAACCTGATCCTGTACTCCACTGGGAGCCAGTGCAGCTGGTATAGCACCGGGTGAATGTGATCTCGCAGCGAAGACCCCGTAAGGAGTCTCACTGCAGCATTCTGCACCCACTGGAGTTTCTGGGTCAGTCTCAAGGGCAGCCCCACGTAGAGCGAGTTACAATAATCCAGTCTGGAGGTGACCGTCGCGTGGATCACAGTGGCTAGGTCAGGGCGAGAGAGGTAAGGAGCCAACTGCTTAGCTTGGCGGAGATGGAAAAATGCCACCTTTGTTGTAGCTGCAATCTGCGCCTCCATGGAAAGGGAGGTGTCGAAGATTACACCCAAACTCTTAACGGACGGTGCTAGCACTAATTGCACCCCCGCAAGAGATGGGAGTTGCCCCCCCAATCCCATATCGTCCCGTCCCAGCCACAGGACCTCTGTCTTCGAAGGATTTAGCTTCAACCGGCTCCCACGTAACCATCCAGCCACAGCTTCCAAACATCTGGTCAGTGTGTCTGGGGCCAAGTCAGGATGGCCATCCATCAACAGATAGAGTTGGGTGTCATCAGCATACTGATGGCAACCCAGCCCAAAACTCCGGACAAGCTGGGCAAGGGGGCGCATAAAGATGCCACCTTATTGCCATGTAGAGGGCGACTCCTGCACTAAAGCTGAAGGAAAAGCCCCACAGAATATCTGCAAGTATAAAAAGTTACAGGATTTCAGCAGGAAGCTATGGGGCATGTACCCATTGGAAACAAAGCACTATGTCTGTCCTGGAACTTTTGCAAGTGGAAATAGTATTGACAATGGGATTGTGTATGGTCAAGCATCACGAATGTGTATAACCTCACAAGCATAAATCATCAGAAATGTACAATAAAAAGGACATCTGTGCTGGAAGTGTTGGAATGCAACTCAGCTTGTACTGGAGGCTGATGTGTCTGCACTGGGGAGAGCACAGCAGAGCCTCCAAATTTCCTAGGCTGCAATCGTCTCTACTCAGAATTAAGTTCCACTAAATTAAATTGGAGCTTACTCTCAGGCAAGTGGAGTTGAGATTGTAGCTTTAGGCACCTCCTCCGTGCCTATCCTGCCGCCCCTCGCCTTGCCACGGGGGCTGGGAATCCCGCACTTTCCTCGTGGCATGTAGTTCCATTCAAACAGTGCATCTTACCTCTTTATAAAAACAATTTGAGCGGCTCGATTCCATCAGCCGGTGACGGCGAGGTGCCTGGTTCTCACTGAGATGTTAAACCTGCTGCGCCTGCCCGCGTTGGGCTGTAACATTACAAAAAATAAATAAATATAATCGCTGTGCGTTAAAGAAAAACCAGCATGCCAGGGGCAAAAGACTAAAATACAACCCTAAAATCGACGGGAGGTATCATCATCATCATTTTGTACAGGGGATCACAGACAGTGCAATCTAATAATTGCACCGCCTGCACAGAAGTAATCCCCAGAAGTTAGTTGAACGGGGAAAAGCGGCGCAGGATTGCAGCCAGAAAACCCTGCGAGCCTCCGCCTTGCCCGTAGCTCATTGGAAGAAATTTGGGACTAGCGGCTCCCTGGAGAACTACATTTCCCAGCATGCTCCACCGTCCGCTGGTAATGATGTGTCCGGAGAGGCGGTGCTTGCGAGAGCTCCTTGCTGTGTTGTCAGCTCTTGGGAAGAGAAGTGTGAGCTGCGGGGAGCGGGGCTTTCGAGGGAGAGGAAGACCCCCACTTCGTGCACCACCCCCCACCGCCGTTGCCTTTCTAGGCAGCCCAGATCTGGGGGCCACGAAGGAAGGAAGCCGTCCCTGCTGGTAAATGAAATGCATGGGGGGTGGGGTGGCGGTGGGGCAGAGAAAGGGATCCGTCTGCTCCAGCCAAAATCACAGCTTGGGGGGCGGAGGGTGCTTGTAAACATGCCAAGGAAGGAGTGGGCGGCCAAGCGAAGGAAGTTTTAAAAAATCTGGGCCTGGAGGGGGGAAGCACCTTGGAGAGGAAGGGATGCAAATATATGGTAAATGGGAGGCGGTTCTGCACAGTTGCTTCGGGGAAACGGTGTGTGGGTTAAGAACAGTTGCTGTGGGTGTTGATAAGGGAGACGGTGTACGTGTGAACGCTTTGGAGCGCTGCTCTCGTTCAGAGAAGCTGGTGGGTTGCTTTTAAAATGTAGCCTGGGGAGGAGAACTACAGAGTCTCTGAAGTTGGGAGTGACGTGCTTGCTCCCCCTTTGGACGTGCTGGGCCTAATTTAAGAGCGAGTAGAAAAGTCTAACCCAGCAGAAGTGGGTGCTGAATGTTGTGGGTTCGAGATACGCAGACACCTTTCTGGGTATCTGAGCCCACGATTTAGTTCAGAGCCTGGGACTTGCTAGTGTCGGCCTTGTTTAAAACTCCTGCACCAAGCTTTGCTGCTGCGTTTTAGCGTGTGCACCTGTTTGACTTAAGCCAAGAAAAATGAAGGTTCTTGGAAAAGCATGAGGGGTTAGGACAGGAAGGGGAGAGGGGATGGAAATCTTCCCAAGTGTCTGCAAAAAAAAACACCAAGCAAGAGCAAGTGTCACTGAGGTCACATCCACACCAAACATTTAAAGCACTCTCAAACTGCTTTAACAATTGTGCCTTCCCCACAAATAATCCTGGGAATTGTAGTTTTTAAAGGGTGCTGAAAGTTGCTAGGAGACCCCCTTACAGAGCTACAGTTCCCAGCACCCTTAACAAAGTACAGTCCCCAGAATTCTTCATGAGAAACTATGGCTGCTAATTTATGGCATGGATGTAACCTAGATGGCTATGTTGTATTCTAGAGTTTTGGGGAGTTTGTTTGTACAGAAAATGTGTACAGCTCTCTGTAATGTTGTTGGAGGTGGGGGAGCATGTGTGTGACTTCCTTGGAACACCCAGCTTAGGACAGGAAGCAGGTTTGGGCACAACACCCCTGCCCTTTGACCTCTTTTTCTAATATGTCTGCTGAAGCAGCCAGCTCCATCAGCTCATCTGCCTCAAGGCAGAACTCCTTTTCACCCCGAGATTCATATTCTGATGTGGTCAAAAACCCCTGTGGTGCTATGGATAAAATTAAATATTGCCCTTGTTCAATGTGCCTCCCTTCCCCATGATGCTTTTCTGCAGCAGAACATAGTGGAACATCTTTTGTGATTCTTACTGGGTTCGTGTCGTCCAAGAGCAAGTGTAGACTGTATTGAGTTTGTGCCATGAAAGAGTGAGGTCATCTCCAAACCATACACTTTAAAAGTGCTCATATGTCACTTGAACAGTCATGGCTTCCCCTGAAGAATTCTGGGAAATAAAGCTTATTCCCCTGAAGAATTCTGGGAAATATAGCTTATTCCCCTGAAGAATTCTGGGAAATATAGCTTATTCCCCTGAAGAATTCTGGGAAATATAGCTTATTCCCCTGAAGAATTCTGGGAAATATAGCTTACTGAGAGCGCAGAGATGGGAGACCCACCACAGAGCTACAATTCCCAGCACTACACTTTCCCAGGATTCTTTAGGGAAAGCCATGACTGTTGAAGTGGCGTATGAGCGCTTTTAAGTACATGGTGTGCAGGGCGACTTCTCTCTTTGATGGCACATCAATATATGTAGGGTTGTAGATGTGCCCAGCAATGTAGGGCAGTAGAAACTAACAGGCCAGCCTTGTGGTGCCTTAAGAGGATTTGCATTGCAAAGAAGCTAACCAAAGCAAATTGGAATCTATTTGCAACCCAGCAATGGGTTGGAGAATCTGGAGGCAAACATTGCAATTTATATGCAATATCTTTAGCCGAAAGCCCCAGAGCAGGAAAGGATCGGGAAAGTGGAACCTCCCTACAAATCTGACCTCTTATCCATATTCTCAGTTCCAAGAGAAGCAGGACAAATGTTGACTATATATGGGAGAACTGTTATTTTTGGGAACTATTTGGAGGAGTTCCGCCAACAAGAGACCGGTCACAATCGCTCTCACCCAGTCCTCCTTGGATCTTGCCTCAGTTGGAACGTTGCACATTGTTTTCAAACCATTGTGTTTATGTGGAATTTGAACAAAAGACTGGATCCAAAAAAAGCAAAGGGGAAAAGCAGAGATGGTTATTTCAGCTGTCACTTAGTTCTGATATAGTCTTGCAGTGGAATAAGGTGGTAGAGGATATACTATAGCAGACTTCAGGAAAGCAGATCGCTCCCCAGTGTAAAAAGGGCTATTGTCACTCTATGCATGCAGAATGTCCCCGGGTTCAAGCCCTAGGTATCTCCAGATGGTGCTGGGAATGTCCCCACATCTAAAACCTTGGAGAGCTGCTGCCAATCAGTCTGGACAGGTGGCCTGACTCGTATAAGGTTCTTAAAAATGAAAGGCTTCCATGCAAACAGCATATTAGCACATTGGAGACTGGGCTGGGCTAGAAACTACTGTAGTTGTTTACTTGCAAGGAGGTACGGCTCTATGAGAAATGGCACCACCCGCCCACTTGCAGCTCCAAAAGGAAAAAGGCTGCTGTAATAACTGTGTAATGACAGACAAACTGCCCTGTGAGGAATATATACTGGAAGGCAACTTTATATATCTGGTAAATAAATACTGACTTGGAATTCTACCCTGCCTCATACTTTTGCTTGGGCAGGCCAGGTTATAGATTTGGGTCTAAGACGTGGGAATAGGGTAATACTGGAGAGATTTACTAAGCTTGGGAAAGATAGGTTTGGTGGTTTTTTTTGTGGGTTGGGGGTACCTTTATCCAACATGTGGTAGATGATGTGTCTATTGTTTGCTTTGGATCCTTTCAAACAACCTAATTCCTCTTGATTGACTGCAAAAGACAATGCCTATTGAGAATAAACTTGCTTGTCCGAAACCAGTCCCACTTCATCCCCAGTGTTTGGCCATTCCTTTTACCCCCAATAAACCTTCATGTTGAAATCCGTTTACAATCGCATACCGTTTGGGGGGAAAAGGTTTGGAAATTGAGAATACGATGGGCTAAAAGGAGGCTGCTATTTCTGGAGTTTGAAACACGATCCTAACTTCCTTTATGGAAGAAATCCTATCTGTGAATGCACTGTGTGCTGCCTTCGCTTCCTCCATGCCCACAGTATAGCTTTAGTGGGTTGTATATAGTCTTAGTCCTACTCAAGAGTAGACCTACTGGAACGAATGGGCATGGCCAATGCTGGTCCGTTATTTTCAATGAGTCTTGAGCAGAACGCTGTTGGGTGTGACCCAACATTATTCTGTTTATCCAGACGTTTTGGGTTCTCTCCAGTCGAGTGGGATGGCTAGAGTCATGCTGCAAAAAGGTCACTTAGAAAGAGGCAAGTCAGTAGTCCAAAGAGCACCAGCTTGAGGCACAAGTGATGCTGCAATTAAAGAATCACCAGCCACCAGAATGGGAAGAGCCCTTAATTATCCTGTCCTATGGTGCACTTTGCAAGGATGAGATGAGCAAATAAGTGTGACTACTGCACCATGCATGGGCAGAGGCGGTGGCAGGACAAAGGGATGGAGGAGACCTAGGGACACATGACACAGCCGCAAATTGACTCAGACCATTGGTCCACCCAGCATTGCGGTGTGACACTGCAGAATCTCACCCTGCCCTGCCACCAGAAAGGTTTAAATTTGATGGTTGAGCATTGCACTCTCTGCATGAAAAGCCTGTGTTCTGCCATTGAGCTGAGTTAAAGAATCCTCAGTCCAGGCTCCTCCTGCACAGCCAAACTCTAGTTCAAGAGAGCTTTAAACTGCATTTAACTCTGGAGGGCGGGGGGTTACCCAGCTCTTTGAACGGTTTGGTTGCCTTTTTCATCACCTTTTTCCAGCGCTACAGTATCCTTTTTGAGGCGACACCAGAACTGTGCAAGGTATGTGCAAGATAAGGCATTATTGACACTGGAAGATTCGTTTTTGATCCCTTAGAATGAAACTGGCCTGGTTCCTCGCAAGGATCGGCCATAGTTTATTAAACTGAGGTTTATTAACTCGTAGCTTGTTTGACCCTGCTCAGCAGCTTAACAGTGGTTTGTTTGCCGCCAACAAACCATAATCCAAGTGCATAGTTTGTTGTTTCGATTACAAGCGTTTTATTTGTTTTAACTAGGGTTTGGTGTTACGTGCAAACCTGGCACCCTTCCTTAACCCATGGTTTGTTTAGCCAGGCCACCCCAATCCACCCTGGATGCTCACAAAGCTGCAAAGACATGAAAAAGAAAGTAAAGTTTGGAGGAACAAGGTGTGGTTAATAATTGTCTGTGGGACAACTTGCTGTTAATCATGGTTTACTGTCATCATATTGTTGCAATAATAGGGTCAGATGTTTATTTCCTTAAAAAAGAAACCACCTTTAAAAAGTTACACAACCCATGTTGTTTGATTAAATTGGTATCCTTGCTCAGATTAGCTTGCTCAAGCCTAGTTAAATTTGCATAGAACAGTTACATTATGTCAATACAAAATGATCCTCGACTGAGACTGTTGAATTAAACTCCCTCAAATAAAAACCAGGACTTAAGAAATCAAAGGCAGTTGCTTAAACAAACAGCTTAGCAAATAAAGATATCGAAATGTTAGAGCTGGAGGTTTCAGTTTCTGGCTGAAGTAAGCTGCCCAATATAGTCTAGTCTCGATACTCTTGTATTTTCGTTCTGGTTGGCCGAAACACAAGTTGCACAAGTTTAGCTCGGTGAGCGCAGAGGCTGAGCAAAACCAAAATACCTTCAATAGGAGTGTATACAAAGACCACTTAAAACAGATTTGTGATCCATGGTGCTGTTTAGGGAGCCTGGGGCATACATGTCTCTTTCCAACGCCACTCTGGAAACTACAACAAAATGTTGCAGTGTGGAGTGTTCCCTGTTGAGAATTCCAGCCATTCTATTCCCCCTCATTCCCCAAATCGTTGGTATTCCACGCTCACTAAGCATGCCTAGTTCTTATTGGAGCTGTTTCTGGGGTTCCCACCACCCCAGGCTTTCCTTTCCTGAAGTTTTTGGGGGTTTTTAAGTTCTGCAAACTTTGGAGTTCTCCCAAGCCTGCTAATACTTTCTTCTTGTTAGCTTCATAGCAAAAACACTCACGTCTGGAATGTTGGAAATACAGTGGTTAAGAACTTAATTCGTTCTGGAGGTCCCTTCTTAACCTGAAACTGTTCTTAACCTGAGGTGCCACTTTAGCTAATGGGGCCTGCCGCGCAGCCGCCGTGTGACTTCTGTTCTCATCTTGAGGTAAAGTTCTCAACCTGAGGTACTATTTCTGGGTTAGCGGAGTCTGTAACCTGAAGCGTCTGTAACCTGACGTACCACTGTAGAGGAAAACAATCAAAGCCCTGCAACAAAATGGTGCAGATTATCCCTGGTAACCTGAACCTGCAGCTGAGGGAGGTTGAAAAATAAAAGTTACTATCAAATACATATGCGAGTTCCTGTTCTAATTTGGTCTTTTACTTTATGTGCAATGGAGAAAAATGTGGGTGTTTTTACATTTAAAAATGGAACCAGTCTGCTTGCAAGTTAATAGAGCATGAGGTTTCTGCAGGCAGCTGGGTGCTGGGCTTGCTGTTGGAGGCCAAATAGTCCCATCTGTGGCCTGAAATACAGCAATGGGTCTAACTTTACAGGGCTGCCGAAAGCTGTTCTTCTCCAGCACAGCCCTCCAAGCTGCAATAGGATTGTAGCAGTGAACTACACTACAGGGTTGTAGTTGCCCAACTTGCAATGTGGGGATTAAAGTAGCAGACAGCAATGCAGATTTGTTGGAAACCAATCAAGAGTCTGGCCTGCAGTATTTGGTGTGAGCTGCACTCAGGACTGTCCATTGTCACTCTCTCTCAGATGCAGCCAATTTCAGCCTGGAAGTATAAGGGCAGTGGTCTCGCATTTGCTCTGAAATTTGCATTAGCGGTGTTGGAAACTATTCCATTCGTTGCTGCCTTTTCCTTTGGTGTGTGTGAGAGAGAGACAGTGAGGAAAGTGGACAGACACACTGATGCCTAGCCCTAGCTGAGTTACAACCTTGGATTTCTCTACTGGCGTCTATGGGCAGTTCTCAGTTCTGTCTCTGGGGACATTCAAAAATAGCTGCTCAGCGTAAACCAGAAAGTGACATAGTTCCTTCTGCCCTTTATATCAGGGGTGTGGAACGTTTTTGGCTCCACAGACCATAGTATTATCAATAGCGTCCTCGCAGGCCAAATGTGACAGGTGGGCAAACTATATGAGTGAGAATTTTGAGAATATGCCTGCGAGTTTTGAGATTGCTCTTTGGGCCTGAAGTCCCCATCTTTCCTTTATCTGTCCCTGCAGTCATCTTCCAGCCAGTTCATTCCATCTCCCCACCACTGCCACACCCCTGACCTCTCAATATTCCATGGCATTTGGTTATTATGGGCCTTTCTAACTTTTGTGTACGCATGCCTAGGATGGCACTGTAAACAGCCATCTGTGCTAGTTTTGCATGCCAAAGGAACAAGTCCTGTTGGTGTTCCTTTAAAATAAGGGACTCATCGCGAACATTGTTATTACGAGGCATTAAAAAATAGCCACTTAACAAAAACCACACCTTTGCTATTTTAGAGTTTCACGCAAAATGATCTCTCTGTCTCTCACTCACTTCTCCCCCCCTCCCCAAATACAGAACACATGCCGAATAAGTATAAATGTGTATCTATTGAGAAATTGCTTGGATCCAGGGTCTCCTGTCCTCATTTCATGCTTCAATGCAAAGTTAATAAATTCAGTGTCTCATCTGTCCTTGTAGTTCTCTGGTTAATGTAACTTAAGACAGGAGCGCATTCATCAGGCATGCTTGCTCTGGTGCCAGCTGTTTCCAGCTGTTTATTTGCTACCAACCAGCACCACTTGTGCTCTCTCTATATGCAGCCAGATTTACCATTCTGATGGTTCCTAAGACTTTTAATGAACACTCTTCCTTAAATGGAGTTCACTTCATATGTAGCCTTGTTGCCTCTGAAGCTTTTAACATGATCACTTATTTATCCTTTGCAATCAGAGGCTTTAAAATTTAACCACAACAAACACTGTCAAAATAGGCCGGAGATTTGTTTGGTTTTTGTTTGCAGTCCGAATGTGAACATGAACAAAAGGAAGCTGTTAAAATCTTATCAAAGAACCTGCTTCTCCCAACCCCTCTCCAAAAACATATTCTGAAATGGAGCTGGTTTAGAATGGTGGGAAGGGCATCCAAAAGCGAAGAGCAGGTCTTTTGGAGAAAAAAAGTGAAATTGGTGTGATATAGAGACATTGCTTTCCCATGCTGTCATCTCTGGTTCAACCAAGTTTTGAAGTGTTCTTTCTCCCCACCCTGCCCCAAAACACAATGATAGCAGGATGAGTACCCCACTGTCAACAAAACCTCCATCACACCACATTTTAGCTTGCTTTCAAGACGCACACTGTGAATGCTTGCGAGCTGAGCCGGGTACTACCAGAAAAGACCCCACTAGACCATAGCTGTCAACTTTTCCCTTTTCTTGCGAGGAATCCTATTCGGAATAAGGGAATTTCCCTTTAAAAAGGGAAAAAGTTGACAGCTATGCACTAATCCCCGTGAAAACAAACAAAACTATAAGCTCCAGTGTTTTCAGCCGATATGGGAGAGTTCCCTTTTGGATCCCAAATGTGGTTCCATGTTAGTGGAACGAACCACTGTGTGCCTCCATAAAAATAAAGGGCCCTTAGAGCCAGCCACTACTTGCCATCTCTGAATGTCTTCTTGATGGCTGTGGCAGTCCTAGAAGAGGGATGGAGGACTACCTATGGTTTTTCAGATGTTCCTGGATTCCATCTCCCATCTTCCATGTTTCTGTTAACTAGAACAACATCCTTAATGACCATTTGTACCACTTTCAGGCTTCAGGTTAGCCGCAGCCATTTATTTCCATCTTGGCCATTGGCCTTGTGGTTGCGGGGGGGGGGGAGTGGGTTTCGGGAGTCGCATCTGAAAGGCCTAAGGGATCCCTATCCTTGAGGAAAACAAGAAAGCCAATATAGCTTCCCAGAAAAGGTGCTCTGTCTGGCTCTCCAGGTACAGATCAAGCTTTTTCCTGTGGCTCATTTCATTTGCTAAACAGGCAACATCAGTAGGAGTACTGGGTGTTAAGGATGCAGCTTCAATTCCCTAAATCTCAGTTCAGCCCAGAGGATCTAGCTGTTGCGTTTACTTAAACTGCACTGACATGAGCGGATCCATGAATGACTTTGCACAACCAACTAATCCTGATTTGTACTGTAATGGGCTTGCTCCAGATGCAAGGAGGCCTGTGATAAATCAACTTGTTTCAACCTGAAAAGGTACTATTTAGGTCTTATTTTTTATGTGCTGGACCAGCACAACAGCCCTGCCAAAATGTTAATGGAGTTATAGCTATCTATAGCCCTCCCATCAGATGTTAATGAAATAAACAACTACAGTGGTGCCTCGCAAGACGAAATTAATTCGTTCCGCAAGTTTTGTCGTCTTGCGATTTTTTTCGTCTTGCGAAGCACGGTGTCGGAAAAGTTTTGGAAAAGCTTCAAAAATCACCAAAGTCTTCAAAAACCTCAAAAAAGGCTGCCACACTGCGTTCTATGAGTTGCTCCTCCTCGAAGTCAAGTCGCGACTGTATTAACGGTGTTAAGAAAAAGGAAACAAACTTGCAAGACGTTTCCGTCTTGCGAAGCAAGCCCATAGGGAAAATCATCTTGCGAAGCAGCTCAAAAAACAAAAAACCCTTTCGTTTTGCGAGTTTTCCGTCTTGCGAGGTACCACTGTATCTGACTTTTAGAAGACATCTGAAGGGAGCCCTGTTTAGGGAGGTTTTTAAAGTTTGATGTTTTATCGTGTTTTCAATATTCTATTGGGAGCCCCCAGAGTGGCTGGGAAAACCCAGCCAGATGGGTGGGGTATAAATAATAAATTGTTATTGTTATCTATCTATTGCCAGCTTTTATGGTCTACCCATCACCAGTTGGTCCCCAGGCAGGTTACGCAGGTGGCGCTGTGGTCTAAACCACTGAGCCTCTTGGGCTTGCTGATCAAAAGGTCGGTGGTTCGAATCCACACAACAGGGTGAGCTCCCATTGCTCTGTCCCAGATCCTGCCAACCTAGCAGTTCGAACGCATGCCAGTGCAAGTAGATAAATAGGTACCACTGCAGCGGGAAGGTAAACGGCATTTCTGTGCGCTCTGGCTTCTGTCACAGTGTTCCATTGCTCCAGAAGTGGTTTAGTCATGCTGGCTGCATGACCCGGAAAGCTGTCTGTGGACAAATGCCGGCTCCCTCGGCCTGAAAGCGTGATGAGCACTGCAACCCCATAGTTGCCTTTACTGGACCTAACCGCCCAGGGGTCAATTACCTTTTACATTTACCTTACATACATTTTAAAAAAATACAACCCAATCCGTCTTCAAGGGCAGCCCCAAGTACAGTGGTCCAGTTAGACCCTTCTCTGCAGAGGAAGGACCATAGCTGCTAAACCAGCTGTCGCTGGCAGTAAGCGTTTCTTGTCACCAAAACTACTTGATGGTTCACAAGAGTTTTCAAGGATCTCAGGTATCAGTGCTTGTTTAAGCAGCATATTTTGGGGTGAATGGGAATGTAACTCTTTACATTTATTTATTTTATGCTTATTTAACACTGCGTTCGCTTCATAGGAATTTGCAATGGTCAGTGTTTGCAGCGTTAACTCGCACGTTTGAACAGCTCGCGACCCTGCCAAGCTAAACGTCGCCTGGCAACCTTGGCAAGAGTATTTCCCACCCTGGCAAGGCCACAGGTTCTTGGCTTGCCTGTCTTTCATCCCAGGATAAGCAGCGGCATAAATAAAAGCAGCATTGCTTTTCCTGGTGGGCAGATCAGAGAGTCTATTTTATCTCAAGTGATCACCTTAAGGGTTTTCTTGCATTGTTTGCAAGGGGCAGGTACATACGGTGTGGCTGGTCCCCACTGGGAGTTCATGCACATTTGGGTTTGAGGTGTGGCTTTGCTGGCAGACGAAGCCGGACTGCCATGTTTTGAATGATGGGAAGAAACAGCGGGCTTCAAGCCCAAACTAGAGAAAGTCCCACTCAGAGCAGGTCCATTGAAATTAATGGACCTAGGTTAGTCGTGGCCATTAACTTCAATGGGCCTGTTTTGAACGGAAAACTAGCACTGGATGCAACCCAGTGGGGTTAAATACCAAAGCAGATGCAGTACAGGTGGTTTAAGGGAATGGCTGTGGCTCAACCAGAACAACTGTAGCTCATTGGTAGAACATCTGCTTTGCATTCAGAAGGTGCCTGTTTCGACTTGTGGCTTTTCCAGGTAGGGGTGTGAGAGATCCATGTTTGAAACCCTGGAGATCTGTATACACCATACCGTTTCCTGCATTGCAGGGGGCTGGACTAGATGACACTCGGGATCCCTTCCAACTCGACAATTCTGTGATTCCATGACCTTACTGGACCAGAGGTCTAACTCTGTATAAGGCAGCTTCCTTTGTGTTTCAAATATAGAGAGAGAATTCAACAGTGCTTAGTTTCAGTTTTGGTTGTTCGTTAGTGTTGCTAATACAGTGGTACCTTGGGTTAAGAACTTAATTCGTTCTGGAGGTCCGTTCTTAACCTGAAACCATTCTTAACCTCAGGTACCACTTTAGCTAATGGAGCCTCCCGCTGCTGTTGCGCCGCCGCCATGCGTTTTCTGTTCTCATCCTGAAGCAGAGTTCTTAACCCGAGGTACTATTTCTGGGTTAGCGGAGTCTGTAACCTGAAGCGTATGTAACCCGAGGTACCACTGTATTGTTTTGTGGATTAGGAGTGCTGTATAGTGGTACCTTGGTAGTCAAATGGCTTAGCTGTCGAACAAATCGGCTCCCAAACGTCGCAAACCCGGATGCGAGTGTTCCGGTTTGCGAACGTTCTTTGAAAACCAAACATCCGGCATGGCTTCCAACAGGCTGCAGGAAGCTCCTGCAGCCAATCAGAAGCCACGCCTTGGTTTTCAAACCATTCTGGGAGTCGAAGGATTAAATTCGAGAACCAAGTACCACTGTAATGCTTCGTGAATTTTATCATACAACTTTTCTTGCGTTTGTGCTGTTTTGCCTTTTTGTTGTTATTGCTTTGTTAATAGTGTTTCATAGAAGGCAGTTGTGTTTTACTGATGGTTTGCAATCGTTTTGCTGATGATTTCGATAATCATTTTATACGATTACGCTGCAGTTGTGATGTTCTGCTATGTTATCACTTATCGTATATAAGCCGTTTGGGACTCACGTGAGTGAAAGGCAGAATAGAAATACAAGAAACGAAACGAGTTGTTCAATAAACGCAGCAAAAGGGGAGGACCTTCTCATTTTAACAGCAATACGGGTGCATGGGTAAGGGGTGCTAAATCCCACCCACCTACAATTTACCACCCTGCAGCACCTCTTCCCAAGCACCATTTGTCAATCAGTCCATCACTAACGGATGAGCCCAGACAGAGATTTGGGAGTGGGGAGTGGGGTTCTGCGTGCTGCACACCATTTTTCCTTTTTTTGTTTTGTTTTGCTTCTAACAATGTATTTTCCTTTCTCTCTCCTCCACCCCCCACCCCCCTTTCTATCTAAGCAGAACGGGAGCTGTCCCTAGTTCCACTCTGATACATCAATTCTGCCCTGCTGGAGAGGTAAGCAAGGATTAAAGTTTGACAGCTTAGCAAACGCTCTCCCATATTTGCGCAAGTCCTTGGTTGGCTGCAGTGGTATGAAACCTCGGTCAGGAAACCGCTCAGTTGTGTCTGTCTTTTACGAGCAGAAAAAAGAAAAAGAAAAATTGCTTCAGCCATCTGAACTTTGCTCTCCAACGCAAGGAGATGTTTTCCTCTGCAATCCCAGTTTTGAAGCCTCGGTGGACGATTGAAGTCCCCTCCCCACCTAATCATAACCACAGAGCTAATAAAGGTTAGGCTTCAGGGCTGTCAGGCCCTTACCTCTCCTAACACACATTTGCCTGCTTGGGGACACGACTTTGCGCCGTGCTGTAGTCATCAGTAAAACAAAACTCCACTTGCAAATTTTTAAAAAGCCTCATAAAATGCTTTGCCGAAACAGGTTGTTAATTTTTATAGCTCGGTATTTTCTCTCTCTTTTTTAATTGGTCTTTTAAACTAACGCCCAATTGCTGCCAGAGTTCCGGGATAATAGCTGGAGCCTCTGCAAGGCAAATGTTCATAAATAGAAAGGGGCTATGGTAGTGTGTGTGTGTGGTTGTGTGTGTGTGTGTGGAGAGAGAGAGAGGTAGAAGCTCTTGGACAGAAGTAGTGTCTGATAATGCCTTTTATTGGCCTGCTTCATGTGCCGATCTCAGATCAGAAGGGTGCATAAAGAAATGTTGTTGCTGGTCACATTACCTGTAGAACTCCCTTTGGGAACGAAAACTTATGCACCAGGTATCATGTTCTTACTTGCACAAGAATGTGAACAGCAAGTAATATAGGAAGCAGACTGAGTCAGGCAATTGGTCCATACAGCCACTCTTCCAAGGTTTCAGACAGGGACATTCCCAGTCCTACCTGGAAATGCCGGGAATTGAAGCCACAACATTTCATACACAAAGCAGATGCGCTTCCACTGAGCTGTGGTCCTCCCTCCGTGTACAAATTACTAGATCAATGGGGAATCCACACTGCAGTGAACAAAATCCATGGAAATGCTGTCCAGCTATTGATTTTTCTGGTGTACAGTGGTACCTCGGGTTACATACGCTTCAGGTTACAGACGCTTCAGGTTACAGACTCCACTAACCCAGAAATACTACCTTGAGTTAAGAATTTTGCTTCAGGATGAGAACAGAAATCATGCTCTGGTGGCGCGGCAGCAGCAGGAGGCCCCACCTGAAGTGGTGCTTTAGGTTAAGAACAGTTTCAGGTTAAGAACGGACCTCCGGAATGAATTAAGTACTTAACCCGAGGTACCACTGTATAAGAATGGGGGAAACCCAAGAAGCCAGCCAGAAAAGTGGAACGTATGAATATGTATGTTAGAAGCAGAGAACTGTGTCAGTCCAAGATTATTCTTTTTAAAAAACAATACATAATTGGTGTCTGGATAACACCACTAGAAAAAATGCTCTGTGCTTAAAAATGGGTGAGTGGGTTGTGTCCTACTGTTAAGCAGGCTGATGTGCAGGTGAAGGACCCTTGTTGGGTAAATTCAGCCTAGAATGGGAGGTTCTATAAATAGCTACAGAAAATGTGTCTGACTTGCATCCCAGCTGCGTAGATAGCAGCCCACAGACAGGCCAGATGTTTGGGATCTGACTGAGATTACATGAAGCTTGAAGGACAGAACAGCTACAGAAGCAAGTGCTCTCTCTCTCTCCCTCTCCCCCCCCCCAAAAAAAAATTTAAAGTGGCCAGGACAATGCAGAAGGCAGAACTACAGACTCTAAAACAGCTCAGTCCCAAGTCTAGATGCATTTGTGAACATCTGGTGTCCACGCTGCCTAATGATGCAAGAGGCCGGACTGCAGCTGCCTTGATAATTAGGGCACATTCGCTGTAGAGAACAGATAATTAAGACATTTTGGAAATGGGTGCCATGGGAAACTTCTAGGATAGAGTAGGAGGAAGTTAAGTGCAATGTGCATATTCTGACAGCTGCGATTGCATTGCATGCAAATTGGATGGTTGTACGGCACTCTTTTATGGGACTACTTGTAAGGATTGCTGAGAGAATTTAAGCAAATCAGAGAGTGGCTGTATGTAGCTCACTGTAGGAACACCTGCTTTGCAAACAGAAGGTCCCAGATTTAAACCTCAGCATTTCCAGGTAGGGATGGGGAAGACCTCTGTATGAAATCCAGGAGAGCCATTGCTAGCCTTTGCTAACCTAGTGTCTTCCGGAAGTTTGAGACTATAACTCTTCGGCCCCAGGCAGCACATCTGGAGGGTGCCAGGTTTGTGAAGGCTAATGTAGACTCTACTGAGCTAGGTGGGGCAGTGGTGTAACTCTGGAGTAAGCCAGCATGGCATGCCATGCCCATTCAAAAGTGTTGCATGGATGCTGAATGGCATTACTAAAGAAGAGGCAGGAAGGCAGCTTTCAAACTTCTTACACCTTCCGAAACCTGTGGCTGGTCTCTATTTCCTGTATAAGTGTGCCCCTAGTCATGCTCACTGGAGAGACAGTGGAGATGTCTTTTTAAAAACATTATGATGCTGTGCGTGTGTGGCAGTGGAGTCTTTGCCACTGGTCCTCGCCCCCCCCCAAAGTTAAATATTGAGCAGGAGATGGATGTGCCTTGACCCTAGTGCAAAGAACATGTAAGTGCCGGTTGCCAGAGCGCCATCCCTTCCTTGCCATCCCTTTCGCCAGCCCTCTTATCTAAATAGGAAACGTTGCCTAATGTGTGTGTTGTTCTGCCTTTGAGTTGCAGCTGTTCTGTCGTCAGGACAAGTGGATTCACTGTGAGAGCAAACATTGCTCCATCTGCTATATGCATGTATTCATTTACTCTGCAATCAGAGGCTCTGCCTTGCGCTGGCAGGTTGTGGCTAGGGCCCAAACTAGATGGGGCTATCCAGGCCTCGTGCGACTGATTCTTCACCCCACCCCACCTAAAAATAAACAGCTCTTGCAGGGGTTGAACCAGATTGCAGCTGTGGTGCTTTAAACCCTTTGCACTTTGCTACAGTCAAAATTCGAATTGGGCTGGGTGCGCGCATGCACGCGTTCCTTCTCTTTGTAGCAGGAGGGAGGTTTCACGTGGTGCAAGCAACAGGGATGGGCTCCCTCTTGATTTGGAGCATAACCACAGTGGGGTGCACATAGGGTTGGAGATGATCTTCCCCATGCCAAGGTATTACTCCAGCTCCCCCCCCCACTTGGCTATTTGTTGTGGGAGAGGGCCACGCAAGGGTTAAAGATGTGAATGACTTCATGCCCCGCTTGGCCCCGGCACAACTTCATAAGGCAGAGCACAGCAGGGCATGCCGTTGCAAGATAAAGACACACCATGTGCCGCAGATAAAATCAGTACGTAATGGCAGTGTGCTTATGTGATTGTGGTGACTGTCAGTGTGAGGATTGTGGGTGTTGCGTGTATTTAAGGATGCCTCGATGTGCTGGAGAGTTCTAAATCCAGGCTCTGCTAATGATAGGACCCTATTCATCGTCCCTGCCGTGGTATCTGTTATGTATTGAAGTCACAACTCACAACTTAATAGTATCCAAAGGAAGGGAATTACAAGATGGCCTCCCAGGTCTACGGGAAGCCAATTGAGCAGAGATGTGGCTGCCCAGATGATTTTGGTCTGCAACTCCCGTCTCCCCTGATCATTCACCCTGCTGGCTGGGCTTGTTGGGTGGCTGAAGTCCAGCAACATCTGGCACATCTACTGAGCATCTATAAGGGCCGTACCCTCACCTAGCCGCATTCTGAATCAGCCTCGCCCCTTGGTGGGATAATTAGGCTTAACGATATCAGGGTTGGTTTACGGAAACATACAAAAACTGACCCAGGCCAGAAACAGATGGAGCCACCTGCTCCAGGGCTGGGGAACCCAGACCTTGTTGGACTACAACCCCCATCTGCCCTAGCTGTGGTATGGATGATGGGACCTGTAGTCCAGCAACGTTCCAAATGGCCGCAGAGTCCCCCAGCCCTGGTCTTTTTTTTCTTCCCTATTTGGGAGCTTTCCCTCATCCTGCTAACCCATCTGTGTCCCTCTGTGTTCTGCTGCAGGGCCGCCGAGCTGGAGAGATGAACGTGGGCACAGCTCACAGCGAAGTGAACCCAAACACCCGGGTCATGAACAGCCGGGGCATCTGGCTCTCGTACGTCTTGGGCATCGGCCTTCTGCACGTGATCCTCCTCAGCATTCCCTTCTTCAGCGTCCCTGTGGTTTGGACTCTGACCAACATCATCCACAACACGGTACGGGGAGCCCCTTTTGGAGCAGCTTTGAGTTCCACCGTTGGGCACTGTAGGCAGAGGATCCTTCTGCAGGCAGCACAGGGAGGGGGAAGCCAACACAAGTCCCACCCCGTGTACTCCCTATAACACAGGGGGTGGGGAACCTTAGGCCCAGGGCCCAGTACAGTCTTCCAGAGCTCCCTAACTGGCCCTTTTCTTCAGCCCTCCAAGAAATGGCCATCTAGGCTATATGAATGTCTGGTGTCTAGACCATGTAGCAGGCAAGTATCCATCTAGATGCAAGTCTGACGCTATCAGCTGGATTGTCCAGAGAGATCCATCAAGTTGTCAGTGCCAAGGATGGGATTGTTGCTATGAGCATGCAAGCTGAGCAGAGAGTCACTGTTTTAAAAAAACGTTTGTGGATTCATCCTAAGCATTGTTGTGCCTACCTGCCAGGTATAACAGACCTTGATTTTTTATTAGGGTCTTGGTGGTGGTTTTTAAATCTGCAAACCAACCCACTTTTAGTCGTGAAATGCTTCTAACGGAGACCTCTTTTCCGACTTCATTTATCTTGTTCTTGCAGTCAGTGTCCATTTTACAATTTCTTAAAGATACAGTACTGCACATGTGCCCACACGCACACACATATACATGCACACAGCTGGCTCAGATTTGACAACCTCAGCATAGGAAACTGTTATGTATTATGCCAAGAACCAGTGTGGCACTTGCATGCTCCCTGCGCCGCCCCCATGCACCGACTTTTAGCACTTCTATCACGATTACTTTAAACCACTTCAATGCCTGCTCTGGGAAACCATGGATTAATCTTGGTTCACTCACCGAGTGTGGTTATACCACAGTTTCCCAGTTCAGGTATAATAGGAAACTATGGTTTAAATTAACTCTGGACCACTAAAGCTTGCTGCAGGAAGGGAGTGGGGGGTGGAGCACAGGGTTTATTAAGGATTAGTAAGCCATCTGAAAAACCTCATACATGCTTCTACCCCACCTCCTGCTTTTGTTTTGTGCAAAGCTGAGACTGTTAAGGGGAGAAAATCCTCCCTAAACCCATTCAGAAAACAAAAAGAACACCCCAGTTTGAATATCACACCAGTTTGAAAGGTCATGGCTTCCCCCTAAGGAATCCTGGGAAGTGTAGTTTGTTAAGGATGCTGATAGTTAACAACAGGAGACCCTCAACAGAGTTAGGCTTTCCAGAGTTCCCTGGGAAAGAGGGATTGGTCATAGGGGGTTTCAGCAACCTGGAAACAAACTGCAGTTCCCAGCATTCTGTGACAGTTCACAGTGCTGTAGTACAGTTTTAAAGGTACAGTGGTACCTCGGGTTACAAGACGCTTCAGGTTACAGACTCTGCTAACCCAGAAATAGTACCTCGGGTTAAGAACTTTGCTTCAGGATGAGAACAGAAAACTCATGGCGGCGGTGTGGCAGCAGCAGGAGGCCCCATTAGCTAAAGTGGTACCTCAGGTTAAGAACAGTTTCAGGTTAAGAACGGACCTCCAGAACGAATTAAGTTCTTAACCCGAGGTACCACTGTATACTGCAGATGGGGGACTAAAGCTCACAAAACAGGCTGCACAAGGAGCAGGTGTGAAAGTACAATTTGAAATAATCATAATATAATTTTAAGGTTGATGACTATGGTGTGCCTTAGCAGGGGCTCATTCTCCCTCGTCCTTAACATTGGTCCATATTTCTGGGCATCTCCCCACCCCCAACCCTCAGTTAACCTTAATCTGCTTAGCCTAATATCCAGACGCTATCTCAGCGCAGACATGGCAGCCTGCTGGCTTATGCCCTGTGCTCAGAGTGGTGCATCATTTTGCATCTAGCCAGGGGCGGTGGGGGTGGGGAGCAGCTCTTCCGGCGGGTCACCCCATCTGCTCCACATGCAATTATTTCTTCACTTTAGCAGTAAAAACAACTGAGAGTGACAGCTATGTGCTGTTTGGCTTCCTTCCCCTCTGATATATTTAACGTGTCGCTGGCCCTGTAGGGTGTCTAGCTCAGGATTGTTAGAAGGGTTTTTTATAACGGCGTCAACGTAGAGAGATGCACTTGCTGTGTTTGGTTTCCACACAGTGGTTGTATTCCAAAGCATATGCATTCATCTAAGTCCAGGGAGTGAGGAAACTCAGGCCTGGGGGGCTGGATTTGGCCCTCAAGACATCTCTGCCTGGCCTCACGTCCCTTCCCAGACCACACCCCTCACTCGGCTGACTCTTCGCCCTTGTCTCGTGATTTTTACTGGACCGAAATGTGTCTGCTTGCATGCCTGGATGTAGGCGAGAGTTTGGCCTCGTCCACCACTGATATGTGGCCCTTGGAAGACCCCCCCCCCCATGACAGAATGTGGCCCTTCATTGCCCCTGATGTAAGGTGCATCTAAGAAAAAATGTGGCAAAAAGAGAGAGAAAGATGCAATAGTGTTGGAGGAGGCAACAAGACGGGATAATCTTGACTGGATTTGTAGGCTGATGCACACACACACACACACACTTACACGGGGTCTCTCTTTCTCTCTCTCCTGGCCACCTACTGTGGAACAGCAAGAGAGACCCTAGCTGACATTCAGCCGGACCCCAGAATGAGTGAATTGACCTCAGTACCCACCGACATCAATTGAGCAACTTCGTTGTGACTCTAGTCACCCATTGGTTTCAATGGGACTTAAGTGCCACCACCTTATAATTTGGATCCACCCAATGATTTCGCGTGGGAAAAACTGAAATCAAAGCGGATAAGAGCTGGAAAGAATTAACACAAAGGAGTCCGGGCACCTTGGTATCGGTTATCGCCATGCTTTGTTATCATTGCTTCATGATAGGATGAGCTTAAGATGATTTGCAACTGGGAGTCGCCCGCTCACAGATTTTATCTGGTGCTTTTGTTCTCTTTCAAGGCTTCTCCACCCCCGCTATGTAGGAAGCGAACACTGTACGGCCGCCAGATTAAAATTCCAAAGTGCAAGGGTTTCTAGAGTGCTTCAGTATCCTGTTTCGTGAAACTCGAAGCTTGGTGAAATTGGGGCGTCTGCAGCTAAATGATTGTTATTTGGGCAGTTCATCCTCCTCCTGTTTAATACGGACATTTGGATTTCTCACGCCCAGTGCTTATTATCACACCCATTTACTCCATCCAACTTAATTGCAAAAAGCTACAGCCACCCCTAATTTGCTTAATACCACTTTAGCAAAAGCTTCCCAGCACCTACTCCATTAATTGGAAATGTGGGGTGAGCCACACTTTTTGTGCAGGGCGGATGATAATAATAATAATAATAATTAATTTATTTATACCCCACCCATTTTAAAATACATTAAAACCTCAGTCATTAAAAACTTCCCTGAACAGGGCCGCCTTCAGATGTCTTCTAAACATTAGATGGTTGTTTATTTCTTTGACATTTGGTGGGAGGGCATTCCACAGGGCGGGTGCCACTTCCAAGAAGGCCATCTGCCCGGTTCCCTGTAACTTCACTTCTTGCAGTGAGGGAACTGCCAGAGGGCCCTCTGCGCTGGACCTCAGTGTCCGGGCTGAACGATGGGGGTGGAGACGCTCCTTCAGATATACTGGGCCGAGGCCGTTTAGGGCTTTAAAGGTCAGCACCAACACTTTGAATTGTGCTTGGAAACCTTTGCAAAGGTGTTCAGGGGTAATGGAGGCACACTGAATAACGATGCACCCTTGTGCATTTTTTCATAGCATGCTACCCCTGCCAGGTTACAATGAGGGCAGGGTTGTCTAGCTTACAAGCACAAGAGCCCCGCTGGGTCAGGCCAAAGGCCCTCCTAGTCCACCATAGTTCTCATAGTGGCCAACCAGATGTCTATGGGAAGCCCACAAGCAAGGCAACAGCCCTCTGCCCATTCGTGAGTTCCCCCCGCAGGTGGTATGCAGAGGCAAGCCACTTCTGACATTGGCGGTAGAACGTAGTAGCCGCGATGGCTAGTAGCTGTTGATGGCCTTTGTGTAATCCTCTTTTAAACCCGTCCAAGTTGGTAGTCATGGCTACAACATGTGGGAGTGAGTTCCGTAGTCCACCTACGCTCCGTGTGAAGAAATGGCTTTCTTTTGTCGGGGGCGCAACCACATCTGGCGCAAGTGGGGTGGAGTTGCCAAACACCTGGCAGGCCACGATCCATGACTGGTGGACTGCATTTCGATTGGTAGAGTCGAAACATGGAGCCCTGACATACAGCTGTGTTAAATTTCCCACACCACACATTTATTATTTCATAAAATTTTGTACAGTGGTACCTCGGGTTACATACGCTTCAGGTTACAGACGCCGCTAATCCAGAAATATTACCTCGGGTTAAGAACTTTGCTTCAGGGTGAGAACAGAAATCGTGCTCCAGCGGCGCAGCGGCAACAGGAGGCCCCATTAGCAAAAGTGGTACCTCAGGTTAAGAACGGTTTCAGGTTAAGAACAGACCTTCAGAACGAATTAAGTTCTTAACCCGAGGTACCACTGTATATCGCTTGATTGGGGGGGGGGAGGACTCAAAGCGGTCTACAAAGCAGGTAAACCAATAAAATCATCACTTAAAAATTTACAACCGTAATTTAAAACAGCATTTCCCAAACTTGGTCTTTAGCTGTTTTTGGACTACAATTTCCCATCATCCCCAACCACTGCTCCTGCTAGCAAGGGATGATGGGAGCTGGTAGTCCCAAAACAGCTGAAGACCACTCTGGGATTGCGGCGCTCATCTCGCTTTATTGGCCGAGGGAGCTGGCGTACAGCTTCTGAGTCATGTGGCCAGCATGACTAAGCCGCTTCTGGCGAACCAGAGCAGCGCACAGAAACACCATTTACCTTCCCGCCGGAGCAGTACCTATTTATCTACTTGCACTTTGAGGTGCTTTCGAACTGCTAGGTTGGCAGGAGCAGGGACTGAGCAACAGGCGCTCACCCCATCGCGGGGATTCGAACTGCCGACCTTCTAATCAGCAAGTTCTAGGCTCTGTGGTTTAACCCACAGTGCCATCCGCGTCCCAGCATTTGGGTAAGCATGTCTAAACTAAACAAGAATGTCTTTGGCAGGTGCGGAAAGGAATACAGTGAAAGCGCCTGCCTTGGTATCAATAGGCAGGGAGTGCCAAACTAAACGAATTCTTACAGATGTGGTTGTGGGTATTATGTGGCATTTTATAGAAGTGCCAATTCTGTTGACTGAAGTGGTCAAGTGGGCACATATGGTAGCCTAGCTGCTATACGTCCGGAATTCCCCAGACATATCTGGAATTCGTCCGTCGGAAATAGCGTCCATACGGAATTTCCAAAAATTGGTAAAAAATGGCAACCCGAGTCGGTAGTGTTAATTTGGGGGCAAATTTCCTTTAAAAAAAAAAAAAAGCCCCAAAATTTCAAAGCTCAACAACTTTGCCCACAAAAAAGCTCAACAGATTTTATGTCCGGACTTTGACTTTTTGAAATATGGCAACCCTAACATTTAGGGTAAGAGGATGTCATAGGTAAACAGGTCCCAAGGTGTTAAGAGCTTTATATACTAATAGTAACACCTTGAACCAGGGCAGAGCCCTGAGCACAGGTGTTAGGTGCTGAAAAGGCATTCTGCACTAACTGCAGCTTCAGGGTCAAGGGCAAAGGAAGTCCCACAAACAGCGCATTGCAGTAATCTAACCTTGAAGCAACCAGTGCATGAACTACTGTGGCCGGGCTCTCCCGGTCCAGGAGCAGCCCCCCTATGTGTTTTACAAGTGCTAAGCTGCCTCCTACACACCTGTGACAATAACATGTGCGTCTTAGTTGCCGCTGCCCGCTGCAATAACCTAGGGCAGATTAGGAATTTGCACACAGGTCTGGCTCAAGGCATTTTGTTAGTGCGGTGTGAAATCTGAATTGGCACCCTCTCTCTGCCCTGGGTACCATTGGCCACGCAGACGCCAATAACCGGTGTGGCACAATTCGTGACCTAGAAGTAGATCTGTGTAGGAAATCTGCTTTGCGTAGAGCGCCGGCCCTTTGAAAAATTATGTATGTGACACTTTGCCTCCAAAAAAGAGCAGGGAGGGGGCTGCGTCTTGAGGCCCCAGTTATATTTTTATGTGCATTACAGCATCTGAATTTCTGAGCGCTGCTTTGTAGGCAGCAGAAGTGGCAACAGCTCCCCCTGCCAGCACAAATGTATAAATGACGTGTTCCATGCTAGTTCACTGCTCAATGCTTCCTCCTGCTTTTTTCTCCTTTCTTCCTTGGATCAGGTTAGCCAAAGCATTTTAAGACTCCAAATACTGCAGCTTCTTCCCTCTGCCACATTTTTAAAGGTCGGTCAATAGTCCTCTTTGCGGCACTGCTTCTAGTGGACTTCAGCCAAGCACCTTAGATCAAGGGTTTGTAGTAGAATAATAATTATCCTAAATTAGCACTGTATCTGCACGTTTGCCCTCTTTCCTGCTAGGCTACCCTTGTTTCTCATTGAAAAGTGGTTATTCATTGGTTGTGCAGGAACCTTTCCTTCAACACAGCACATCTTTCGCAAGGACGTTCCTGCCTTTTCAACCGGTTAAATCGGGACTCGAAACAAGAGAGAGGAAGAGATGAGCGAAGTAGCCCAGAATAGCGACGGAATATTATTCCCCACCGCCATGTAGCCCTAAAAACACACGTGTGTGTTTGTGTTTTCTTACAGAGCATGTACATTTTCTTACACACTGTGAAAGGAACGCCTTTCGAGACGCCTGACCAGGGCAAAGCCCGGCTGCTGACTCACTGGGAGCAGATGGATTACGGGGTGCAGTTCACCGCTTCCCGCAAGTTCCTGACCATCACACCAATTATACTGTGAGTGTAAAAGAGGGCTTGGGACTGTACTGATAAGGCTAGGTGCAAATCGCTTCTGCATCAGGCCAGAGGCCTGCCAAGCCCAACATCCCGTTCCCACAACGGCTAGTCTGATGCCTGCGGGAAGCCCGCAAACAAGAAATGTTGCTGTTCTCCATCAATGAGTATTCGGAGTCATGATGCCTGTGGCCCTGAGGATGGTATGAAGCCAAGTTGACTAGTAGCCATATCCTCCATGTACTTGCCTCACCCTCTTTTTAAGGCTGTCTAAGCCCTAATGGCCACCCCCACAACTCATAGCAGGCCAGTTCCATAAATTAACTCCACACTGTGCGAAGAAATGCTTTCCAGACCCACAGAACTCCTTCCTCCCTTTGTGCCCTTAGAGCCGTGTTTCCCAAATTTGGGTCTCCCGCTGGTTTTCCCCAACTACAATTCCCATCATCCTTGACCCCGCTGGTCTTGCTAGCTTAGGGATGATGGGAGTTGTAGTCCAAAAACGACAGTACCTTAACATTCTCTGGGTAGTGAGCAATACAATTTGCAACGTTAAAAAAAAGAAAAATCCCTGGAAAAATGAAAAGCTCTTCACCTGGCACTCAAAGAATATATATAAGATGTATAAGACTGAATCAGGTGAGTGTTGGAGATGTAATGAGACTGAGGGTACTTTCTATCATATATGGTGGACCTGTAAAAGAGTATTGGGAAATAATTCATAATGAACTGAAAGAAATGTTTAAAAGTACTTTTCCAAAAAAAACCTGAGTCCTTGAAGTTGGAGATAAGTCAGACAGAAATTCCCAGGTGTTGGGAAAGGTTATTTATGTTTGTCACTACTGCAGCTCCTGTTTCTTTAGCCCAAAAATGGAAAATGATGGACTATGCGCAGCTTGCGGACCTAATGTATAGAATATGAGAACAAGAAGAACATAACATTTAAAGAAGACTGGAAAATATTTATTGAATATATGGGGGGCGGGATTGTGTACATATGAAAATGTGGGCAGCATAATTAAGATAAATTCAACAGTGCAAATAAGTTTTGATGGATGTAATACAGAATGGTTTAGTTCATATAAAATGTGCAGGTGTTTATGCTGTGCGAAATGAACCATGGAAAGAGAGGAAGGGAAGTCATTGATATTTTAAGGTTGTTTAAGTGAATATTCTAAAAGGTAAAACAGAAATTTAATAAAAATTATATATTGAGAGAGAGAGAGATTATATGCATGATATAAAAATGTTGTGTGTGTGTATATGCATGATATGGACACCCTGCAAGCCTCCCTAGGGAGGGCATTCCATGTTTCAACCTTCAGTGTGGGCCAGTTGAGGGAATTGGGGCATACGCGATTCAATTCTCTCCTCCTTTTCTTTCTTCCGCAGTTATTTCCTTACTAGCTTCTACACTAAATACGACCGGATACACTTCATCATCAACACCATCTCCTTGATGAGCGTCTTGATCCCCAAACTACCCCAACTGCATGGCGTACGCATCTTTGGGATTAACAAGTACTGAGCCGGGGTGTCTTTTATATTCCCTTCTGGTGAGCTGTGAGAGGCCAGCAACGTGAGAACCCTGTTTCCTTCGTTCCGGCTGCGTCTTCAGGATACACTTCCACACAATGGCTCCTTTTTAAAAATTTAATTTCTTTTTAAAATGAGCACATGTTGAGCAGGATTCCAAGATCTGACAGAGAACGCAGACGGCTCAAACGATGCTTGAATCCTGGGTAGAGTTTAGCTTGGAAGAGAGACAAGGGTTGGGGGGGGGGGGAGCTTCAAATGTATTTATTATTATTATTATTATTTTATTTTTCAAGAATCTGAAAATAGAGGCAGACAACACTGAAATTTGAAAGGTACTCATAGCTTGCTCTCTGGGTAATGGAAGACATCCAGCCCAGAAGGCTTGGACAGTTATAGAAAGGTAGGAGCCTATTGCAAGGCGACGTTTAGGATGATAGCAAATGCACTTTAATATAAGGGGGGAATTTGTGACTTGCTCATTGAAAGGGCTATATCAGAAATTTTGAGATGCACACTAGGTATAGATTTCTTTGTGAGTTTGGAAACCTTAGCTGATCATTTATAAATACATTTTAATTATTTGGTAGGCAGTTGGGACAGATTCTCATTCTTTCTTGCAGGAGCATGAACCAGGTTTCTCCCCCCAGTTACAAAAGCAATGCTCTTCAGAGTCTTCTTTGAAAAGCCTTTGCCTATATATATATATATATATATATATATATATATGTCTCAAAGCTTTTCCCTCTCTGAGGTTGAGGGAGTGGGGAACTCCACATGGCAGGTTGAAAACACAACCCAGGGATGAGAAGGAAGAGGGAAGAAATGTTTTGACACTTGCCTTGCAGTGGTTGCCACATTTCGACGGTCGCAGCTGCCTCATTGCGGCATCTCTTCTGGATGGGAGAGCCAATGGCTGAAAGACCAGTCTCTTGCAGCATGGGTGGTTTATTTTGACATTGTACAATGACGGCGATGGAGAAGACACAAGATGAGGCCAAAGGACCCAGGCACCATTTCCAGTCTCTCTCGGTTGGAAATCCAGCATAAGTTGATTAGGGTTGGTTAGGTACCACTCGTCGTTGATTCATTCGCTGATTCATGCCAGCACTGGGGTTCAGAGAGAGCTATCTTGTTGCTGCCCTCTGTGATGTCTAACTGAGATGTTTCCTGGGCAGCCTCCACCCATGTGGTTTAATGGGCTTTTGCTTTAGTGCCCCACTGTGTCAGAATAAAAAACCCTGTATTGCTCTCTGTCACCTAGAATGCAGATATTTTGGTATACGTCTGACTGCTGGTTGGTCTGCTTCCTAAACACCGGTACAGCAAGGAGGAGGGTTTTCTTCTGCTAATGGATTAGTAAGTGGGTTTATTTCTTTCTGATGCTTCTGTTGGATGGAGGGGGGGGGGGAGAGAAACAGACTCTGAGAGCTATAATACATTATGTCATGTAATTGCCAACAGCCTTTTAAGGTGCAGGCTGCAATTCAATCATGCGGACATCAAGAAAAACGTGTGTTAAGTTTTGATCATCAGGATCATAGGTATGTGAGTTTGGTTCTTCTTGTCAATGTTGTGTCCTTTGTTTAAAAAATAATAATACAATTTCCCTCCCCTTATCCACCCTGCCCCAGGAAATGTACACATTGCTAGCTAGGATATGAGTTTTATGATAGAATTTAAACAGCCTGAGTATTTCCTGGAATCTGTTTCTCAGGCTTGTTAGCTTGGCAACTGAAATGTTTCCTTACCCCACTAAACTGGAGAGGCATCTAAACATTTGAGGCCAGTGCCAATAATTCATAAACCGTTTTCCCAGCTTTATAACTGTTTGGGACACTTCCCTGAAAGGAGGAGGAGGGGATTTTAAACACCACCTCTGCTTTTGGCAGTATCTAGAAGTGATGGCAGGGAAAGTCCACCTGGTTTCAGTGGCCACATTAGCAATGGTGATGCTGTTGGGCTTTGCAGCAAGCAGAGGTGCTGGGTTGGGCAAATAGGTTTAAAAGCCTTCCACCAAGCCCAGTATCATTAAAGGGATAGGAGTTGCCCCCTTCTTTCTCTTCAGATGTCCTTCCCATTATCTGATTTGGTACAATCTATGTAATAAAACAGATGATTTTAGCTGAGGTTCCTGCATTGCAGGGGCTTGAACTAGTTGACTCTTGGCCCCTTCCAACTCTACAATTCTATGTTTCTATCCCTATCCTTGACCAGTGGTTCAAGGCAGCTCAAGAGACAAAAATAAAAGCCCCTTTACACCTGCAGCAAAAAATGTAAAGGACAGTTAAGTGGCTATCCGGGGAGGCAATGTGTACTAAAGTCCACAAAGCTTCAGGGAGAATGATGCAAGAAACAAAGGAGATTGAAAATGTGGAGGCAGAGGTGGTGAACCTGCGGGACCTCCAGGTGTCGGGGGACTACAACTCCCATAATCCATGAACATTGGCCATGCCGGCTGTGGTTGATGAGAGCTGGAGTCGAGTGGCACCTGGAGCATGTTCCCCACGCCCTCTATTGAAAGAATTACAGTGGAGCTGTGTTTGGCACAGCTGCAGCCAAACATTGCTTTTGGGCTTGTCACCTGTATGCTTTAGCAGCCTTTGTGTCACACTTGGGACTAGTAATCTTGGAATTGAAGGTCAGGTCCTGGTGTACTTGGAGCTCTCCCTCCAGACACGGAAGGGAAGAGTATCAGCCCTTGCAATTTCCTGTCAGTCAGAGACCTTCTCGGTTGGCCAAGTAGAAGGACCAGGTCCCTGTTCTCTACCTTTGGTTGTCTGACAGAGCAGGACCTTATTCCTGGTTACTCCTGAGGCTGTAGTTCCTCAACCTGATGGAAGTCATCTAGCCCTTGCCCTAGCCCAACAACTTGTCATGTTGTTGTTGTTTTGATTGGCACTGACAGTTATAATTAAGTTTAGGTACATGAGTTTGTGAATTAGGAAGGCGATAGTAGCTTCGAAATTACGGATAGGCAATATATACCACTGTTGATGATGACTGGTGTGGACCAGAGCTTGTCATCTAGGCACAGAGAGGGAGGCAGGGCCTTCCCGGTGTAATTCTTCTCTGAGAGAAGCAAGTGGCCTTCCCTGCTCAAGACACCTGCCAGCAAAGTGGGCTAAGAGGATTAAAATTGTAAGCTTTTCACCCAAATCCCAGCGCTAAGATGCTGAGCTGCTATTGACCTCCGTTAGAGCCTGTATTTTTTAACTTCCTGTCTAAGGCAACTTGAAAGCAAGGTACTTTTAAAAATATTCATGAAAAAGGAAGAAAACCAAATTTAACGAAATGTGTAAAACATACCAAGGCCGGGGGAAAGACTTGGCATTGGGTTCTCAGAAAAGCGGCGGGGGGGGGGGGAATAGGCATTTTAATTTTTCTTCTTCTTGAGTTCATTTCAATTATTAGCTTTTTCCAGCACTAGATCTCCCCGTTCTAGCTCCCATTCTTTATTCTGCAGAAGAAAAAAAGCTACTAATATGTCAAAATAATAGAGGAATGCAGAACAACCACTTCCCAGTTTTCAGTAATTCAGTGGAACCAGATGAGCCCAGGTTAAAAGTTCAAACTCAGCAGCGATTTTAAGAAATTTTAAGCAAACGCACAATTTTAACCCCAGGTCTTGCTTTGATGAAGAAGCAAAAAATACCGGGGGAGGGAAACAGTCTGCTTCAACGTAGATTTCTGCAATAGAAGTTGTGCTCATTACTTGATGATACGTGTAACTCAATATAAGGATAACTTAAAGGGCTTGTGTATTTTTTAGCACTATTCCAATATATAGGTGGTTAAGGCCTTAAACACAGATCTAAGTTGCACTCTTCCGAAAAACAGAATGTTCTTTTGCAAGGGTATAAATCAGTACCCTACTAAAAAGGAAAAAATATAGAAAGAGCTCATTAGCACTATGTCTACACACCAGCCAATTTTCATGTCATTCATTGCTCTGCAAACTTCTGCTCCTACCGCTTCTTTTTCATTATTCTGAGGGGATTGTTCAGAGTAGCCCGTTCACCAGCCACAGTGCTCTCAAGGTATTCTAGGCCTGCCTTAGCAACCTGAAGTCCTCCAGATGTTTAGGATGTCCATCAGCCCCAGCCAACAAGGCCCAGAGCTCTAGGATGAAGGGAGTTGTAGAGCAACAACATCTGGAGAGTACCAAGTTGGGGAACCAGCTGTTCCAGGCTGTGTTTCCCGTTGTCAATAAAAGTTCCTGTTACAGTTAAACAAAGGGGGTGGGTTTAGCTTTATGAAAATCTAAACAAAACCCTTTACAATGCGAGCTGCCAGCTCACTCTTCTGGCAATAGTTATTGCTACTAGAAAAGTGAGCTTACGTTGTCCAGGCCAAGACCATATGAGAGAATCAGCTGGCAGATTGCTCCTTTACATTAAAAATATTAAATATTTGTGGAAACTTTCAAAACCAAGTGGAGATAAAGAGAGCCTGGGCTGTGGTCAATCCTATATGCTCATTTGCTGAGGACTTGCTCAGTCCTGGCTTTGTCAAACAAAGCAAGCCCTGTTAATATGGCGTGAAACCCATTTGTTATCCATATTCCCCAATGAAGCTGCTTCTTGGTGCTGACACGAGAGTTCGTGCAGTTTCCTTGTTGACCACTTTCTGTAACTCTGTACTGTAGAAAGAGCTGCTTTGCTAAGTGTGGGCACTCTCCATAAAGAAGAAGGTTTCTGTATACTATAAAATTTAGTAGTTGTGGTTTGGGATGAAATTCCACGGTGTTCTGTGGGCAGCAGAACCTATTAGAGACGATGCACCATCCTATCATTTTTAATAATTTGGATCACTCCTGCTATCAGTAAATTGTTCCCCTGTGTGCGCCCCTAATGGAATCTCCCTGGCAGAGGGTAGTGGACATGCATAACTAAGGATGGCAGGGGGGCTGGGGAGGTATAATTGTCTTTGCTGAGTTGTGTTTTAACCAACCCAGTTAGATCCACTGGGCCATTTACGAAGAGCCCCAAATCCCTCCTCAGTTTGCCTTGGGAGCAAACAGAGATTGAGCCCTGCCTGCTCGTCTAAAGGAGGTGCTGGGCAGGCGGGCGATAGCATGCTCCCTTTAGTTCACTGTCCCAAAGGCCAATCTCTTCCACCAGCACCCTAGTAACCATTTTGAAGGGGACTCAGAATCCAGTGCACCATTTGCAATATTGTCTCTAGGCCACAAATCTCTCCCCACCCTACATGGCTTTACAGATAAATAAATGCTCTTTTCATCATTGAAGTGGTGAGTAGAGAAGATGGGATTTCCCACACAAAAGTTGCATGTGAACACGTTTCTCTTGGAATAATAGTAGGTACCAAGGCTGCTTTGCCCAGGCTGGTATAATTAAGGTATAAAATGCATCTCAAGCCTGGTGCATCTCAGGCCATGCACTGTCTAGGGTTTCTGTTATCAGGTTCTGTGACTAGTGCAGGAACAATCTGAAACATGGGCCTGTGGTGGTCAAAGCTTCAAGTTATACTAAAATCATGCTTGGCAATTCCCATGTGTATGCAATAAAAAGCTGAGGTTTACCCCTTCTCCCATGTGCTAATATCCTCCTGAAAATTACCCCTCTGTGAAGTGGTCCCCCCCCCCCAAGCTGCCATTATCTGCAAACAGCAGCTTCAGGCAAGAAGTGGGTTTTCAGTGATTATTGAAATTCAGTGATTTCATTATGGTCCCGATCTGGAATCGCTCCCTCTCGCACACAAAATAAATAGATTGTAAATAAAAAGACACAGGGAATCTCAACACGGGATTCAAGGACTTAATGTAGCATGTTGATAGAATGAAAATATGGAGCCTATCTGAAACAAATCAAGGTTTTCTTGTGGCTTTTGATGTGGACTCTATGGGGTCTGTGCACGCCCAGGACAGTGCACAGAGCAGCCTAGAGGAGAACAACCCCTCTCCCAGCAAGCAGCTTGCATAGCATGCAGGTTCCACGGAGCAGACTGAGTAGCTGTGTGCTTTGTGCCACGTCTGGAGCCAAAGTGCTGGCTGATACCTAGAACAGGTGGACCTCCTGGTCCTGGTGGGCGCCAAACTCCCATCACCCTTGACCATTGGTGAGGGTGATAAGGGGGTTGTAGTTCAGCAGTACCTGGAGGTCTGGAGGTTCCCCCTCCCTGGGCTAGAGCAGATGATCAGGGCAGAAGTCGTTTCTCAGAGAGGAGTGTAGCAGGTGTGAAAGATTTGCAGCAGAACTGGATTTGTTATTTGATGATCATCTAACGGTCAACAGAGTTGCTAGTGTCCCTACTCAAATTGCCTGCGGTTCCTTCCTCCAACTGGCACCTAGGGTGGCTTGGTGAGTAGGGAATCTGTGCCTGAACAGCTGTGCTCCTGATTTGATCCCTACAACAACAACAACAACAACAACAACAATGCAGTTCCTGACCATGAGAACCTCTGTAACAGCAGAAGAAATGATGGAACACGCAATCGCACAATGGTCCACTCAAAGATCAGTGGAAAGGAAGCAACGTCTTTCCAAGTTGTCACAAGAAAGTTTTGCTCGAAATAAGTAGAACTGGGTTGTGGGGCTGCAAATGGCCTGCTCCCACCCAGATTTTTGCAGCAGGTCAAGCATAGTATCATATGGGCAAGTCATGTATATGTGACCATGCAGGGAACTGTGTAACAATGATTAAAGGGTCCCTGCCAAAGGGGCATATGTAGCATTTCTGGAACTCTAGAAATGGAAGGGAAAGGGAAAAGACCAATGAGCTCTTTTCACGACTTAACAGCAAGGTGCTGTGTTTACTACAGGAGCTAATACTTGTGGGTTTAATTGCTAATTTGGCATCAATTGGTTGGTGAGGTCTAGGTTTTTCTCTTAGCTTTATAGGCTGTTTACTTCATAAGGGTTTAATTTTTAAAAAACAACAATAATTAACTATTTTAAAGGTATGGTAGTAAGCTCTTTAGGAGGGCATGGTAGCTGAGTTGTTGCCACAAACTGCATTTTATGGTATGTCTGTGGATTGTTATTTAATTGTAGTGAATTAACCTATTGTATTGATTTACCATTATCTGTGAAATATAATTTTTAGAATGTGAGTGTGAATGTTCTTTTCAGTGAGCGTTAAATGTTTTACACCTTTGTGTCGAACATAGAATTACGGTTGTGTTGGTTTTAATTTTTTTTAATCTTCTTTTGTTTCTGGATTTGCTCTCGTTTTGTCGTGTACACGTGAGAAAAGAAAACTTTCATCTGGAGAACTTTCTAAGACAAAGTGTGAATATTATTTTTATGAGTCCTTTCTACAGTATTCAAAGACAAACCAATTAAAAAAAACCAGTATTCATGTAATATATCTTGTATGTATTCCTGAAATCTGTACAAATATAAGAAAAGCTCTAATGTGTCAATGAGCACTGTCCTGCTCTTCCCCTGACTAGGGAGGGTGCCTGAAAAAGACAATGGTGTTTTGACATTGTGTTGAGGGTTCTTGGCTGCTTCCAGATCAGGGCCTTTTTGAGTCGTTTTTCATCCTAATGATAGTGACGTGGGAAGCTGCCTTATACCGAGTCAGATCATTGGCCCACCCAGCTCAGTATTGTTTATACCAGTGTATCCCAAACTTGGGTCTCCAGCTGGTTTTGAACTACAACTCCCATCATCCCTAGCTAGTAGGACTAATGGTCAGGGATGATGGGAACTGTAGTCCAAAAACAGCCGGAGACTCCAAGTTTGGGAAACGCTGGTTTATACTGACAGGCAGAAGCTCTCCAGGATTTCAGGCAGGGGTCTTTTTCTAGGCTGACCTGCAATTGCCATAGGAGCTTCGCAATGCAAAGCAGATGCCCTACCTCTGAGGTAAAAACAGATGGGCCCAACGACTCTTCCCTAACACACATTTTTTGGCAACTTGCTTGCTCTGTCTCTCTACAAGTCATCACCATTTAACACATACACAAAAATCAAGGCACAAAGCACTTGCACATTAGTACCCAATTTTTCAAAATGTGGAAAAGTAACCCATCCAACACAAGTGGTAGATGAACCTGTGAGGAAGGAAGGAATGGCAGACTTGCCACAGCCTTACTGAATGAGGAGATTTGTAGCTGGCACAGAACTTCTGAGGGAATCAAGAAGAGCGCTGATAAAGACCACCGAAATCTCTCAGGGGAAAGGAACGCCTTTCAAGTTTCCGCTGGGTTTTCCTGAAGAGCCAAATTTTGTGGTGCGCTTAAAGGTTCCGCTGAGGAAAATTGCCTTTCAGTCAGGCAGCCAAGATATTTTTATTCTGCCAGGCTTTTAAGATTTTTTAAAACTGCATTTAAATCCTCCTCCTTTTTTATGCTGCCTTTCAGCAATCCTTTTAAGATATTCTTCTCAGTTGTTATTGTATATATTTGTTGTAACCCACCTTGGGTCACTTTGAGGCCCAATAGGCAGCATATAAATGTTATCTTACAAGAGCCCAAGTAATGTTTTTTTTTGGGGGGGGGGACAATAAAAATAGGCTTTACTTATAAGTTTTAAATTGATAATAAAAAGCATGAAATGCCACAAAGAATGCACAATATTATATTCTTGCTCTTGATCTTTCAGGTTTAAAAGGAAGAGGCAGTTTAGAAACTGTTATTTGGTGTAGACACACCTCTCCAAGAGAAATTAATAATTGGAGCTCCTGTTGTAGTTAATAGGCAATTACTTATTCCACACTAAAGAGTCATTTTGTCAACATTATTCTATGCATGGAAAATAAAAACAAATATGTTGCAATTGCTATCAAAAGGAGGCACCCTTCTCCTAGATTTCAGTATAATGAGCTTCTCAGCATGACTATATTCAACCAAAACTCTTAGGAATCAACTGTCACAATGTGAGTGAAAACTTTATAAAGGCAATGATGCTAATAAGAAATGAGACAACATACAATTTCAGTGCCTGCAATCTCTCTATCAATTGCAGGAGTTGCAGATATTAAGAGTAAATTCATTAGCTTAAAGCCACCATTCTTTAGTCTGTCAGCACAACTATCTCAAATGAATTATGAAATTTGAGTGAACAGAGTTAGGTTTAGGATGATTCAAGTTCCAGGACAAAATTCTACTCCAGCTCAAGATACTGTATACCTACGCAAATTTCCTCACCATCGTGCACCTAAATGATCACGACAAAGTTCAAATGCCTCCTGTGAAATATGCTACAGTTTGAATTCTTCAGAACTTATCAGCTTTAAGGGAGAAAATCGTAAAACCTGGGGGACAATATGCTGATATTTATAAATAAAGCAAATCTTTCTTTTTTTAAAAAAATAATGTTACTACCCCCCACCATTAATAATAATTATTATTTATTCCCAGGGGTTGACAGCCTTGAGCATGCTCAGTTCCAACTTTTCTGTGGAAACTTTTGGGCCACCAGGTGGCAGCCACATATGCATATCTTACAACCACCAGTAAGGCAGATCCTCCTCGCCTGTCACTTCCGGTCCATCTCACTCACCTTCCAAGTGAGCCACCAACTTCTTAGAATGAAGCAGCAGCTGCTGTGTCCGCTCTTTTTCTACACACATAAACACACAGAGAGAGCTATGGCGCTCTGCAGAGTCACTGCTGTGGACCATATGTGCAAAGCTCTCAGACCTCACATGAGAAACCCCAGATGACAGATCCCATTATAGTTGGCCACTGGCCATGCCCATTGGGGCTGATAAGACTTGTAGCCCAGCGATTTATGGCAAGCCATGGGCTAGCCTCCACTGTTCTATACCAAATGGAGGGTCCATCCTTATCCTGTATCCTGTTCCCACTACCCCTGGTGTTGCAAAGAAAGCAGGATGGAAACTTGACCCAGAACTCTCCTTTTAGGAAAGAGGATGCACTGCAACATTTTGCTGCCCAGCCCGCTACCTCCATGTCCATGTCATTTTCAGTTGGCCTGGTCAGTTTTGCTCAGAGTATTCTTACACCAGACATAAATTTTCAGTTGTGCTGGTCTTTCCCTTCTTGTTTCCTGGCGGCGACTTGTTTTGCTGCATACGCAAAAGACAAAATCAATCTTCCATCTTCCAACACGGTATGAGTTCTATTTTTAATCATCTCTTTCACAGTGAGGCAATGAAATAAAAAATATGCATGAAATGTCCTATCTATAGTTCGTTTGTTTGTTTGCTACATTTTTATCCCACCTTTCGTCCAGGGTGGTGTACATAGTTCCCCACCCCCCATTTTATACTCACAGCAACAGGTTAGGTTAGGCTGAGAGAGGCAGTGATTGGCCCAAGGTTAATGGCCGAGTGGTGATTTGAACCCAGGTCTATCCAGCACTCTAACCACTGCCTTCAGGCCGTACTTCTGTAATTGAGGAGATAATTTTGCTTGGTCCACAGACAAGAATTGTGAAATAGGGTGTTGCAATATCAAGGCAAACCACCTTATTTCCCTATAAAAATTACAGTATGGGAGAATGTGAGTGAACGTTTCAACTGAGCCACTTTTGAAAGGACAAAGTGTCAGATGCCAAGGCGGCTCAGTAAATTGACCTCCCATAATTGCTGATGGCGAGACATCACCTTGCCAACAAAGGTCCGTATAGTTAAAGCTATGGTTTTCCCAGTAGTGATGTATGGAAGTGAGAGCTGGACCATAAAGAAGGCTGATCGCCGAAGAATTGATGCTTTTGAATTATGGTGCTGGAGGAGACTCTTGAGAGTCCCATGGACTGCAAGAAGATCAAACCTATCCATTCTTAAGGAAATCAGCCCTGAGTGCTCACTGGAAGGACAGATCGTGAAGCTGAGGCTCCAATACTTTGGCCACCTCATGAGAAGAGAAGACTCCCTGATGTTGGGAAAGATGGAGGGCACAAGGAGAAGGGGACGACAGAGGACGAGATGGCTGGACAGTGTTCTTGAAGCTACCAGCATGAGTTTGACCAAACGGCAGGAGGCAGTGGATGACAGGAGTGTCTGGCGTGCTCTGGTCCATGGGATCACGAAGAGTTGGACACGACTAAACGACTAAACAACAACAATTGCTGATGGCAAAGCATTGGGGAAGTGCTATATGAAAACAAGCAGTGCAACATATTTTTTTTCCTATTTCATAACATTAAGAGAGTTGCTGGGAAAATAATGCAATTGCAAAATAATGCTATTTTACAGCAGTGATTCACGTCTTCTGTATCACTTCTCCCTCACACTTTTGCCAGCTGACTTGCTTCCCTCTTCCTCTGTACTAGTCAGAGTCTATTTTACACCATTTATATAAATATCATGACTTAGCACGGGGGGGGGGGGGAGTTGATTCAGCTCACATTTAAATCTGAATACTGTATATCAAATTTGCACTTTCCAAAATAACATGATAGCTGAGTTTTCCAACCACCCACCTTTCCCCCCCCAAAAAAGTGCATCATATTAGACAAAAGTCTTTGCAAAAATTTGTAAAAAACACAAATGTGTAATCACACAAAAAGTAGGTTGATTAGAAGAAATTCACACTAAAACAGGCCTAGGCAAACTCCCATCATTCCTAGCTAACAGGACCAGTGGTCAGGGATGATGGGAATTGTAGTCCCAAACATCTGGAGGGGTGCAGTTTGCCTATGCGTGTACTAAAATGTTGAAGTAGTTTTGTATTTTTTTAACAATAATCACAAAAGTTGAGAAATGTAATTAAGACTTGTAAAATGAGAAACAGAGAAGCAAAACTGACAGATTGTTGCATCCATAGGCATGACTCACAAATGTACGGTACTTCACCTAATTTCTCAGACTGTGTTTCATGTTCCCTTGGAAAGTTGAGAAACACTTGCAGAAGGCTGAGGAATGCAGAGCTGCCACCAAACTCTGCTGAAAGCAAAACTTTAAGGAGGATTTGATCATGCCATTTTAGTAGCATGTCTTTTAAAATTAATTCTTAAATTTCCACTAAATGCATTTTTTGTTTAAGTGCCATCGCACAAGAATTTTTAAATGATTTTGAAAGGTGTATGCAATAAAACACTTTGCCACAAATGAAAAGACTGGTTAAAAATCACATAAATGTGCCATACATGCTGCTAAAAAGGTGTTGGCTAGAAAGGTAACAGTGGACCGCAGGGTTCAGCCAACCCAACGTGTCACTGAACACATCAAAACTGTGTCTTTTCTGATGGACAGAGGAGTAGCACTGAGGCAGCCAATGTCTGCAGAGTTTGCACTGCTTTTCCGTTCTGTGACTCCAAAAAATGAGATATTGTGACTTGCAAAACAGAAGAAAATAAAAAGCAGCAGAAGGAAAACAAAAGAGAAAAATGATTTTATGACCATGCAATGTGGATCAACAAAGAGTAGAAGAAGAAGAGTTTGGATTTGATATCCCGCTTTATCACTACCCGAAGGAGTCTCAAAGCGGCTAACATTCTCCTTTCCCTTCCTCCCCCACAACAAACACTCTGTGAGGTGAGTGGGGCTGAGAGACTTCAGAGAAGTGTGACTAGCCCGAGGTCACCCAGCAGCTGCATGTGGAGGAGTGGAGACGCGAACCCGGTCTTCCAGATTACGAGTCTACCGCTCTTAACCACTACACCACACTGGCTCTCAGTGTGGCTCTCAGTAGCCATTCTAAGGCAAATGCCTAGTGTGGAAGCCTCCTTTATTAGACAAACAACAGCTAGGTTGAAAACAATGGTTATTGAGAGAGTTGGCAGGGACATGATCGATCCGTTGCTAAATGATGTACAAATGCATTTCCCCCCCCCCCCATTTCGCTGTTGCCTTTGGCCAAACAGGCATTGAAAGTTGGTGTGGGACTACGAGAACCTCTCTGACTGGAGGCAAGGCTGGGATGAACTAAATTTGTCAGTACCATGATAGCCCTGCTATATTAATTTCCACTCTATTGGAGTGAGGGGCAGACCCCTATCGTCATTAGCTAACTCTAGTGACCTTGCACAGCAATTCTTTCCCTGTAGTGAAGCAAGATTTTTATTGTAACTGCTATAATCCTTTTTCTTACCAGAGCCAGAAAGACGGATTGTGAAATCACTGCTACGGTTGATGGTAGCTCAAAAGCCCAAGGTTTCATCAGTGTGGGAAGGGGAGAAGTGGAACTAAAATGCACAGCATTGAGATAAAGGTTAACACCAGCTTGGTCTTACTTCACTGCTACTTGCTGTGATTGATGGAAGTATATAATTCCTAGATTTCATAAGCATGGAAAGAGTGAGACCACATTTCACAGTTGAAATAATGAGGGCGGGGCGTTTTGAAAGCCTGGTATCAGCACACTGTGCTATAAATGCAAGCCAGAACTGGAGGGGCAAAGCACAGAGGCCAAGACAACGGTACCAGTTTTCAAAAGTGATCTATTAATTCCATCTACTCCAGAGCTCTCGGTCATACAGCACATTCAGGGATATAGTTGCCGAAGACAGTTACTGCATCAGCCTAGTAGCACCGAGGGATAGCAGAGAGCGGCAATGGTGGACTGCTTCTTTTAATAATAATAATAATAATAATAATAATAATAATAATACATTTTATTTATATCCCGCCCTCCCCAGCCAAAGCCAGGCTCAGGGCAGCTAAAAACAATCAAATAATCAAACAATCAAATAATCCAACATTCTAAAACATTTCATTATAAAAATTAATTAAAATCAAATTAATGGCAACCGTTAAGGAAAGTTCTGTGCAGGTTGCCAGAGGAGGGAGTTAGGCTGTGCCCTGACCAAAGGCCTGGTGGAACAACTCTGTCTTGCAGGCCTTGCGGAAAGATGTCAGGTCCCGCAGGGCCCTAGTCTCTTGTGACAGAGCGTTCCACCAGATTGGAGCCGCAGCCGAGAAAGCCCTGGCTCTAGTTGAGGCCAGCCTAACCTCTCTGAGGCCTGGGACCTTCAGGATGTTTTTATTTGCAGACCGTAGGTTCCTCTGTGGGGCATACCAGGAGAGGCGGTCCCGTAGGTACGGGGTCCTAGGCCGTATAGGGCTTTAAAGGTTAAAACCAGCACCTTAAACCTGATCCTGTACTCCACCGGGAGCCAGTGCAGCTGGTATAGTACCGGATGAATGTGATCTCGCAGCGAAGACCCCATAAGGAGTCTCGCCGCGGCATTCTGCACCCGCTGGAGTTTCTGGGTCAGTCTCAAGGGCAGCCCCACGTAGAGCGAGTTACAATAATCCAGTCTGGAGGTGACCGTCGCGTGGATCACAGTGGCTAGGTCAGGGCGAGAGAGATAAGGGGCCAACTGCTTAGCTTGGCGGAGATGAAAAAATGCCGCCTTTGTTATAGCTGTAATCTGCGCCTCCATAGAGAGGAAGGTATCGAAGATTACACCCAAACTCTTAACGGACGGTGCTGGCACTAATTGCACCCCGCAAGAGATGGGAGTTGCCCCCAATCCCATATCGTCCCGTCCCAGCCAGAGGACCTCTGTCTTGAAGGATTTAGCTTCAACCGGCTTCCACGTAACCATCCAGCCACAGCTTCCAAACATCTGGTCAGTGTGTCTGGGGCCGAGTCAGGATGGCCATCCATCAACAGATAGAGTTGGGTGTCATCGGCATACTGATGGCAGCCCAGCCCAAAACTCCGGACAAGCTGGGCGGGCGCATAAAGATGTTAAAAGCATCGGGAGAGTATCGCACCCTGAGGCACTCCACACACCAAGGAGTGGCGCGATGACAATTCCCCCAAGCGCCACCCTCTGTCCCCGACCAGAGAGAAGCAGGCGCAGCCATTGAAGGACTGTGCCCTGGATCCCCCACGTCGGCAAGGCGGTGGTCCAGGAGTTCGTGATCGACCATGTCGAAGGCTGCTGACAGGTCTAGAAGAATCAGCAGCCCCGACCCGCCTCGATCCAGCTGCCTGCGGAGATCATCTGTTAGGGCGACCAGAGCCGTCTCGGTCCCATGACCAGCGCGGAGCCGGACTGGAATGGATCCAGAGCCGATGTTTCATCCAGAAACCTACCAAGCTGTTCAGCAGCCGCTCTCTCAATCACCTTACCCAGGAAAGGAAGAATTGAAACCGGGCGGTAATTGGATAGATCTAAGGGATCTAATGATGTTTTCTTTAAGAGCGGGCGCACCACTGCCTCCTTCAATTCCCCTGGAAATATCCCGGTGCCAAGGGACAAATTGATGATATCCCCCAGGGGCCCGCACCTCGTCTGGACACGCTCTAATCAGCCAAGGCAGACACGGGTCAAGAGGACAGGTGGTGGGCTTTCCAGCTCGGAGGAGTCTGTCCACATCGGCTGGGGATATCCGGTCAAAGTGGTCCAATACTGGACCCGAGGACAGTCGAGGGCCTCCAGTTCCTTTATTGTATCCAAATTGGCAGGAGGTCATGGCGGAGCAACAGGACCTTCTCCACAAAAAAGCTTCGCAAATGCCTCACAGCTGTGTGTCAGATTGTTATTTAAATTTGGCTGTCCTTCAAGGGACGTTAAAGACCTAATTATACTAAATAATTGCGCCGGGCGAGAGCTAGCGGATGCAATGGAGGCCGAGTAAGACTTCTTAGCGGCCTTCACCGCCATCTCATAGGTTTTCATAAAAACCCTATAAGATGTTCTTGAGGCTCCGTCACGGGCACCCCGCCATACTCGCTCTAGCCGTCTGAGGTCCCGCTTCATTTTCCGAGCTCCTCGGTAAACCAGGGAGCCCGGTTTCTGCGGAGTCGCAGAGGGCGCTTAGGTGAGATCTCATCTATGGCTGCCAGGAGCTGGATATTCCAGCCCTCAACAAGCTCAGTCAATGAGTCGCCAGGGGGAGCAAGGTCCCGCAGGCTTGACGGAATCTATCAGGGTCCATCAGCCTCTGTGGGCGAGCCCAAATCGGCTCGCCACCTAAGCAGGGTGTGGGTGGAAAGTCAATCCTGGCTTTCAGAGCGTAGTGATCAGACCATGGCACCTTCATTGAAGGAGACATGATCACATCTATACCTACGCCAAAGATCAAATCCAGTGTGTGGCCTGCTTGATGTGTGGGGCCTGAAACAAACTGGGAGAGCCCTAGTGTTGCCATGGAAGACACCAGGTCCAGAGCCTGTGAGGAGGGGTGGCATCAGCATGGATGTTGAAGTCCCCCAATACCAATAGGTTAGGGAACTCCAAGGCCCAGCCGGCCACCGCCTCCAGCAGGCCTGACAGGGTGGCTGCTGGTGCGCTAGGTGGCTGGTACACCAGCCAGACAGCCAAGCTCACCTCAGAGCCCACACTAGGCCAACACATTCAATGCCGGGGATCGATGGCGATGGTAGAGCCCTGAAAGAACAATCTTCCCGGATTAATAATGCCACCCCTCCCCCCCGGCCCACAGTCCGTGACTGGTGGAGGACGGAGAAACCCGGGGGCGCATCTCTCGTAAGGTAACTGTTGCCCCTTCGCGTACCCAGGTCTCCGTCACACAAGCCAAGTCGACCCCCTGCGAGGTAAAGAAATCTCGCAGAGTGGCGGTTTTGTTGCCTATAGACCTGGCATTGCACAACACCAGTGACGGAGGTGAGTAATCCTTGCTCACCCTACCCTCGTCCCTCGGGATGGGGCGCAGATTGGAAGGGGTACGAGCATATCCGTATCTCGATCCCCTTCTCCTATGACATCTGCCCCCACCGCCATACCTCCCTCGCCCCTCCGCAGTAGGAATCCCAAGCCTCATACAAGCCTCCATTTACAAAATAGAAAAACAAACCAAACCAAAAACAATTATACCTAAACAAAACCAATCCCCACCCCAAACCACAATAAAACGGAACAAAATAAAAATACATAGATAAAAACCACTGTTCACGGTGGTACAACAAAAGTAAAAGTAAAAACACCTTTAAAACACTTTAAAATATATAAAAACATTTTTAACATTTGCTGCAGCAGCACCAAGTGTCCTTAAAACTGTAGCGGAGGTGAGTCTGGGCCCCGCCCTAGGCCAGGTGGAATCAGCCTGAAGAGGAGCGGCCTTCCCAGCACTCACCGTGCAGCAGCAGCGATGTCCCAGTGCCTCAATGAGGCCTCTTAAGCTGTGGCGAAGGTGAGTCTGGGCCTCGCCCCCTAGGCCAGGTGGAATCAGCCTGAGGAGGGAGCGGCCTTCCCCAACACTCACAGTGCAGCAGCAGCGATGTCCCAGTGCCTCAATGAGGCCTCTTAAGCTGTGGCGAAGGTGAGTCTGGGCCCCGCCCCCTAGGCCAGGTGGAATCAGCCTGAGGAGGGAGCGGCCTTCCCCAACACTCACAGTGCAGCAGCAGCGATGTCCCAGTGCCTCAATGAGGCCTCTTAAAGCTGTGGCGAAGGTGAGTCTGGGCCTCGCCCCCTAGGCCAGGTGGAATCAGCCTGAGGAGGGAGCGGCCTTCCCCAACACTCACAGTGCAGCAGCAGCGATGTCCCAGTGCCTCAATGAGGCCTCTTAAAGCTGTGGCGAAGGTGAGTCTGGGCCCCGCCCCCTAGGCCAGGTGGAATTAGCCTGAAGAGGGAGCGGCCTTCCCCAACACTCACAGTGCAGCAGCAGCGATGTTCCAGTGCCTCAATGAGGCCTCTTAAAGCTGTGGCGAAGGTGAGTCTGGGCCCCGCCCCCTAGGCCAGGTGGAGTTAGCCTGAAGAGGGAGCGGCCTTCCCCAACACTCACAGTGCAGCAGCAGCGATGTCCCAGTGCCTCAATGAGGCCTCTTAAAGCTGTGGCGAAGGTGAGTCTGGGCCCCGCCCCCTAGGCCAGGTGGAATCAGCCTGAGGAGGGAGCGGCCTTCCCCAACACTCACAGTGCAGCAGCAGCGATGTCCCAGTGCCTCAATGAGGCCTCTTAAAGCTGTGGCGAAGGTGAGTCTGGGCCTCGCCCCCTAGGCCAGGTGGAATCAGCCTGAGGAGGGAGCGGCCTTCCCCAACACTCACAGTGCAGCAGCAGCGATGTCCCAGTGCCTCAATGAGGCCTCTTAAAGCTGTGGCGAAGGTGAGTCTGGGCCCCGCCCCCTAGGCCAGGTGGAATTAGCCTGAGGAGGAGCGGCCTTCCCCAACACTCACAGGTGCAGCAGCAGCGATGTCCCAGTGCCTCAATGCGGCCTCTTAAAGCTGTGGCGAAGGTGAGTCTGGGCCCCGCCCCCTAGGCCAGGTGGAATTAGCCTGAAGAGGAGCGGCCTTCCCCAGCACTCACAGTGCAGCAGCAGCGATGTTCCAGTGCCTCAGTGAGGGCCTCTTAAAGCTGTGGCGAAGGTGAGTCTGGGCCCCGCCCCCTAGGCCAGGTGGAGTTAGCCTGAAGAGGGAGCGGCCTTCCCCAACACTCACAGTGCAGCAGCAGCGATGTCCCAGTGCCTCAATGAGGCCTCTTAAAGCTGTGGCGAAGGTGAGTCTGGGCCCCGCCCCCTAGGGCTGGTGGAGTTAGCCTGAAGAGGGAGCAGCCTTCCCCAACACTCACGGTGCAGCAGCAGCGATCTTTTGGCTTGCTGCAGACATTTTGCCCCCAAATATCTCTTTCCTTATTTTGCCCCCAAATATCTGTTTCCTTAAAGTTTTTACAGTTTTCCTGCCTCTAGTCCTCCGATCCTCTTTCTCCATTTACTCTGCCCAGAGTTGAGTGACAGGCAAGCTGTTTGGCCTGATTACAAGGCTTTCCAGCCTTATTGGAATGCCGTTGCCCTTTCTGGAAATTCCACGATGCAATCTGAGCCCGCTGATGCTTTGCTTATTTATTACAAGCTTCCAAGTAGATAGCTCACCTCTTGGCTTCCCAAAAGCAAAATCTTGTTTACCAGAGATAAGCTGCTAAAAGCTATCGATGGCTAAGAAGAGCTTCACTCATTTGTTCAGCTTGCGATTACATTAAAAATAGTAATGTTATATGGATAATAAAAGTATAAGGGTAATGAATACATGAGTATCAGACATATTGTACAAAATAATATCTGGCTGATTATGGTCTCTGCCTTTTATTTTGGGCAGGGACCTGCCTGCTTCTCTGTGATGCTTGCTTTGGAGAGTGCTAGGTCCTCCTCTGAAGAGGATTTCTCTAGGAGGGACACTTCAGTTACGGAGTGTCCAAATCTGTACAGATTTGAAAGGTTCAGAATGCCATCTTGTTTCAAAGTGCTACACCATCCTAGGAACACGTAGACCAAAACTTGTCCCTTAATCTCAGAAACAAGTCCATGCCAAATTTGGTTACGATATCCTAAGAGGTGTTCCGAATGCATAGACAACAGACAGACAGACTGATTGATTGATTGATTGATTGATTTATAAAACCTTTCCAAAATATAGAGATAATATAGAAAGATTAACATTTTAGTCCCTTAGAGTTAGGAATAACACTTTCAGTTCCAACATTTCTCAGTAACTTCAAGGGCTGCAGACCCACAGAGAGAATCAAGCTCCACCCTCTATGCCTCCATCCATTTTTAAAATCTGGGTTTTCGGCTTTATCCAATTGATTTAACACCGATGAGATAAGTGAACAAGCACCCTCCTACATCTGCAGATATTCTTGAACTACAACTTCCATCCTCCCTTAGACCATGTTGGCCTGGGGCTGATGGGTGTTGAGAGTCTAACCACAACTGGAGGGTCAAGGGATCCCTCTAAAGATCTCTGTATCTCAACACCTTTTGAAATTGAGCTAACCTGTTACAAACAATGGTAAAACCTTAAATCCTTATCCCCTTACTTGCTCCTTCATTTATTCATCTGTCAACATGATTGAATAGTGAGGGACAAGTCTGTCAGTTTTCATTTCTCACTGCTTCTGATTTTTCTCCACATTAGTTTGTGATTTAAAACAACAACACTCTAATGAAAATTTATCAGCATTCTAGTGTAAATTTCTCCTAATGCTGATATTTTGTATGCAATTTTTTCTAATGTACATACTATTGCAAAGTAACTTCTCCGTGTGTGTTCAGCTTGAGCATTTTTAAAGAAATTGCAGATTAGGAAATTTGCTTTAAAGGTGAACTGATTTAAAAGCAAAATTAGGTAAATTTGCTTTCAAATGTGAATATATGTTGTCCTCCTCTCTAGGAAGTTTGACAGTATTAGCCAAGAAGAGAGGGAACTAAGTTACTGTCACAGGCAGATAACTTAAAGTAAAATTAAACCAAAGACATTCAAAATCTGCTGCAAAAGGAAGTTGAATTCCCCCCGCTTATTTGCAACAGAAGTGTCAAAAACAGAAGATGTGATACGCAGAAGTAGTTGTGATTGCTTAAAAGCAAGGAACCATCCTTTTCTGAAAATTCGCTGTCCAAGTACAGGAGAGGTAAGAAATATTCAGAGTTTGCAGTAAGAGATTTGGGTGGGGGGCTGGCTTTGAAAACGTATTAGCTGTTTCTTTGTTCAATCTGCTGTTGAAGCAGAGATCCCTGTGATTCTTAGTGGCAGGTTCTCTATGGGTTTTCCCCCCAGTGACCAGTAAATGAAGCAACAGCAAACAAGGGGAATCACTTTTCCTTAAATGTTACAGTTGATAAGGTTTGGGTTCTCTCATCACTCGGCAATCTCAGTCTGTGAAAGGGACTACTCAAACAGATTGCTGAAGAGGACGCAAAAATTAGCCATCTGGACTGCTTCCAACATATTTAAAAACATAATAAAATGCATAGTTTAGAGATTCCGGACCCAAATTTTTGAAACTATCTCCACCATCACCTTACCCAGATCCAGCCTTAGCGCTCCTATCCTTGGAGCCTGGTACCAACTTCATCCACCATGCATAAATCTCTCTCTTGTGTTTATGCTACTTGCCACAGCCAGGAAGTCAGTAGTTTCCCACTGGAAATCTGACTCACCTCCTTCCTGAGAGGAGTGGCTAGTGAAAGTATGGAACAATTGCACTGTCAGAACACCTGGCACACAAACGGAGAGTTCATCAAGAATAGACCACTTTCATTTGACTTGGTGTAACTTTTTCTATGTTAACTCGCCCACACAGCCCACTAAACCCCCTGCTCCACAAGTAAATATGTGGAGAGGCTTTATTGAGAACTAATTTGACTCACCTTTTTCTTATATGTGATAAATCCTGATTTCCCCCTCCCCTCTGTATTCTCATTTCATTTTTCTATTTTTACATTCATTATTCTTACTGCATTTTGTATGTGCTTATGTCGATAAGCATTCTGTATGAAAAATGACAACAACAACAACAACATTTCTTATTGGGGTTTTTTTAAAAAAAATTAAACAATAAAAGACTTCCCTATGGAGGACTGCTTTCTGGTGACTTGGGGGGGGGGGTCATATAACGCCATACCCTCCATCATTTCTCTGAAGAAAATAGGGACGTCTTAAGGAAAAGCGGGACACTCTGGAATCAAATCAGAAACTGGGACAGCTTCGGAAAATCCGGGGCTGTCCCTGGAAAATAGAGACACTTGTGGAGTCTGTTACTTTAATATTTTAGAGTTGGGCACAACAGTTTATATTCCAGCATTTCTCAGTAACTATAAGGGTTGAAGATGCATGGAGAGAATCAAGCTCCAAACTCTGTTTGCTCAGCCTGCTTTTCTCTAATCTGATCCCCTGCTTGCTAAAAACTGGCTTTAGCATGGATAACAAGCACTCGCAGATTTTTTGGACTACAGTTCCCATCATGCTCATTCATGCTGGCTGGGGTTGATGGGAGTTGGAGTCCCAGACCTTTTTTGTACAGACTGTTATGCAGCGCCTTTTGAAAGTGAGCTCTTCTGTCCTAAATAATCTTAAATTCTCATTATCACCCCATTGACTCACCTCCCCTCTCCCCATGACGGATTTGTGAAAGCATTCCTAGGAAACTTGGCAGCATTAACGAAAAAAGGAGTGAAATAAAGTAGTGGGAGTAGCTAGCTCCCGGAAACAGAAACCGAAACCAGAAAATCATAATCTGTTTTGATCCCACCACAGTATTTGCAGCTGAAGCGTGAAAATCAACAGGAAATACACAATTGCTGAAAGCCAGCCTTTTGCCTTTTGTCAAAAATTGCTGTTTAAGTACAGGGGAGGTAAGAAGCGCTGAATGTGTCTATAAAGAGGTTCATTCAACAATAGATCGGTGGGCAGCTGAGTTATTTCTCTTTTGCTTTTTTGTTCGGCTGAAGAAGGGATCTCTCTTCTTTTAAGGGACAGGATCACAGTGTTTTTCAGTGATCAGAAGGAAATCAAGGGTGGCTGCTGATATGTTTGTGGTTATCTGATCTCTAAATACCGGTACATAGCTGTCAACTTTTCCCTTGAGAGGAATCCTATTCGGAATAAGGGAATTTCCCTTAAAAAATGGAAACAGTTGACAGCTATGCTAAATAGTCTCAGACTGTGAAAGGATTTATTCAGATGACTTGTTGAAGAAGCAGCAAAGAAAGAACAAATTAGAAGCCAGTGTTTAAGATGCCTCATGGGTAGCCTGAAACATCTCCTTTTAAATTTCTCTTTCAGAAATGTTCTCGTTCCTCCGATTTGTCACATGGTGGAGTCAGACAGTGCTGCTGTAGTTCTTTTCCCAATCTTAAATTCAATTTTCCATGTTTCTGCATCAGTTTATCATCTTTTTTTTTTTTTTAAAAGCCTAATAAAAATTCATTGGCATTTTTAAGGCAAACTTCTTTTGATTTACACATTTTGTATATATATTTTTACCCAATCTACCCATTTTTGCAAGCATTTCCCCCTAATATGATGCATTTTGTATATAGTTTTAGTTGTGTTTTGGTTTGCTTATTATCAGTGCTTTTTCCTGGGGGGGATGCAGGGGTACGCATACCTCTAAACGTTTTGTGAAGCTTTGTACTTTTGTCCATTTACTGTCTTTATTTTTCCCAATTTGAACTATAAAATGGTGATTTTCTTGAGTCTAAATGAGAGTACCCCTAAACATATTTTTTTTAGGGGGCGGAAAAGCACTGCTTATGTAAAATCTGAACTGAACCAACTCTTTTCTCCATCCAAACCCCAGTGGCTAACAGCAGATTGCAATTTAAATGTCCTACAGACCAATCCCATGCATATCCAGTGATTTTTTCCCCCAGGGAGTACTCAAGGGTATGCAGTACCTGCACCTCTTATTGTTGTTGTTAAAAAATGTTTCACCTACTGTAACAACTTCATGGTGAGTACCGGCACCTATTTTTCAAGAAAAAAACACTGTGCATATCTACTCAGAAGTAAGCTCCGTTGAATCCCACTGAATTGCAGCCTTAGTAGATTAATCTGTGTTTTTCTTTTGCTGTTATTTATGCAGCTTTGGGTTTTTTGTTTTGTTTTGTGTTTTATTTTTACTCATTTATTCTAAGCCATTCAGAGAATGTCGTTTTAGCTAGTGGCACTGAAATGGCGTAAGTACACAGTGAAATAAATAAATGCAATACAGTACAAGCCCCTGGTCCACCAGACTGGAGGGGGTTTTGAGAGGTGGAAGTGTCCCTCTGCGCAGCCCTTGCCTGCCTCTGCCAACCTCGGCCAACGCAGAACCGGTCTCAATGTACTCACCCAAATAGCAGGTGAGCAAACCTCCTGTTGCTGGTATCCCTGTTGGCAAGGAGGTGGCAGAACTGGGCTAGCAAAGGATCCTGAGCTGGCCATGCTGCCACCATATGATGGCAACATGTAAGACTTGGCACATCCACACACACATATATATATAAATAATAAATCATTTTCAGATTATAGGGGGGAAATCAAGGGCTTTCAGGATTATGAAGATATAGAACTGGGATGTTGTTGTTGTTGTTGTTGTTGTTGTTGTTGTTTAGTCATTTAGTCGTGTCCGACTCTTCGTGAGCCCATGGACCAGAGCACGCCAGGCACTCCTGTCTTCCACTGCCTCCCGCAGTTTGGTCAGACTCATGTTTGTAGCTTCGAATACACTATCCAGCCATCTCGTCCTCTGTCGTCCCCTTCTCCTTGTGCCCTCCATCTTTCCCAACATCAGGGTCTTTTCCAGGGAGTCTTCTCTTCTCATGAGGTGGCCAAAGTATTGGAGCCTCAGCTTCACGATCTGTCCTTCCAGTGAGCACTCAGGGCTGATTTCCTTAAGAATGGATGGGTTTGATCTTCTTGCAGTCCATGGGACTCTCAAGAGTCTCCTCCAGCACCATAATTCAAAAGCAACAATTCTTCGGCAATCAGCCTTCTTTGTGGTCCAGCTCTCACTTCCGTACATCACTAATTCCGTACATCACTATCCTATATATAGCGTAACAGTTAGGAAATTCCAACAAGCTGAAGAAGTAAAGCAAGGTACTTGACAGAGATGCCTTGAAGGATGTGTGGTGCATCCATTCTGGGCGGGGGGAACCCCTCGCAGGACCCCAAGATCCTTGACAATTGCCTTCTATTCACTAATACTATTTTAGGGGCAAGATGTTGAAGAGGGTAGCGGAAGCTGAGCTGCAGGCACTTCGGGAGGAAACCCATTACAGTTGTACCTCAGAAGTTGAACAAAATCAATTCTGGAAGTCCGTTTGACTTCCAAAATGTTTGGAAACCAAGGCGCGGCTTCCGATTGGCTGCAGGAAGCCTGCAGCCAATTGGAACCCGCGTCCGACATTCCAGCTCCAAAGAACGTTCACTTCCGGGTTTGTGGCATTCAGGAGCCAAAATGTTTGACTTGCAAGGCATCTGACTTCCAAGGTATGACTGTATCTGGAACCATTCTAATTGGGTTTTGGCTTGGTTTTGGCATGAAATTGGCCCTGTTCAGCCTGAAATGTGCGTTTTTCTTGGGGAATGGCTTTTAATTCCATTGACCAAGGTATCCTCCTGGAATCATCCCTGTGAATTGGGGGGTTGGAAGCACCGTTCCACAGTGGTTCCATGTCTCCCTACATGACTGGCCTCAGGGAATAGCATTGGAGCAGAGACTATACATCTACACCTATTTAAAAACTGCTTTGAAGGCTGGAAGGAATTACTGTTTGGAAAAGGGGAAGGCATTCTGCTGCAGATTGCACAACACACCCTACACAGTTTACGTGTTTGTTCCTCTTCTCGTTGTTTCTCCGTCAAGGTCAAACAGCAAGTCTTGCATACATCTCAGAAATGTTGTTTCATAAGGCAACCAAATCTTTGTCCAAGGAACTGGACCCAACAGGAGATTTGATCCCAGTACGAAGTGTTATAGACCAACAGCACTTTAGGCCTCTCTGCCTGGTTCAAAGAAAGAGAAAGCAGTCGTGGTGGCAGACCAGTCGTTTTCAGAGAACCGAATACAAGCTAAGTGATGTGCTGTTATCGGGAGACCATGCTGCAAAACTAGGTAATTTCCAATATTTACAAAGCTATATGTACACATTCAGAAGGAAGCCATATTGAGTTTAATGGGACTTACTCCCAGGTAAGTGTGTAGAACAGAGGTGGAAGAACCTCTGGCCTTCCATTTGTTGCTGGCTTCCAACTCCCTGAATTTCTAGCCATGGACCATGGTGATTGGGGCTCATGGAAGTTAAGAGTCCAACAACTTCTAGTGGCCTACAGATTCCACACTCTGGTTTAGATGATTTCAGGCTCATTCTCCTTCACACATTCTTTACAGGGCTATGTGCATTCCATGATTTGGCAAGAAAAACGCAGGGTGCGTAATTCAATTTCATGAGCATTTTAGCATTCTTTTAGAGCGTATTTCTCATCCCATTTTTCTCAGTGGTTTGTGGTAGTGCCATAGTGTTTTGAAACCTTTACTCACAGTTATGCTGTTTTATCATTAGTTTTGACTTGGATAGAACCATAGAGTTGGAAAGGAGGGAGCCAACGGTCATCTAGTCCAACCCTCTTAAGGGAGTTCATAGATGGCAAATTTCCAACCCCCTCCTTCCCACTCTGCCCCACAAAATCTCTCGTAGAATCTTATTTATAATTAATGTTATTCTGCTTTCCATAATTATATTCAGGGGTGTTTTTTTCAGCTGGAACTCAGTTCTGGCACCCCTCATACGAGAGCAATGAGGCATTCATGATGAGTTCTGGCAACTCTTTTTCTAGAAAAATAGCACTGATTATATTGCTTTTAAAAACCACTTATTGGAATCTTCAAGCCTTAACACCATGGCAAAAGCATACTTTGCATTAAGGAAGTCCTGGGTTGCCCTCCAGTATCTCCAGGGCGGGGAAACTCAGAGAACCACAGCTAGACAGGGTAGAGAAGACAATGAGCCAGATGGACTAAAGTTACGTTTGTTGTTCTAGTGTCCCTTTTGTTGTCATTGATTTTTCTCAATTTTTTTAATCTCCAGAAGTCCAAGATTCAGGTTCATTCACTGTTGTGGACCACGTCGATGGAAAAGTGGAGGGAAATATTGGTGGGCGGATTGAAGAGACAAGAGTAGAAGTGGTGGCGGCTGTTAGTATGTCTCATTCGAGGTCTGTGAACGTGAGAAAGATATATGTCCACCCCCAGCTCCTTGATTCTGCAACAAGAGATGGGTAAGGCTGGAAGAAAACAGTTTTGGATATTGACCTCATATACCCAGTGGAACTCAACATCACCCATTACACTTTCTAAGAGACCACCTCCTTCCCTACAGACCCTCTCATATGTTAAGATCAGTAGAGGGGGCCCTTTTGGTTGTTTCACTTGCTTCAGAAGTGTGGGGGGGGAGGCAAAGGACATTATTTGTGGCAGCCTCTAAGCTGTGGAATTCCCTCCCCACAGAGGTGTGTCCAGTGCTAGATTTATGTATAAGCTAAACAAGCTATACCCCACTCTCTTGGGGGCCCCAAAATTTTTAACAAAAAAACCTGGATGTACAATTCCAAAATATAAGATAAAAAACAAATAAAATAAAACCTACATACAGCAACAGTGTTTGTGTTGTGTAGGCTCCTATGATGTAAGTAATGGGCCCCGCCTGCTAGCCTGCTCCCTGCAATATCACTGGTTTGCTCATTTCTATATACAGTCATACCTCGGGTTACAGATGCTTCAGGTTGCGTTTTTTCGGGTTACGGACCGCCGAAACCCGGAAGTACCGAGGTACCACTCACATAAAATACCAAGCTACTGAGATGCCGGGTAAAAGTGACATGGTCACACTCCTGTGTCACATTTCAGCAGGGCAATCAAGGCTGATTCAGTCCCAAACCCATGCTTGGACTCAGAGGAAATGGGTCCAGAGTGAAAAAATCCTGTACAGTATTGATTGGAGTTTAGAACGACGATATAGATTGCAGAAGATGCACTGCATGTAGTTTGTATATGTGTTGCTATTTTATGCACTTTGCTCTGTTGGATAACGGATGCATATTTTCTTCTTCAGGAAAATCAACTTGCAACATGAGTTCATTAAACAATCAAAGATGATTCGAAGGGACCTGTTTGTCATCAATGAGGCAGTGGAGACTGTGGAAGAGACAGAGTTCAGGGAATCCAGCAATGCTGAAGGCAACATCTTTTACGACACCTGCATCAATCTGAAACTGAAGGTCAGGTTCGAGTTGCGGCCTTTCATTAAATAAGGGGTGGGGGATGGACACACACATCCTTGCAGTCAAATTTTGTTCCATGTGGTTGATCCAAATTCTTCTTTCATGTACTAGGGTGGCAGAGGCAGTAAGAAAGCAATCATCGTTCCCAAATCCTGCATTCTGGCATTCAGAGCAAAGCAACTGTTATTTGGAGAGAGAGATGCACGTAAGATACTTTTTGTTTGAGACCTAGACCACTGTGACTTAGCTGCCTTGCTGAGATGGAACTTGTGGCGAAGAAGGGATGCTCAAGCAAAGCCTCTGCCACCTTCTCCCTTGCCCAACAGCAACACAGCAGCCCTGCAGTGCTGCCTGTGGGTCTTATTCTCCAGTAGCTGCTGCAACCATCCTCCCAGTTACTCCTGAAGCCCAAAATGGGAGAGGACCTGGGATGCACCAAAGCATACTTTTTAAAAGGCTGTGAGTCAGGGCACCCAGCACTCCTCGGTTCAATCCACACAGATGAGACTTGATGCTGGTTTTCAACACAGCGTCCAGTTCTATCTCAATACTGGCATAAATCAGAAATGATTTCAGTGAGGCTTATAAATGGGCCCTGAAGTGAAGGACATGAGACAGGAGTTGATCATGCAGGTGAGCTATGCTGCCAGCTAGCTCTGCAGAGGCTCTTTTTATTAGCACAATATGCAAAACCAGTCAGATACATTTGGGACTGTGCCCTTTACACATCTTCCAATCATGCGATCGTGGGGTGGTACAAAGTTATTTTGGCACCTGTTTCCACTGTGTCACTTTCCCCTTGAACAATGTTTAAATGACGGAGTCAAAGGCCACAGACAGGGCATGGCAGACCACTAAGAGAGCAAAAGGTTAGATAGAGGGCATGATGTTCAGACAGCTGTGGCTTGTCTGTGGGCAGAGGTGTGCTTCACACCCAGCAGTCATTCCTTCAGGGCCCAAAATGGCTTGGCTCCTCAGAAAAGTTAACTTGTGGAACAAAGGTTTCTCATCTCCCCCATAGCCCTTTTGCACCATCTCACATTATTTCAGAGAGCCCATTTGTGGGGCACGGAGGTCGTGGGAATGGGAAACTTTCCTTCTGTGAGCTTCCTTTGTTTAGCCATCTTAGGATCCACTGTCTACTTTCCTTCCCAAATTTATACATCACTGGTAAGAAAGAAATTTTCACACATTTGAATATTAAAACAAAATGCCATTATTATTCATACACTTTATGTAAACTAGTACCTTTTTGCTCTTTCTCCCAGATATTTCACACTATCCATCCAAGGGAAGAGGAAGTTTTGGTAAGCACATTTTAGGAGTTCCATTTTTATTTTTTTACAGACATTGGACAGAGTGATAGAGATGGCTTGAGAGTGTCATTGCTGTATTCACATCACATACATTTTTCTCTGGCCTAATGTGATGTCTGAGAAACGGGAGGAAATCCAGTATTTTTATTTGATTCAACTTGAAGCAGGGAATAGTTGGCTGTTGTAGCAGGAGGTCTTGTGAAGCAATGATAACAACACCATGGGTAACAGTAGCTGAATCATGCCAACTTTGGCTCTTTGAAAACTGTCTCTATCCTAAATTAAAATATGTTCTTAACAGATATACTTGATGGCAGAGAAATCCAGCATCTAATAGAGATGCGGGGTGATGGCAGTTATGTACATTGGTATGAAATCTTTATTTTCCTGAAATGTAAAGGAACTGAAAGGGAAGGATCAACGATCTCTATATGTACTTTCTCATTTCTCCGGCTAGAATAAAATGTGTTCTTGTTCCGTACGAACTGCAGTGCGGTCCTAAGCATATTTATTTAGATGGGCCACTGATTTAAATGGAGCTTACTCGCCTGTAAGTGTGCATAGAAGGACAGTCTTTCTGGATTTCATTCTGTGGAAAATTGGTTTGAAGTATTTTTATACCACTTCTAAAAGTTGGAAAGCTTCTCAAAGCGGCCCATAAAATAAAAGCATGAAAAAGTAACACAAGCGTGCACACATTAACTAACTATGGCTGACATAGTATTCAAAGTAATAAAAATATCAGAAACGGTTAAAATTGTAATTATAAATATTTGTCAAACATTCTCTTAGAGCAGGCATGGCCAAACTTGGCCCTCCAGCTGTTTTGGGACTACAATTCCCATCATCCCTGACCACTGGTCCTGTTAGCTAGGGATGATGTGAGTTGTAGTCCCAAAACAGCTGGAGGGCCAAGTTTGGAACAAAGATGTGCAACTTACAGACCTTGGGGCCCAGACTTACAAGCCCCAGCAAAGGATCAAGCTTGTACCTTGGAGGTACTATATATGACTTCCACTGACTTTGGCTGGTGAGCACAGCCCTTTCAGAGGAAGCCCAATCTCTGTTATACATGTCAGGCTGACATCTAAGATAGACTCTGTACTAGATGTGTTAGACTACACACCTAACTGAAAGTAAGCCTCATTGAACTTCAATAGGATTTTATTTTCAGTAAGTGAATATAGCATACGATTGCACTGTAAACTTGCTTATCATAACACTGATTTGTGAATTACCACTGTACTTCTTTTACATATAATTTTTAAAAAGTATTTTACATTTAAGGTTTAATGTAAGTAAGCAGTTATTAAAAATTTGCATACATCCGAAGATCACAGGGTGGTTCACAAAATAAGGAACACAAATTACGTAAAAAGACAAAAAGCAAACCAATAAACTCCCTCCCACAGTTAAAAGGGCAAAGAATGTTTATAATCAGCCAAAGGCCTGGTTACAGAGGAGTGTTTTATCCCTGGGGAGAGCATTCCACAAATGGGAGTTGTCAGAGTCTGTTGTTGTTGTTGTTTTGCATTTCTTTCCCCATTGACCCTACATTTCTCCCCCACCTGCCTACATCCATCTGCCCTCTTATGATGTTGCTGGATCACACCATCTCTGACTATTGGCCAGGCTAGATGGGGTTGGAATCCAACAACATTTGGAGAGTCACAGGTGAACACTCCTTGTTTAAGGTGCCTTGAGACTCTGTTGCGTTACCTAATGCAACTTTTAAAAACTTCCAAAATAGACCATGAAAAGTAGTTGGGAGCTTCCATTTGTTCACCATGCAGCAGTTAGATTATTGATGGGAAACTCAGAGGTGTGCTCATACTGTGTCAATACATTAAAATTGCACTGATTCCCTCTTTGTTTCCAGATAAAACTGTTCAACTATGCGGAAGTAGACAATGTGATTCAATTGAGAGAAAATGTAAGTAGATTTCAGAATGGTAGGTTGGAATTAAATGTGGGTCCTGAGGTGGGAAATCTGAAAACTACTGTTTCGGCTAACTTTTTAATTGATTACCTTTTTACATTGCAATGCCTCAGTAAAGATGTTTTTGAGGATTCTGAAGGAAGACAATAGATCTTGTGCTGTGTGGGATTTTAAAAACCAATACCACTAATATTCCCTGTTTAGGGAAGCTTTTAATGTTTGATGTATTAGTATTTTAATATTTTTTTGGAAGCCGCCCAGAGTGGCTGGGGAAGCCCATCCAGATGGGTGGGGTATAAATAATAAGATTATTATTATTAAAATAAAACATTTATTGTTTTTATCAAACTTATTTTATCAAACTGAAATATTATCCTGACCTTCAGATATAGAAAATGTTATATGTTCCTGGACACCAAAATCAAATACTTGGCAGATGGCATCAAGCATATTTATCGTTTACTCTGGGCAAAAATGGGGAGGGGGAATGTTAACATTTCCAGAGTACCAGCATCAAAGCTACATGCACTATGAGAGGCAGGCACTCCAAGGCTTCTCTAAATGACCTATGAGGTTTATGAGTTTAATGCAGCCTTCATCCTAGCACCCTCTAGCTATTCTTGACTACAACAACCATCAGTCCCAGCCAGCAAAACTGATGGGGTTGCAGTCCAGAATAAATGTTAAACGGCTTAATTGAACAACACCATATTTTTCGCCCTATAGGACGCACTTTTTCCCCTCCAAAAATGAAGGGGAAATGTGTGTGCGTCCTATGGGGCGAATGCAGGCTTTCGCTGAAGCCTGGAGAGCGAGAGGCGTCAGTGCGCACCGACCCCTCTCGCTCTCCAGGCTTCAGGAAGCTATCTGCAAGCCTTGCGAGCCCGGTGGGAGTTTCCGCGGGCTCGCAAGGCTTGCGGGCAGCAGCCTGCAGCCCGAAGTGCCCTCTGGAGGACGCCCCGTGCTTCGCGCAGGTGTCCGCAAGCCTTGCGCGCCCGGGGGGAGTTCCCGCGGTCTCGCAATGCTTGCGGGCGGCAGCCTGCAGCGCCCTCTGGAGGACGCCCCGTGCTTCGCGCAGGTGTCCACAAGCCTTGTGCACCCGGGGGGAGCTCCCCTGGACGCGCAAGGCTTGCGGGCGGCAGCCTGTTCTGGGGGCTGGGGTCGGGGGAAGCTCGGGCTTCCCCCACCCCAGCCCCGTGGCTGGGGGGGGGGAAATAAATTTTTTTTATTCATTTCCCCCCAAAAAACGAGGTGCGTCCTATGGGCCAGTGCGTCCTATAGGGCGAAAAATACGGTAATTTGCTTTAATTGAAGTTTTTTGATGGGCCCCAAACTTTTTTGTAGGCTGTTGGGAGTTTTGTGGGTCCTAGGCACTGTTGGAGATTCATTCCCATGTCTGCAGTCATGGGATTGTTGTCTATCACATAACGGTGTATGTTTTCATTCCACAGTGTGGGAAGTGACAGAGACAGGATGTTTTGTGTTACTTTCTTCCATGAAGTGGGACTATTGTCCTTTGTTCTTTCTCCTTGCTGTCTGATGAGAAAGAGGCAGGAGCTAAGTCAGGATGCTCCGAGTGTATTATATGTAAATAAACGTAGATTAGCCAAATGCTGAGCTACTGAATTCTGTTACGCAAACTCTGAATACTCTGCGGATCCCTGAGTGTGCTAATGCATTAGTCGCTGTGATGTTCGGGCAGATGAAACCTTTTGAAGCTCCCAAATGATCGACCAGGAGGGAAAGAACATGCCAATCGGGCATGTGTCTCTGCCAGGCTTCTACACAAGAGTAGGACGCTCCTAACAGGCACTGCATAGATACAGATAATCCAGCCCTTCAAGGGGCTAGTTCTAGTTTGGATCGGAGCAGTAACACTGAGGGAATTAGAGTTTCTTATTTCTAACCCTACCACAACCTCCAGCATTGCTAGTAGCCCTACAGGGAGAAAATGTATCTTACAGGTATTCTGAGGTTCTTTTCAGTAACATGGAGTAGTATCAAATTTGTGAGCCCTATGTTTTGTCCCTTCCCCTAATCTCTAATTCTGTCCATACTGCCAGTGATCTCAGGAATCATCAGAGAACACAAGAGTAAAGACATACAGCAGGAAGTTAAGACAGAATTTGTAATATTCTCTTCATTATCTGCGATGCTGCGTGGCAAATTTCTAACTGGCTTTCTGGTGATAATGAGAGAGAATGACTTGTTGCAGGAACTGGAGCTCCAGGTAAAGTTTTTTTTAAAAAAATTATTTTACTTTAGGATTTCATTTATATATCACTCTTAAATTAACATATTGCAGAGTGGTTTAGAAATAATAATGTAATACAGTGGTACCTCGGGTTACATACGCTTCAGGTTACATATGCTTCAGGTTACAGACTCCGCTAACCCAGAAATAGTACCTCAGGTTAAGAACTTTGCTTCAGGATGAGAACAGAAATGGTGCGGCAGCAGCGGGAGGCCCCATTAGCTAAAGTGGTGCTTCAAGTTAAGAACAGTTTCAGGTTAAGAACGGACCTCCGGAACGAATTAAGTACTTAACCCAAGGTACCACTGTACACACAAAGAAATACTAGTACAAACAAAATCATTACTTTTTAAATCTTCAGAATTGTTCTGTAAACAAAACAAAACAAAGCAAAAGCAGTGAAATGAGGTGTTAAATAAAATGTTCAACAGACATGGCCTCTCAACAATCAGGGGTTTGTATGACCAGTTATAAATGGGAAACACATCTGAACCACTTAGAGAGAAGTAGGACAAAAAAATTCAAAAATTCAAATATCTTTAATACGGTCAATGACCAGGAAGCAATTTATAAAATATGACATTAAGAGTAGTATTGTACTACAAGTAACAGTAAAAATATGGCCAATTCACAGAATTGGTGCTTATGTTTATGACCAGGTTTCGAGTTTTAAGTTTTTAAAATTCAATTCAGGAGTCGCTACTGTTTATTATCGTTCCTTCGATGTTTACAGTTTGAACTCCTTTGTAGACATCATTGCTCGTCTTATTCTTGTTGCAATGTAACAGTACTTTGCCACGGACCTGTTAATTTCGGGCTCTTTGTCAGCTAAGAGGTGTCTGATATAGGTGTCGTCTGTACTACGAGGTATTTTCCTCAGAATCGGATCGATCAGCTCTTTTCTTGAGTCTCGATATAATGGGCAGTATAAGATGACATGCCCAATGGTTTCGATTTCATTGCTGTTACAGGGACATAATCTTTGTTCGATCGGTATTTTATTGTATCTTCCCTCTAGAAGAGCTGAAGGGAGAGCGTTAAAGCGGGCCCTGGAAAATGCCCATCGGTGTTTAGCGTTGTCTAGAACTTTGAGATAGTTTGCTAGATGTGGCCTTTGGGAATTGTATAGAAGTTTATAAGTTATCGGAAGTTGGTTAAAGTCATGTTGGGTTTCAATGTCCCTGAGTCTTTCTTTGATTATGTTCTTGGCCCTTCCCCTTTCTAAACTTAATAAATACTCTGGGGAGAGACCGTATGTGGCCAGTTTTCTGAGAATGCCCTTCAACCAGCTAGATTGGAATTTGTCAAGAAGCATCAGGGAAAGTAGTCCAACCGGCGAGTTGTTAAGTCTTAGCCAAGTGCATAAGGTTCTTATCCATACTTTGGCTTTAATGCTGTATAAGCCCCCTTCCAGTCGTAAGGCGGCGTTTGGGACGCATTTAGGTGTTTGCAGGAGTGATCTAAGGAAACCTGGTTGTATCTTCTCATATGGGTCTAGATTAGAGAGGGAGACGAGTGGTGCGCCGTATAGGATTTGTGCTGTTGGTTTTGCAACGAATAGTTTAATTGTAGCAGGAATGAAATTTCCTCCCGTTGTACAATGGAATCTTAGGATTGCTGTTGTACTTTTTTGTGCTGTAAAGGAGCTGTAGTTTATGTGGGCAGTCTTCTTCCTTGATGCTTGGAATATCACTCCTAGATATTTAAAGCATGTCACTTGTTCAATCTCCTGATTGTCTAAATTCCATCTGTATATTTTCCTTTTGTTAGAGAAAACCATGATTTTTGTTTTTGGTAGTTCACTGCTAGTTTCTCTTCTCTACAATATTGGGATAAGCTGTTAAGAGCTCTTTTGAGGCCCATCTGAGTCTGGGACAATATAACCGCATCGTCTGCATAGAGTAGGATAGGCAGTTTTTGTCTGCTAATTTTGGGGCGTGTGTATCCGCTCCTTGTAGGTGGTCTATTAGGGAGTTTATATAGATGTTGAACAAAAAGGGGGCCAAAATGCATCCTTGTTTAACTCCCTTTGTTGTTCTAATGAAATTAGAGAGTTGACCTTCTTGGCTGCATCTTATACGAAGTCGTGTGTTGTTGTACAGTTTGTATATTAGTAGCAGCAGACGTCGGTCTATGGATGATTTGTTGAGTTTGTCCCAGAGTCGAGTTCTTGGGATGGAGTCAAAGGCTGCTTTAAAATCTACAAATGCTGCGAATAGGTGGTGATTGTGATGCGACGTGTATTTCTCAGCTAGGTGCTGTAAGATCAGGCAGTGATCCATTGTGGATCTCCCTTGTCTAAATCCTGCCTGTGCATCATCAAGAATCTTCGCTCTTTCTATCCATTCGCACAGTTTCTCACTGAGGTGTTTAGCGTATAATTTACTTATTATATTCAGGAGGCTTATAGGTCTATAGTTGGAGGGATCGTCCCTCGAGCCTTTTTTGTAAATGGGAATAATGATGGAAGTCCCCCAGTCGTATGGGATCTGTGCAGTTCTATCTATATATGTGAACAGAGAGGCAAGCAAGGGGGCCCACCAGTTCGCATTGGTTTTGAATAGTTCCGCTGGTATACAGTCAATTCCGGGGGCTTTCCCGTTCTTTAGTTGGTCAATCAGCAGATGGGTCTCTGTTACTGAGACTGCTGGCCATGGCTGTATCTGATCATCTGGTATGTCTAATGCATAGGACTCATCGCTAGATTCCTCGTAAAGATTATGGAAGTGCGTTTCCCAGGCTTTCATTGATATGCAGCAGGATAGTTGTGATAGGCCCCTATCCGGCTGTACAGCTACGATTCTCCAGAATAATGATGGGTTACTTGATTTGGAGGCCTCTATCAGTTGCTGCCATAATAACTTCATTGCGTATCTTTTCTTTTGTGTCAGAAGTTTTTTGTAACTTCTTTTGGCTTCAAGCATCTTTTGTCTGTTGTCCTCTGTTGGATTATCCTTATGGCAGATGAAGGAGTGGATCAATGATTTCTTGGAGGTTATACACTCATGATCGAACCACTCCCTGGAAGTTTTCCGACGGTGGGGAGACTTGGAATTCGGTTTTACAACAAACTCTTGAATTTTTTGTATAAGCATTTCATATGTTGTCATCATGTTCGGGCGCTCTCCTCTATTTCTAAGCACCCTTCCATAATTGCTTTTGAGAGACGGTAGCTCTCCTCAGTTTTATACCAGTTAGATATCCGCTCGCTCACTTGTCCGTTCCATCTGATTTTCTTGAGGCCTGTTCCGGGTGTTAGATCTGGTTGATATCTGTGTTGTGGTTTGGGCAGATCAAAGGGTAAATCACACACGAGGGATAAAGGTAGATGATCACTTTCAGCTCTTGCTGTAATGGTGAATTTTGATATCCTAGGGATCAGGTCCTGGGAAACAATGCAATAATCTATCGTTGACAGTTTGTGTCCTGACCAATATGTATATTGACCAGGATAATCTCCTTGTATAGCCCCATTCAGTAAGTGTAGATTTTGTCTGTAGGCCATGTGTGCTAAATGTAGTCCTCCAATGTTGCATGTCTTATCGTAGGATGATCTTATCATTGGGGTGGGATAGTTTCCATTTCCGGAGGCCATTGGTGAAAATGTGCATATAGGGCGTTGTCGTTAGGGCCCACTCTTGCGTTTAGGTCACCAGCTAGTAATATCATGGCTGACGGGTGTTGTCTCCTCCATTGCATCACGTGGGCTTCCACTTCTTTCCATAGTTGTTCTACTTGTGCCTGCCGACGACATGTAGGTAAGTATAAGTTTATGCATAGCAGTTTGCTTTGTCCGAAATCTAAAACTGCTGCTACAGACCATTCATCATTGGAGGGTAATTGGATAATATTAGCTTGTATCTGCGTTGAGAACAGTAAGGCTAAGCCTCCTTTGGGTCTGCCCCCTCTTTGACTAGGTGTTGCTCTTTTAATACACGAGTGGTAATTATCCAGGTAGAGCTCGTCTATCGACCAGGTTTCCTGGATGAACAGGATGTCAAATTTAGTGAGGAAGTCCATTAGATTGGGATCTTTGCTTTTAGCTCCCCACCCTGCGATGTTCCACGTACAGGTGGTCAGCTTGTGATTTTTGGTTGTCAGACATCTCAAGGGACAATCAAGCTTAGGTTTATAGCCAATTTGGGATTTATCATTCATTATGTCCGTTTTGGGGTGTGTAGTGGGACATTTTGGCACGGTGTGAACTTGGACACATTTTAGTGTCCCGGAGGGGCGTTCTTTCCCGTGACCTTATTTCAGTCCGTGTGGATGGTGTCTAGGGCTCCTAGGTTGTCCACAAAGATTGAACCGTTCTTGCCTGGTGGTACCGCTATTTCAGCTTGATGTGTTATTGTTTTCTTTGTTATAGGTGGTTCCGTAGGTCCGAGTTCCTCTGGCGATAGGAATAGCCTTAGTATCCACTCACTGTTGGATAGAGGTTTTGTGGTATAGGTTGCATAGTTAAATTCCCTGGTGACGGGTGTGGCTAGGAGTGTAATAGTTTTCCTTATGGATGCTAATCTTTCAATTAGTGCGTCCTGAGCTTTATGTATTTGTTCAATAGTTGCTATGAAGCGGTTTTCCTTCTCTATGTTGGAGCTTTCATCTGGTACGTGATTTGGGGATAGGGTTTTTGGTCTTTTAGCCAGCTGGTTTGGGGCTTTGTCTGCCTCTAGTTGAAGCATCTTACAGTTCTCGTCCGTCATAGACATTGTCGGCTTTGTTTTTATCTTATCAGTCTTGATTGTTTCGATGAGAGGAGTGGGAGTACCGGACACTTCGAATAGGCGAGTCACCTGCAATCCAACCCTTTGTAGCTTGTCCTTATTGTCTGAAACTAGTTTGGTTGTGTGCCAGTCTCTGAATGTTACCACAACTCTGTTTAGGTCCTTGTCTGATGGCAGAAATTTAACATTAATGATGTTTTCTGCTGGGACGAACCCTCTAACGGCTAATTCAGTTTTCTTGAGAATATAAATTCTCTGTTGTGCTGGAGAAAGGAGATCTTTGTGCATGTATACAGGTAGGATGATGAGTTTTTGTTTGTTTAGAATTAGATTTCTGCGAGAGTATGTTGTTTTAGGAGTAGTTTCTTGCTTAGGGATCGGGTTTTCTCTTGATTTTCCCGCGGTTCCATTCGGGAGCGCTAGTTGCTCTGTTGAATTATGAAGCCTAGCCTTATAGAGTTCCTCTGTTGAATTGAAAAGCCCAGCCTTATGGAGGTTTTTATTTGGGCTTGGGCTTGGGCTTTTATCAAGGGGTGGCGGGACTGGGTTAGCTGGGTTCGTTGGATTTGAATTTTCTAATAGCTTAAATAGTCTTGTGAGGTTCATTTTCTTTGTTCGAGATGGGAGCTTTGTCTTCCTTCCCATTTTTACGTTCTTGGGCTTCTTCTCTTTATTCCTGGGGCACTTCCCCTTTAAGAGGGGTTTCTTAGGGTCAATTAAGTTTCCCTTCTGGTTTGCTTTGATCCTAGATGTTTTCCTTTTTTCCACATTATGTCGGGTTTTATTTTCCTTACTGGTGTTATCGTTTGGTGTGCTAGAGAGAATTTTATATGAATGCAAGTTGTCTATTCTCCTAGTTATTTCAGTCAAAGTGGTAAGTAGGCCCAAGCATTCTGAGAGGAAGTCTTTGATGTGTCCCAGATCTCTGCCTATCTGCAACTTCTGTTCATTTAACAGATCATTATATAGCCCTGTTAGTATGTAGGGGAGGCATTCCAAGTCCAGATATTGGGCTCTTGTGTCCTCCAGGTCCCCATTCATCACAATGTGAAACCCCATCTTCTCCCCGGGCCCTGGTCCCTGGGAGGGCTCATCTGTCTTAATTACTGGGTTTTCCTCTTGTGACTCTTGTTCCTGCTCCAGCCCCGGTTGATTCACTGAGGTTTCATCTTCTATGGCAACTTGTTTTATTTCCGTTGCCAGATTGACTCCCACCCCTTCTTCGTCTGTTTCCATTAGCTCCCCGTACCTGGTGCGGTCTATGGACCATTCGTGGGGGTGTCGTTTGTCAGCATTATTTATTTTGTCTGTTTTCGGTTTAAAATATTGTGAGATTTTCACCTGCCTTCCTCTTGTAGAGGGTTCAGCTGCTTTGATGAGGGGAATTCCCAGCTCTTTATAGCTCTGTCTTGTGAACACCATTCTCTAGGTTGAAAGCTTCCCTTATTGGGCACTTTATTGTAGAAATAAAGGTAGAGGTAAAGTTTGGAAAACCGGTGTCCAGGCTGTTGGATCAGGAGCCTCCCTACCTTTCCCTCTTTAAGCCTTAACTTGGGGCGGGAGGGTATTCATGGGGGAGTTCTTGGACTTATCTTATCGAGGTTAGGCTCAATGGAGTTCAGCGGTTTCCTCTGCTTCTTTGGTTGTATTTCAAGCCAATCCGTCGTCCGGGAGCTCCAAGGTTGTAAGTCAGTGTAGCAGTATCAGTAAACAGTGCGACGATAAAACAATAAAACAATAAAAGAATAAAAGAATAAACTAATTAAAACGAGGCGACAAGACAGACAGCCAACAGTCTTTAAGGTCCTTAACGTGCAGTTTTGGGGTCTTGAAGAGGCTAAAACTAATAAAAACGCTTAGTTAAAATCGGAGGCTCTAATTAGGCTGCTACCTCCGTCGCCATCTTGGCCCCTCCTCCCTCGGACAAAAAAAATAAAACCAGTGGCTGTGTTGAACATTAGGAAAAGGTTTTTCAGGGTGTGGGCGAGTGGTTTGCAACTGAAAAGATGATTTATCATACAGTTTCCAGTTGCTGGTTGAGTCCTTCCTTAGGATCTGGCAGTTCTCATATCTCTTGCTTTCAATGGGGGGGTGTGAACTTGACTGCCCTCCTTTAACCTTGCCCTATTGACACGATGGGCCCCTCTCATTACAATCTTCTACACACACACACACAAACACACACACAAAAAATATGATATATATAATATATATAATAAATTGGAGGTGCAAAAATTATCGACTGCAGTTACCCAATATCAAAACTTTACTTATTAGCAACAGTCCAGTCTATCATTAGGCCCTCAGCTCCCACACTGCAGTACTCCCTGCCCAAAAGAGTCATGCTTTTTCCTAATGTTTCTAGTCTTTGTGGATTGTGCCACATCTAAATAAAAATGGCCAAATGGTCCAGAGTCTTGATGTTCACAGCCATTTACAAATAAAGTGATACCATCACCTACCAAGCCCTACTTTTGCATATGTGCTACGCATGGCCAAATCTCAGGTCATATGTTAATGTACCCACCATTTGGCATTAAAATCTTTTGCTGTAACCTAAACTCTCAGCTGGAAGAGGCTCTTGAAGGCACCGGTCAATTCAAGCTGAAGGCTGGCAAGCCAGAGCTGCGAGACATGGTGGAGAATTTACAAGATTCCAGTGGGGCCGTTTTCGCTGACCTTGTTAAGGCAGTCCTCTACTTCCTTTACGCTCTAGATGGTAAGCATTATCCCTCTCAAAATATCAGAATCAAGTATTTGACTTGAATGGAGAACATTTCAGCTCAGGAGCAGCTGAAAGTAAAGATGGAAGGACAGATCATCTTTAAGACAGATGCCAGAACTCAAGGTGGTTGAAAGCTCATACCTGCCCCACAAAATCTGAGATATGGTGGTATTTGCTTATCATTTTCTAGTTGGGATGCTCAAGGAATTCAGTCTTTGCAAGCTCCAACCTGATGAATGTGCAGCCTGGACCTTAGCTATCCATAAGCTTTTACACTTTTTCTTACAGTTCTGATTATAACAGAAAACATTGGTTCAATGATTTGCAAATATTCTTTTCCATGTATTGTCACAACTACATAAGACAACTAAATGGGTTACTTTTATAAATTCAGAGTGTTTGGGCTAGGCAGAGGCATCCTACAGGTAGGATTAAGGATTATCAGTGGGCAATGCTCAAACTGTAGGACTCCCACTCATCTCAAACAGCCCTGCAAGCTTCAGGACAGATGCTGGAGATGCCAGACTGTGACAACAGTTATCTTCCATATGTATATTGATCCTGCACAGCTCCTTTGCCAGATGTGGACATAATCCTCCCCCCCAAAAAAATGAGCTCTTAGAGTCTCTGATCCCTAAACAGAGCACTTTGAGAATATTTAAGGGAGATAGCCGTAGAGGAAGACAAGTAATTATTTTGAGAACCGTGAGGCAACTTACAGCTGCTAACTGAAAATCCTCAAAATCTTTGCCAGGTTTCTGCTTTGGCCTTGCATTTCACAGAATGGAACCCATTCCTGAAACTGACAATATTCCTCACTTTTCCAGAATTGACAGAGGAGCAGCTGATACTCCTGGTAGAATCTGTGGAGAAGAAGATTGTGAACAGTCAGCTTGCACTGGTAAGGGAGAATTCCAGTTAGTGCTTAAGGCAGAGAGAGAGACCACTAGAAAATACTTTTCCTGGAAATGGGCGAGGTTAAAGATATGCAGAATGTCACTACTGCACATTCACAAGTATAAGGTTTGTGCGCATCCTTGGCTGATCCATCAGATCAGCACACATAACTCTTCCATATGGCTGTGAGTAAGTATTGTGACTTCCGGAGGCGGCGCCAGCGATTAATGGCGGATTTCCTCCACCGGAGGAAATCTCACCGCGACTTAAGGGTCGGATCCCGCTTTCGGCGTAGCGGGGGACCCCCAAAAATCAGGCAGGAGAAGCCTGTGAGCCTGGGACCCAGCGGGCACGGTAAGAAGCCCGGCAACAGGCTTGAAAGCGGAGCGGGGAGAGCGCTGTGCTGTGGGCTGTCTGCTCGTTCGTGGTGTGAAGCCGCAAGCTGTTGATCGGAGAGCGCTGCCTTTCTTCCTTAAAATCCGGACTTGAAATCAACGATCCGTGAGTAGGATACAATTTAAATTGGAACTGTACAAAATTGGAATCTGGCCGAAAACGGAAAGAGGCTTAAAAAGGAAGTCAGCCTCTTTATTTGTAGATAAAATAAAGCATTGAACTTGAAAGCGGAAGCAATTGAAAAGCACGTTTTAGCGGACTTTAATCCAATCATCCAACCTGGACTTTTCCCTTTCTAAATTGAGGGAAAAGGGGGGAGAATTGTGGATGTGATTTCTTCATAAAGAGTGGAAAAGAAGGGATTGAACCACCACTCAACTCCCTGGGAAAGGATCTCCAGATCTCAGGAAAGCAAGAGAGGTACTGTCTTGTAATATATTTTGACAGCTAGTCCTGCACAGGAAATAAAAGTTTGGACAATTTATGTGAATATATATCTCCTGGTCCTAAGCTAAAAATTGTGAATAGACTGTTTTCTTCCTGAATAAACTAGGGGGGCTTAAAAAAGAAATTAAAGTATCCAAGAACTTTTATGACTGTTACAGTGTCCCCCTAGTGGAACTTGGAACTGTTACAACTTGTTATAACTGAAACTGTAGCAGACTTGAGGAGTTCTCACGCTGCTTGGCAGGAAATTTCCACTGTTAAATTTTAAATACGTGACTGACCTTGAGCATTATCTAAGGAATGGCAGATGGTAAAGAGAAGGCGGATGCTTCGACTACAAGATCGGGGAGGGCTATTCGCACAGAAGAAGGATTACAAAGGAGATCTTCGGCTTCAGGCCCTTCTGGAACCTCAACAATAGCCTCATCGGCACAACTAAAGGTGAAAAGTACGACAAGTGAGGATGCCTTTGCTCAAGTTTTGGCCAAAGTTAATGAATCTTTGAATAGAATAAGTCAACAAGTAGCAGAGGCATCTGACAAGATTGATCAAAATACAATAAGTATTAACCAGAATACAGCAAGTATAAATAATTTGGGCCAAAAAGTAAATACTAACACAGAGACTATTCAGAAATTATTAGAGGAATCGGCCTCAATACGCCAGATTGCTGAAGAGGCTAAAGAAATTGCTACAACTTCTGCTACTGAAGTTAAAGAGGTTCAAGAGGAAATACCAACACTGCACAAACAATTGGAAGACCACAAACTAACCCTGTCTATGATAGATTTGAAGGAAAAGCAAGTGAATTTGCGGGTCAGATCGGTACCTGAGGTGGAAAAGGACAATCTAGCTGAATTTCTCACGCAGGAATTTTTGGACTTTTGGGATCCAGAATTGGTAAAAGACAGTTTCAGAATAGTAAATGCTTTTAGACTCGGGAGAAGAGGAGAGAAGAAGGTGAGAGACTGTCTGATTACTTTTCGAACAAAAGAAGAGAGAGATAAGATTTTGGGCCTACATTTTAAGAAGACACTGGAAATCCATCGGACAAGGGTGGAAATATTTAAAGATATTCCGAAATATCTCCTGGATCTCAGAGTAAAATATAAAGACTTGGTTACCCTGCTGAGAAGGAACAACATCAATTTCAGGTGGGAACTTCCTCAAGGCCTGTCTTTTAGTTACAAAGGAAAGAAGAGGAAAATAAGATCGGAAGACGACAAAGACAAATTTTGTAGAGACCACGGAGAAGACCTACAAAAAGAACTATTTCCGGAACCAAAAGACCGTTCGAAAGAAGGGATACCACCGACGGATGAGGAACAGGCACTAGGTGCAGTAGGAGGAGAATTAAAACAATAACATCATGGCCCTGCAACTTTTAACATGGAACTGTCGGGGTTTGAATTCCCCTCAGAAAAGGAAGTCAGTATTTCATATATTAAAAAAGGAACAATTGGACTTAATTTGTTTACAAGAAACACACATAACAAGACTACACAGGAAATTGTTGATAAATAAAAGACTTGGTCAGGAATTTATTTCGTCAGATAAAGTTAAAAAAAGAGGGGTTGTGATCTACGCAAAAGACAATTTATCACCAAAATTTGCTTTTAAAGATGACCAAGGAAGATTTGTGGCAATTGAAATTCAAACACAAGGAGAAAAATTTTTGATTGTAGGAGTTTATGCACCAAATGATGGGAAATCTGATTTTTTTAAGAAGTTGCATGAGACCTTGATGGACCATATGGATTACAACATGATTTTGATGGGAGATATGAATGGAGTGGTATCTACTTATATGGACAAGGCACAAAGACAGGTAGTCACCAAAGATGGTAGACTACCGAAAACCTTTTTTGATATGACAGACAACTTGGACTTAGTGGATATTTGGAGAATTAGAAACCCCTTGGCAAAAGAGGGAACTTTCTTTTCTGAAGCCAAAATGACTTGGACAAGAATTGACCAAATTTGGATAACTAGAGGAATGGCACCAAAGACAAGAAAGGTGGAAATCTGCCCGAAAATTTGCTCCGACCACAATGCTGTTAAGATGGAAATGAGATTAACACCAACTGGCTCCTTCAGATGGAAGATGAATGACACCTTATTTAGAGATGGAGAATTTCTTAAGAAGGCCCAAAAAACTCTAAGAGATTACTTTGAGATAAATCTTAGTTCCAACGTGGAGAAAAGAGTAATCTGGGATGCAAGTAAAGCTGTTATGAGAGGGTTCTTAATACAACAGAATGTGATAAAGAAAAGAACTCAAAATGAGAAGAAGGATAAAATTATGAATAAAATGAATGAATGTGAAAAAAGACTGAGAGTAAATCCCAAATCTCAAGAGATTTTGAGAGAGTTAAAGTTACATCAAGTACAATATATGAAAATAATGAATCAGGAAATAGAATGGAAAATTAAACAAACGAGACAAAAGACCTTTGAATCGGCCAATAAATGTGGTAAATTGTTGGCATGGCAAATGAAAAAGAGACAAAAACTAAATACGATTACGAATTTAGAAGTGGAAGGAAGGAATATACAGAACCCTGCTGAGATTAGAAGTTGTTTCCAGAAGTATTTTAAAAGACTATATACTCAGGGGCCAGTGAAAGAAACAGATTTAGATCAATTTTTGAAAACAAATGGATTACAAAAAATATCTCAAGAGAAAAGATTAATTTTGAATGACAGAATAACTGATCAGGAAATAGAAGGTGCCATTCAAAATATGCAACTGGGTAAATCTCCAGGACCAGACGGTTTGACCTCTAGATACTACAGATCTTTAAAAGAATGGTTAATTCAACCTTTGAAAGAGGTCTGCAATGAAATTATGGAGGGGAAGAGGGCACCAGAGTCGTGGAAAGAAGCATATATTACACATGTACCAAAAACAGAGACTGAAAAGACACAACTTAAGAACTACCGCCCTATATCATTACTTAATGTGGATTACAAAATTTTTGCAGATATTTTGGCGAAGAGATTTTAAAAAGTGCTGTTGGAAGAGATTCATAAAGACCAAGCGGGCTTTCTCCCAGGAAGACATTTGTCTGATAATTTGAGGAATATAATTGATATCTTGGAAAAATTAGAAGTGAATATAAACATGAAAGCAGTGTTGATATTTGTAGACGCGGAGAAAGCCTTTGACAATATTTCTTGGAATTTTATGAAGAAGAATCTACAGGGTATGGGGGTAGGCCAAGGTTTTGAGAATGGTATAAGTGCAATTTATTCAGAACAAAAGGCTAAACTAATTGTAAATAATGTTGTGATGGAAGAACTTAAAATTGAAAAAGGGACACGACAAGGTTGCCCAATTTCCCCACTTCTTTTTATTTCGGTCCTGGAGGTTCTGCTGAATATGATTAGAAGGGACCAGATGGTTAAAGGTATACAGGTCGGAATTAAACACTCTAAATTGAGAGCATTTGCAGATGACTTAGTATTGACGTTACAGGAGCCAGAATCTAGTACTAAAAGGGTTTTAGAACTGATTCAAGAATTTGGTCAAGTGGCAGGATTTAAATTGAACAAGTCAAAAACCAAGGTTCTAGAGAAAATTTAACACCGTTTGAAGAGAGAGGTTTCAGAATGAGACAGGTTTAACAGTGGTTAAGAAAGTTAAATACCTGGGGATAAACATGACAGCAAAAAATGGGAATTTATTTAAAGATAACTATGAAAAATGTTGGTCAGAAGTGAAAAAAGATTTAGAAATTTGGTCAAATTTGAAGCTTTCACTGCTAGGCCGTATTGCTGCGATAAAGATGAATGTACTGCCCAGAATGTTGTTTTTGTTTCAAACTTTGCAGATCGTGGACAAAATGGATTGTTTCAAGAGGTGGCAGAAAGATATTTCTAAATTTGTCTGGCAGGGCAAGAAACCCAGAATAAAATTTAAAATACTAACGGATGCAAAGGAAAGAGGTGGATTTGCCCTGCCAGACCTTAAACTGTACTATGAATCAGCAGCTTTTTGCTGGTTGAAAGAATGGCTACTTCTTGAAAACACTGACATTTTGGATCTAGAAGGTTTTAATAATGTATTTGGATGGCATGCATATTTATGGTATGATAAGGTCAAAGCACATAAAGCATTTAAAAACCACATTGTCAGGAAAGCGCTGTTTAATGTTTGGATAAGATATAAGGATTTGCTAGAAAATAAAACCCCAAGGTGGCTGTCACCAATGGAAGCGAAAGCCTTGAAAAAGGTCAATATGGAGGTCAAATGGCCGAAATATTGGGAAATTTTGGAACAAGACGGAGATAGACTGAAATTGCAGAGTTTTGAAAAACTAAAAAATAAAGTGCGAGACTGGCTTCATTATTATCAAATAATGGAGGTATTTAAATTGGACAGGAAAATTGGCTTCCAGGTGGAAAGATCTAAATTAGAAACAGAACTGTTAGAACCCAAGACTAAGAATTTGTCAAGAATGTATAACTTGCTGCTGAAATGGAATACTCAAGATGAAACGGTAAAATCGGCTATGATTAAATGGGCACAGGACGTTGGACATAACATTATGTTTGCTGACTGGGAACAGTTATGGACCACAGGTATGAAATTTACGGCATGTAATGCCTTAAGAGAGAATATTATGAAAATGATATACAGGTGGTACATAACACCAGTCAAGCTTGCGAAAATCTATCACTTGCCCGATAACAAATGTTGGAAATGTAAAGAAACTGAAGGTACATTTTTTCACCTTTGGTGGACGTGCCCAAAGATTAAGGCTTTCTGGGAAATGATATATAATGAATTAAAAAAGGTATTTAAGTATACCTTCCTTAAGAAACCAGAGGCCTTTCTCCTGGGCATAGTCGGCCAAATGGTGTTAAAAAAGGATTTCTTTATGTATGCAACAACAGCAGCAAGAATACTCATCGCAAAGTATTGGAAGACACAAGAACTTCCCACGCTGGAGGAATGGCAGATGAAACTTATGGACTATATGGAATTGGCTGAAATGACTGGTAGAATCCGTGACCAGGGAGAAGAGTCGATGGAGGAAGACTGGAAGAAATTTAAAGACTATCTTCAGAAACACTGCAAAATTAAGGAATGTTAGAGTGATGATGGACTGAAAACAAGTGGTTTCCAGCTGTACAGGTTAAAGTTAAGGATAGATTAAGATTAAAGATCAAGATTAAAGATGTTTAAAGAAATGGAAATTTGATAATAAAAGGGAAAAATTTAAAGTTGTATGACATTAAGATCAAGGATTAGGCTTAAAAAAGTTGATGTTATATATCTTAACGTTTTATTAAATTAAAGATTGGGATTAAAAAAGTGGAAAAGAAACTGCTAGACAAACAATGTAGATTGGAATACAAAAGAGGGAGGTATGAGGAAGTCCAGAAAATAAGTAATTTAAAATTGGAAATGGAAAAGAGAGTTTGTTTTTAATTGTTATGTTTTGTGTTTTTATTGTTAAGTTCTGTATTGTGTGTGTTGTTTTTCTTTTTTTGTTTGTTTAAAAATTTAATAAAAAATTATTTTTTTAAAAAAAAGTATTGTGGCAACAAGTCAAGCTTAGGAATTATTTTTTTAAAGGCAGCAACCCTTTGTGCGCTTACTGAGGAATAAGTCCCACAGAATTTGGAGGTGTGTGCTTTCTAATAAAAATGAACAACATAATACTTACTGTACAGTATAAACTCAAAATAGGAATTCTACAGTGATGCATGCTGCACCTTTCATTAATGTAATGAATTGAATGGGCATAGCAAAAATGGAATTCAGTGTTAAACAAGTGTAAAGTGATTAACATTGGTGCCCAAAAACTAACCTCACATAAACGCTAATAAGGTCTGAATTGGCCAGGAAATCAACCTTCAGGTTGTAGTGGATAGATCAATGAAAATGTTAACTCATGGTGCAGCAGCTGTCAAAAAGGTGAATTCTGTGTTAATGAGCAATAGGAAAGGGATCAAAAATAAAACTGCCTGTATCATAATGCCATTACACAAATCTATGGTGCAACTACACATGGGAATATTGTGTACAATTCTGGTCACTGTAGAAGCTGAAAAGGTTTCAGAAAAGGGCATCAAACTGATCAAGGGGCTGGAGCACTTCCACAGGGAGAAAAAGGTTACAACATATGGGGGTTTTTAGTTTATAAAAAATGCAAGTAAGAGGGGAACATGATAGAAGTGTATAAAAGTACGGCTGGCTTGGGAAGAAAGTGGATGAAGACATACATACACACACAACTCTCATAATACTAGACCCTGGGAGTCATCTGATGAAGCTAAATATTGGGAAATTTAAGACAGACAAAAGAACTATACTACAAAATTTGTCATCCACAGGTATAGCAATGGCCATGAACTTAGATGGCTTTAAAATGGAATTAGACAAATTAATGAAGGGTAAGACTACCAAGGCTACTAGCCATGATGGCTATGTACTAACCTCCAATGTCAGAGGCAATATGCCTCTCATAATCAGCTCCTGGGAATTACAAGTGGGCAGCTTGTTATATGTAGGCTTCCTTATAAGCATCTGGTTCACAACTGTGAGGGCAGAATACTGGACTTTGGCCTGATTCAGCAAGACTCTTATATCCTCATTATGTCTATTGCTTTTCAACACTGATACCATTCATCAAGTAATGGTATTACACACCAGGAAGTTCTGATTTTGCCTTTTTCTTGTTTGCAAAGGTCGGAAGCATCCTAGATGACTTCAGCAGAAGAGAAAAAGTGTTTACCATAGAAACCAAGTTCTTAAGCGAAGAGGAACTGAATATAACTGGAGCAATCATCGAAATGAGTGGAGTCACGGTGCAAAAAAATGGATCCAGTCTTGCTGGGTCTGGAAGTCCTGATGCTTTCTCTGCTCTCTGTGCACTATATGCAGCTCTGTATGCACTCAATATCCTGTCTACCTAGGTATCTATGTGTTCAGAAGTCAGTCTCACTAAAGTCAATGGAGCTTACTCCCAGGAAAGTGAGTACAGGGTTGCCGTGTTAGTCTTTTATCCTCTTTGCATTCTGACCCTCTAGAATCCCACAGTATCCACTTTGTTTACGTCTTTAAGTCTAATGCTTGTTCATGGATAGAGGCCATTGCTTTAATTCAGTGCCTCTGCTGACTCCCTACTATCTAACATGTATAACTATGGATCAGTTCAGATTTAATGAGGAGCCATGGTTTCCTTCCGTAAGAATGAGCTGAAGATTGCCCCTTCCACCTTCATTTGTGCCTGCAAGAAGACTGAAGATTTCTGATATTCTAACCATCTTCACTCAGAGCCATAGAACAGCCTATTGGAATGTGAGTAGTATTTCAACATGTGCCTTGATTATCTTCAAAAAATCTATGTATGAGAGTTTTGTGGAGTTTTGTTAACACTATCCAGAAAGAGAGAAAATGAACAGATGACCTAACTCTTGCAGAAGTTGTGTGTAGTGGCTGCTGGATCCAGATTTTAAGTCAAAACACATACTGTATTAAAGATCTCTTTTCTTCTAATGTTGGTGTTTTATTAATCAGCAACAGTTAAGTGGGAGAATCAGGTCTCATCCAAAGCTATTTACAAATCTTACTTGCTACTTTTTCCTCCATAAGTAATTGCTACATTATAGTCACAAAAGTGAAGGAGCCATAACATCGTTTTGTTACAAACTTACAAAATAAAACATGGTCTTTTGATATAGTGTCTCAGATTATTACGTTACGTGTTTTTGTTTTGCTGTAAATCACCCTGAGATTCTCAGGTGAAGGGCAGTATAATAAACAAACAAAGTTAATTTTCAAAGCAGTATACACATAAAATCCAATCTTTTTTTGCAAATGGCACAGGTACGCCATATTTCACTTTCATCCAGAATTTTCAGTGCAACCTTAACTCTGGCATAGCAAAAATTATGCTACAGGTTCTCGGCAGCAAGATCAATCCTGTTTAGCACCTGCAGGTATTTTTATCTTTATCCATACAGAATCAGAAGTGTGGCCTGAAGCTGGAACTTTCTCAACAGATGGCTATCCAGTCTCTGCCTGAAGACCAGACAGCCAACCACCCCTCTAGGTCCAATTGCCAAACTGCTTCAAACATCAATACGTTTACTCAATTTTTAATCCACACTTCAGTACTGTGGGTGGAACTTGATATCCGTGATAGGGAGCTACTACCACAAAAAATGGCAGCCCTGATCTGACTCAGCTCATTGTAATGCTACTGATCTTCTATCCACCTATTTCCCTGGCTTTGCCAATCTTAGTCAATGAGGTGAAGCACAGACAGGAACGAACCTGGGATTGGCTTAAGCAACCTTGCCCTTCATCAGTGGCAGATGCCCAGCAGACATCTGAAGAGTGGTACTTAAAAGGTGTCATCCATCTGGTGGCTGTTTGTGGTACAGCTCTAATGAACATAGGTCCTTTCTTTTGGGTTTATGTGAGAAGTGTAGCAGCAAATACAGAAGAGTAAAGGAATAAATAACATGTCAAGGTGGTGAGAATGCCCTTTAAAGACTAAAAGTATATGCTTGGGAGAAATTACAATCTGAAACTCAAAAAATAGGAATGGGTGGAAGAGGTTTAGATGGGTTCTTCTAATAATTTTCAAATGAATAACTGGAAATGGAAGTTAAGGAACCTGAAAATGTTGAAAATCTGGCATGAGAATTACATTAGTGAAAGGATCCTGACATTTAAGTTAAAAATCAGAATCTTAAATTTGTAGCAGTGAAAACTCTTAAGAGTTGATAGATTAATTTATTTTTGTTGTACTGTATTAATAATTTCCTTGAGCACCCTCTAGTGTTGGTACAATGGAAATGTATTCACCCATCATTGCATGTCAAATCTTCTATGATGGACCAGGCAGATCATGTGACTGGTCCTATTTGATCAGCATTGGTTCATGTCTGTGGCTCAAATCAAGATGCTGGTCTTTACCTTTAAATCCTTGAACAGCTTGGGACCTGGGTGGCTTAATGATTTCCTGCTCCTCTATGTGTCCTTCCATACAAATAACATATTCCTGCTGCTGATAGTTTTTAATGTTGTTTATTGGGGTGGTTATTTTAGATAGGAAGGGTTTTTGTATAATGCAGGGGTGGGTTATTGATGTTCTTATGCAACTTTAATAAATACTAATAGCTGACTACAGAGGATAGCATTACAATAATTTTACAAGCTGTAGAGGGGTGTAGAACAAAGTTGACAGGTGGAGGTTACAGAAAAGACGGGAGACAGATGAGTATGTTTGCTTCATCATGAAGAAAGCACATGACGGCAGGAGAAAGGGAGCAATTGTGTATTTACAATAAAATAGACTGGCTCTGTTTTAAATGAATTCTGTCCATATACCTACTTACTTCATTGGTTTCCTATTTTGACTAAGCAGCAAAAGACAGAATGTTTACAGCCAGCAGTTTAAGAGACGAGCTATTACATCTGGTTAGCTGTAAGAGTTCACACAGTACAGTGGTACCTCGGGTTAAGAACTTAATTCGTTCTGGAGGTCCGTTCTTAACCTGAAACTGTTCTTAACCTGAAGCACCACTTTAGCTAATGGGTCCTCCCGCTGCCGCCGTCACACGATTTCTGTTTTCATCCTGTAGCAAAGTTCTTAACCCGAGGTACTATTTCTGGGTTAGCGGAGTCTGTAACCTGAAGCGTATGTAACCCGAGGTACCACTGTATTTCAAAAGCATCCTTCTCCCGAGTTGGATACTATACTTGGCCCTGCTTCAGCACTGATCTTAGGGAGAAATGTAGTCCCCAACCCAAAGACCAGGGAAAGGAAAAGAAGAGGAGGTCACTGACTGGCCCAGCTGCAAATGCAAGGCAGTGAAGTTTGCTGGCAGATTCCAGAGTTTAATGCGGCCACCTTTGCTCTCTGTGCTTTCTTATGCAGGGAGGATCCTCAACTCCTCCCGGAATAAACGATTCTTTTTTTATTTTAAAAAACAACAACCATGCACGATTACTTATGCAGCACGACACTCAGCACCCTTTTGTAAAACGATATTTTTTTTTAAAGATGTAGAATGATTTAAAAAAAAAAAAGATTTAAAATGATGCAACGTGAGGCTGCAGTCCTGTTACTTACAAGAGAGTAAGTATGCATAGGATTTCAACGTTAATGAATCCATTGTTTGGGGGCTTGTTATTATTTGCCCCACAAAGGGCGGCGGGTTTCCACATTTTTTCTATCTCACACACTGCAAGGTTTTTAGCGGAGGCAATTAGAAAAAGATCTATTATTTGATTATTGATGTAAACCCCCAAAACGTATTTTCTATAGTTAAGTTTTTACCTCTATCTTCAGTACATTTTATTTATTTTTTATTGCCATGGCTAGTGGCTGATGCAAATAAAGATTCTTCTGGTTCTTATTTCCACACACCCGTTAGGAATATTGTAAACCGCCCTGGAATCTTTTGATAAAGGGCGGTATATAAATTAAATCAGTAATTTAAAAATGTATTACTGTTTCAGTTCGAAGGCCCTTCCCACCGCTCCTCCCGCTTGCTTGCCTGGCTGCCGGCCTGCCCCCTCCTTCCCTCCACCCGCTTTCAGGCACTTCCCTCTCGGCAGGGGAAAGGAAAAAGGAAGAAAGGAAGAGGCGCAACCCGGAAGCCGAGGCGCGGCGTCGCAGCCCGCCGTTCTCTCTCTATGGTTCCCTACCATGGAGACGCGGGGTGAGGGGTGGGGACAGGGAGCCAGGGAGCCAGGAATCAATCCATTCGTCCGCGTCCGTCGGTTCGGCAATCGGCTCGTCGAGCCTGCTCGGCTTTTCCCGTCGTCCTCCGCGATAGTTGCTCAGTCACGGCCGTAGCCGGTGTGTGTGTGTGGAAGGTGAAGCCATGAAGCAGGAAGGCGGCTCTCGGCGCCGCGCCGGGTCGGAGAAGGCCAAGCCGCCGCCCGCGGAGCCCCCTCAGCCTCCCCCGCCGCTCGCCGACGTTGAGATGCACGAGGAGGCGGCCCCGGCCGAGCCCGCCTCGGGGGAGAAGTCGCAGCGCGAGCTCGACGCCGTCACGCTCGAAGGTGAGGTGGGGGGGAGGGGGAGGCAGGAGACGGGGCGCGCGGGGATGGGCGTGGCTAGAACGCCTCGCGGCGGCGGCGGCGGCAGCAACCCCCACCTTGTGGGTTCGATGAGGGCGTGGCCAGCGGAGTGCCGAGCGGCTATTGGCCGGCCGCGTTGTGTACCTGGAGAAAGGTGGAGAGGTGTCCATCCACCGCCGGGCTGGAGGGGCGGGGCTAAGCTGCAGCAACGCCCACCTAAAATAGCCGGGTGTCCCGTGGAAGGGGAGACTTGGAGTATACAGCGCGGTGCAAGGGGGGGGCGTGGGGGTTTTTAGACAGAAATAACGCGCAGCATTCCCGTGTACAAACACCTTGGCCACCTGTGTAGCTTAGGGAGGGCAGCGTGTCAGCAGGTGTTTAAAAATGTGCGTAAATGCGCAGAAGATCCTGCAATCCTAATATCACCACACCGGGATTTGGGGCAAGGTAATGGTTTTTATATAGCCAAGTTCTACATCATGTTTACTTCAGAAGCTTTCACCCCTCTGCTTCCTGCTCTGCAATTTGCATCCAAGTAAACATGTACAGTCACCACTTGTGTGCCTCTTGGAGGAAGAGATCGAACACACACAAAGTTCATTGTGATCAACAACAGGTGATGCGCTGCTCCAGTTTCCATCTTCCGGTTGTGTTGGGTTAGCAGGAATGGACCCTGTAATATAACACTGTAACACTGGAATTCCTTCTCTAAAAAGACTTGCCTGTGCTCATCCTTGCATACTAATTTACATATGTTTATTGAAAGTTCATTGCAGAGTGGCTTTGTTTGCTGCTGCTAATTTTCTGTCATTGTATGTGTATGACTGGGCTTTCTCTGTTTTAGATCTTCTGTTGTTTGGTTGTTATGAATCTCCCTGACAACACATTGAAAATAAAAAAAGCCATTGTTTAACGTTTGAATTCATTTTCTATAAACAGCTTCATTTGGATACCTATTTGGGTGGCATATTGTGATCTGTATGTGTATATTAAGATGGTTGTATTGCTTGTTGCACTGTGAATGTGAGCTGATAATTTTCTGTTTGCTTTGCTTTTTCCTTTTTTTCTTTTTTTTTCTTTAATAAATGTGCAATAAAAATTATTTAGGTTACAGCAAAGTGTGGAGAGAGTAGGCTGGTGAGTGGACCTGCCTGCTGGAAGAAAGTGAGCATGACTGAACCACTCAGCAGCGCTTTTGTAATCTAGATATTGATTTCATGCCAGTGACATATTGACTAAGGCTGCAGTCCTGTACATAGTAACCTGAGAGAAAGTCTCATTGAACTTAGTGGAGCTTTCTTCTGAACAGACATGTATAGGATTGCACTCTGACCTCTGTAGCACAAAGATGGGCTGGTTTCTATATTGTTGCGGCCGTCCAAAATGTGTTAGGTTTTTAAAGCAAGCTTTCAACACTCCAACACTACATACACTCAAATGGATAGTGTAAGTGTATCTTACAATTTTAAAAGATGGAGGAGAGTGGTTTTGCAGAGGAGGAGAGGCAGAAGTGGGTCAGAACTGAGAAAGCGGGACCATCAGATGTACCACAGGGGTGCATCCTGGGCATCCAGAGCAGTTCACTGCAGAGGAGCCTCTGCTTTAAGATCAAAAGTACAGTCACATCTTCCACCAGCCCACTCCTTGCCACAGGAGCTATGGGTTATTGTGGCAAGTCTTCATTGGATGTACGAAGTGGGCACAAAATTGCTTGCAGCGCCATGCATGAGAGCCAGTGTGGATTGGAATCCAGTTTACACATAAATGGTAGGAAAGTGATACACTGTTTATCTGCCCTGTGAGTACAACAGAGATTGGCTAAAGTTATCCCAAATGAGGGATATTACTCATTTGACTTCAAGAAGTGCTCTTGAATGCACAGCCTTAATAATGGTTTTACCATGGTAATCTAGTGGGTCTCTAAAGCACTGTTTTTCACTGACATACTACTTCTACCAAATGACATGTTTACTTCTCTGTAACTCCCAAACTGGCCATAACTAATTTGGTAGCATCCCTGAATCTCGCCTTGATTCTACTGAATCTGTCTGGAGCATTTTCAACATCGGTACCTGGTGCATTTTGGCAGCTTCTAGCATCCCGTCACTGATGCCTACTTAACATTGTTTTTTCACCTGACCCAGTGCTACACCAGTACAGACAGTGCTGTATCAACAGAGATAGGATGTTAAATCGCCACCATAGCACCACGTAACCCTAGTAATCAAGCACATATATTGCTCATGTAGACTCATCCCCCTAAACTACCCTTCCTAGCAAATAGCTTCCTTTCATCATTGATTGGGAATCTGAGGTAACTTGCTGTTTAGAGGCGCTGAGACTCTTGTTTTACAGTCTGTAGGTTGCCTGATATAACGCTAGGTGTGTTCTTGGGTTTTGTGGTTTCAGCTCTGTTTTGTTTTGAGGTTTTTGGTCAAATGTTCAGTTGCTCTAACCGTTGGTAGGAATTGACCACCACACCATATAGCTTAGCCTATTCATCTAACGGTGCTGTTTGTTGACCATTGCAGACATTAAGGAACATGTGAAGCAGCTGGAGAAAGCCGTATCTGGGAAGGAGCCACGCTATGTCCTGCGTGCCCTGAGAGCATTGCCCTCCACTTCCCGACGCCTCAACCCCAATGTGCTCCAGAAAGCTATCAATGGCTTTTTCACATCTAACAGTGCTGTGCGGGACTTCCTCATTGGCTTCCTGGAGGAGGCAAGTCACAAAGCAGGTTCACAGGAGGTTTGGGTACTCTTACCAATAAAGCGAGATGAGCGCCGCAACCCCAGAGTCGTCCACGACTGGACCTTTACCTTTACCTTTTTTACTGAGGCTTGGTGCATGTTTTGGCGAACTCCCACTTTGGCATCCTTCAAATGATTCTTTGGGGCCCAATTCAACATTGCTCTGTGGAGCGCTAGCACCATTTTGGTTTGCTGCTCAGTGTTGCCTGTGACTGATTTCAAGATTTACTAGCCATTCAGTTGCAATAAGTGGGCAACATCTGGTCTCCTTAGGCATTAATATGTAGCATTCTGTGAGAATCAGAAGGTGGAGTGGGATGACACCTTTTCACTGCTCTGATCACCTCTCTGTCTCTATGTCACACTTTATAGCTTATGGACACGGAAGCTGATCTACAGTTCCGGCCCCGCACAGGAAAGGCAGCCTCTACTCCTCTTCTGCCAGAGGTTGAAGCATATCTCCAGCTACTCCTGGTCATCTATCTGATGAATAGCAAGCGCTACCAAGAGGTAATGCACCACCTGCTCTTGTGTGCCTCATTCCCCAGTGGAAAGCAAAGAACTGCCAGTGTTTGGATATGGATCTAGAGGGAGGGCAGAGAAATAAGCGAGCAAAATTAGACACTATCCTTCATCACTTTCCTCTCAACCCAGACCCAGCTAGACACTTAAAAGCTGTAGGTTCAAACACAAAATCTTAACTTAGAACACCAAGTCTTGGTATAGACTTGGGTGAACTCTGTTTGGAGATGAACAAGGGCTCTGCTAGGCCAATTCTGACCCAGTAATTTATGGCAGCCTGCTTTGCTTCCACCAAGAATATCCATGAGGGGCATAAGGGGTTCTTCTTGCAGACCTTGTTTCAAAACTTGCGTTTTTAAACAAGCACATGTTGCCCTGGAGCCCTAAGTGTCACTGTGAGGAACTCATCTTTGCAGCCTTGCAAGCCCACCACATGAATTCTCTCTCCATCCAGGCCCAGAAAGTTTCAGACGATCTGATGCAAAAAATAAGTCCTCAGAACCGCCGAGCCCTTGATTTGGTGGTGGCCAAGTGTTACTACTACCACGCTCGCATCTATGAGTTCTTGAACAAGCTGGATGTGGTGAGGAGGTAAGCTTTTGATGTTGCAATTTTCTGGCCTCCTTCTTTCCTCCTCCATAATATTCTTACCCCAAGCATTCTCCTGACACAGCCTCTCTCCATTCCTTCTTTCAAAGCTTCCTTCATGCCCGCTTAAGGACAGCGACACTTCGCCATGATGCAGATGGCCAGGCTACCCTCCTGAATCTGCTGCTGAGGAACTACCTTCACTACGACCTCTATGACCAGGCAGAAAAGCTGGTCTCCAAATCGGTGTTCCCTGAGCAGGCAAACAACAATGAGTGGGCCAGGTACCTCTACTACACAGGTGAGAGTCGGCACTTCACTTTTTGAGGTCCTGGGTGGCCTGGGGTCAAACATGGAGCTCAAAATAGGCACCTGTGTAACTGGTATTATGTCATCATATCTCTCCCTGCCCGCCCCCCAAACACAAAAACTGAAATAGCCAATCCCTTGAAAAGCTTAGGCGTGCTAGCCTCTCCCATAATCTATTTTGTTCTGCTGGCAAGAGGAAGACACAGGTTTTCTGTGCAGAACATGAAACCCCCATTTTCCCTCTGATTTCTGAGATTCTTCAACAGTTACACAAGTGTTTTCAATGATGCCAATTTCAAAACCAGATAACACATTTGACACCTGTCTGTTGTTGGCACTGACATCCAGGTTCATATGCGAACCCATCAAGCAACCTGTAGTTTAAGTCTTTTAATCTCAGGATTGTGGGTTTGAGCCCAACATTGGACAAATGATTCCTGCATCCTAGGGGTCATACTGGATTACCCTCGCAGTCCCTTCCAACTCTACAAGTCTATGATTCTAAGGTTGGTTGGATTAAGATTCTGACAACGGAGAAAAACTTTAACATGTTCATTTTACCAGCTGCTTAAGGGCTTCAGGGCAGTTTCTCCCTGCCCGCTGTACTTTGTGTTACAGTGTTTTTCTACAAAAGCTATTGATTCACTTATTTTCACACATACTGCTTTTCTTCCAAATGGGGAACTCGAGGCAAATTACAATTTTAAAACCATAATGTGGTGAAACAAATACCGAAAATTCAGCCCTAAAAACATGTGCAGGGGCTCCTGGTACATGCATTGCCCAGAGACAGGAAGCTGTTACCTGCACTTCTGCAGGAGGTGCGTAGAAGCAGCTTAGTCCCTCATTAGCTGGGTTTTATATTTGCTGCACTCCAGGGAATGCAGCTGAGAACCTTCAACTCTCCATCGGCTGTGTAAGGCATAGTATACTTGCAAAAGGGAGGAAGTAACAAAGTGATGAACATTAAAAATGTAAATGAGAAAACAGGTCACTATTTTCATCTGCTATTGTTATGCTGCTCAGTATTCAGTGAGACATAAGGTGGAGAGGGTAACAAAGCTTTGATTCACCCGGGACAACAAAGAACTTTGGGCCAGACTTGGCTAGGGTAGCCCAGATTTGCCAGTACATGAACCGAGTGCCGTTTTTGCAAAGTGTAAGTTCCCTGCTAGCCACAAACCACATGGAGAATAAAGATGGGCAGGATCGGCATAGGTGGCACAGTGCCCAAGAGTGACTGTAGCAAATAAGCCTTTCTTAAGGAACCTCCTATCCCGTTCTCCACTCCACAGATTCCTGTGCAGTGCAAAATCAACCATGGAGGGAGGTGTTCTCTGGAGGCAGCTTTATCTTGTTATATCTCTGGCAGGCCGTTCTAGTGCTGATCTTCTATCCTTTTCCAGGACGCATCAAGGCCATCCAGTTGGAATATTCTGAAGCTCGGAGAACCATGACAAACGCCCTGCGGAAAGCGCCACAACACACAGCTGTTGGCTTCAAACAGACGGTGAGTGGAGATTGCACCTCCAGGTGGCGCTGTGGAGCAGCGAGGAAAAGGGAGTGCGTCTGCTACTTGTACACAGAGCTCTGCGCAGTCCCGAGTCTTGCTTTGTGGTTGAGACAGCAGGACAAAACCACGTCTCTTGCATCTGTGCCCTAGGTCCATAAGCTGCTGATAGTGGTGGAGCTGCTATTAGGCGAGATCCCAGATAGACTGCAGTTTCGGCAGCCGTCTCTGAAGAGATCTCTCATGCCGTACTTCCTCTTGACGCAGGGTAAGTGGCGCAGCTGGTGAAGACGTAGCAGCCCAACGGTACTGCAGCCCTGGAATCCCAACAAAAAACCCTAGGATGTGGAATAAACACTCTTTAGTAACAATGCAGTTCAAACCCCCCCCCTCCATTTTAAGTGATTTTAGCATCTCTCTTACTAGACAGTCCATTTGAATATTTATTTCTTGCATTTATATTCCACCTTTTATCCAAGGGGGGTGTACATGGTTCTCCCCCTCCTCATTTAATTCCCAAATCAACCCTGTCATGCTCTTAGAATCAGTAACCTCTTTGATTTGAAAGGTGTTGCACTAAATGTTCTTGTTGTCTTTTCACATAAGGTGTGCATAATACAGTGAATTTTTTTAGCAGAGGGCGGCCCTTGTGGGCACAGAGCAATGGCCCACTTCCCATCCTTCAAGCACCACCAGCCATGCAAAACTGGTGGGGACAGTGTGCGCACAGCAGTGCCCACCCACAAGCACTTAAAAAGTCAGGGTGATGGTTTGTTTGAGTTGGCAACACATACCCCTTGTACTTTGTACTCAGTTTTGTGGTGAAGCCCTTAGACACACTGCAGACTAATCCAAGGCCTCAGCAAGGGGATAAATTTACTGGAGCGCAGGAGAGGGAGTTAGAATTCCTAGGCTGCAGTTACTTACACACGTACATGCACACACCACATGTATGTGTGTGCATGCAGACCATACATCTGTACACCATGTTTCGCCTTTGTCATCTCTTGAATCTCTCTTCTTTCCTCGCAGCTGTTCGGACTGGGAACCTGGCCAAGTTCAACCAAGTCCTTGATCAGTTTAGTGATAAGTTCCAGGCCGATGGGACATACACCCTCATCATCCGGCTGAGACACAATGTGATTAAGACAGGTGAGCGACCACCAAATCCTCGAGTCATGATATGATACCACATCTCAGGACAACATGGGGGATTGGGTTTGGAACGGTGTTTGAAATCCCAACTCGGCCGCACATCCACAAACATGGGAAGCTGCCTTCTTCTGAGCCAGACCACTGGTCCAGCTAGCTCTGTATTGTCTACACTTAACTGGCAGTAGCTCTACAGGATTTCGGGCAGCATTCTCTCCCTGTCGTACCTGAAGACTCTTGAGCTTTGAACCTGGGACCTTATTCCTGCAAAAGCAGGTGCTCTGTCACTGAGCTTGATCTGTCTTCACTATAAACTTCTGGGTTGCTACTGAATGTATCACCTTCCTTTGGGGTGTGCGGGTGGCAGGCAGGTCCCTGCTCCTGCAGAAGCTGCCCCTTGAGCCAGAGGGAAAAGATGGCAGATACCTGGTGGACGCCCCTTAAGTGTGTTCACCCCATTTGCACTTTTTAAAGGTTGCCTTTCTGTCTCTTGTGTAGGTGTCCGCATGATCAGCCTTTCGTACTCGCGCATCTCCTTGGCTGACATCGCCCAGAAGTTGCAGCTGGACAGCCCAGAGGATGCTGAATTCATTGTTGCCAAGGTGAGTGCCTGCAGCGTTGCCTTGGTTACTGAGTTGAATAGGAATCCCTACTTACCCTCTCACTTGGTGAGGCTGTTAAAGCTCTGACCACCTCTGGGTCCTGAAACAAATGCCATGATGTATCTGCCAAGGATTAGGGGTTTATCCTTCAGTATCTCACAAGATACTGAAAAATACCAGGGGTTGGGCCACCATACTCCAGATAACTCTAAGCTCTGATTTCCCGGCATAGAATATACAAGCTCTAAATGTGTGCGCAGGAAATATGTGAGGGACCTTTTGGCAATACGGACTGTCAGGTAAAGGCTCACACCCGTTTCTCCTCCTCATTCGGCCCTGTTTAGTATTAGCCCGTCTCTGCCCACAGTCTACACAATGAGCAACTGGGTGAGGCAGTTCGATACCAGCCTCAGTCGCAGACTATGAATTCCCTCAAAGTTCCAAAGGATTGAGAGGTTTTTGCGGTGTGTTTTGTGTCTTAGTCAGCCCTGTTCTTGTGAACTAATAAAATAGGAGGCAGTTCTGAATGTGTGGTGGTGAATGCTTTTCCCCAGAAAGACCCACCATAACCCAGCTGGAATGTGAGGGTATGGCCTTTTGGAAGACTTGCCTGTCTCTCAATGCTGGATTAAAATCTTAGCCTAGAATCATAGAAGGGACCCCGCCAAGGGTCATCTAGTCCTACCCCCTGCAATGCAGGAATCTCAACTAAATCATCCATGACAGGTGGCCATCCATCCTCTGCTTAAAGGCCTCCAAGGAAGGAGAGTCCACCCCTTTCCACTGTCAAACAGCTTCTTACCACCAGAAAGTTCTTGAGCCAGAATCTCCTTTCTTGTAACTTGAATCCATTGGTTCGGGTTGTAGCCTCTGGAGCTGGAGAAAACAGAATCATAGAACGGAAGAGTTGTTTGCCTCTTGTGGATGTAGTCACTGGAAGGCAACTGATGATGTGCTGCCTTTTCCCCAGGCCATTCGGGATGGCGTGATTGAAGCCAGCATCAACCATGAGAAGGGCTACGTCCAGTCCAAGGAGATGACTGACATCTACTCCACACGGGAGCCCCAGCTGGCCTTCCACCAGCGTATCTCCTTCTGCCTCGACATTCACAATATGTCTGTCAAGGTAATGGAGCAAGTGTGCAGCAGTTATCTTACAGCGGGCATTCCTGGGCCTGCCTGCATTTGCACTGGATAAAAAAGTGGGACTTCAGTCCTGCTGTTGGAACTCTTGCAGCGTGGTCCTAGGCATGTTTACTCAGAAACAAGCCCGTTGTTTGCATTGTTTGTACTTCTGCCATTGAAAGTCCCTATGGCGAAGTTTCTTGCCGTGAGGCTGCCTTCCAATTCATAATTGCCTTCCTTTTCTTATTCCCTGCCACTGTTTCTAGGCTATGAGGTTCCCACCGAAGTCTTATAACAAGGACCTGGAGTCTGCAGAGGTGAGGATTCCCAAGCCATGTGTACATTGCACTAAAGGGATTAAAATTCTGTGCCAAGAAAGCTGGATTCTGTGACCTATATAAACTATGTAAATCAAGCATATTTGCACCATTTAATCCATCGTGTTTGCTCTTCTGTGCAATTTATTATAGTTTCACTAGACAGAAAGGGGCAAGGACACTGAAGCCCTGCTAAAATACTTCAGCAGCTTTCTGTGATTGCCACAGATACCGCCCGCTTGCTTTCAAACATATTTTCATAATCAAAGGCTAGATTCTTAAAAAATGAAAGTTGTTATCGGTAGGAGTTAACACATCTTACAGCTCTTTGAAGTTTTTCTTGCATCAGATTCAGGCACACCTGCCTCCTTGTTTTCTAGGGTTTACATTTCCTTGTTTTTCTGTAAATACTTTGGGTTTGTCTTTGCTTGTACAAAATCTGAAAGAGACACGTTAGTTTTGTATGCTGATGTACTTGTTTAGGACCCCTTTTAAACAAACCAAATGCGCAGAGAGGCATGTCTGTGGGAGGTGGGGTGAGGCAGACTAGCCTCTGTGACCCCACAGCCTCCCTTGTTCCATTGTGGGTGGGTTTTCAACATTTTGATGCTCTAAGTAACTAAAGTGTCGGGCAAGCCACAGGAAGAGTGCTGCTTGTTGTTTCAGTGTGGCCAAAATAGTAGCCAGCAACATAAAAGTGTGCATCTTTTACAACCTCGTTCGTTCAGAGTAAATAGCCCCAGAAGCATAGTTCTTATTCAGTTTAAAGATATAGTTCCCCTATAATACATATTTACCCATAGGAACTTTAAAGAAGAGAAATGTGACATGTTCTCTAGGAAATAATCTGTGCTCTTGTTCGTGGGGTTGTATGAGATGCCATCCTTCAGCTCTCCTTTTAGGGAAGTGCCTTTTCATCTCAACCTGCAGAGCTCCCATTCACACGGTTCCCTTTTGCTTTGCAGGAGCGCCGGGAGCGGGAGCAGCAGGATCTAGAATTCGCCAAGGAAATGGCAGAGGACGACGACGATGGTTTTCCTTGATGCTCTGGGGGATGGCTGCATATATATTTTTTTGTTTTTTTGTTTCTTGCCCAATACAAACCATTGTCTACTGGCTGAAACCCAGAACTTGCCTTTCTTTCTATATTCTGCATGTTTGGGGGTGGTGCAGAGGGGGGGAAACCAAAACCCTCTTGCTGCTTGTGGTGGAGGAAGCAGCACCCCAGATTAAAGGGGTGGGCCTCCCTCTAAACTAAAGGCCACTTTGTGGTTTTCAGTCATGGATGTACCTGCAAGGGCCTAAATGAATTCACAGTTGTCCTTACCGGTTTTTAGGTGGACGAATGGGGGTGGGGGAGACGAATCTGGTGGCACTGTGAACACCTCTTCAGCTCTAGCTGGCAGAGCAACTGCAGTTGGAGATTTTTGTCAAACTTTGTTTAGGGCTTTTAAATAAAAGTTTGGGGGAAATGGAATGTGCCTTTTGTCCAGGTTGATGTTCAGTGCAGCAGTCTCGGGGTCTTTGGAAAGGTGGGAGCTTTCTCTGCTTAGTAGACGATGGCCTGGAAATTTGAGAACTCTGCAAATTTGGCCGCCTGATTGCTCACCTTTTCTTTCAGATAAGTTGTGAACATTTGTCCTAATACCAATTATGAACTGGCCCTGATACAAATAGGTTTTCCCAAGGATCTGTAACTTCCTCCTTGTGAGAACTGTCCATTTACTAGTACCTTCCGTTTCCTGTTCTTTAACCAGTTACTAACCCATAAGACGAACTGCCCTTTTATCCCATGACTGCTAAGTATCCTTGGGAGCCTTTGGTGAAAGTTCCAAGAATATCATCAACCCCTTGATATGTTTGGAGGTCTTGGATTATGCCTGTTGAAGATGTCCCTAAGTTGTAGTAGCACTGACTACACATGTCTGCAGAGGCCAAATCTATTATTTTCAACCAACCTACTCTCTGAATAAAGCAGCATTTGTTAACTGATGATGCTCATTTGTGACAGCTGCAACCGCTAATATTGATTCATTTATTAAAAGGCATAAAAGCAAGGCATGCTCCCCTTGCCTAACCCTGCACACAGGCTTACTAATTAATCCTTAATTTGAGCCAGAAACCTATTTCCAGTGTTGAAACCTCACACCTACATGCCGCTAAGTACCAGCAATGAAGGGTACTCTTAAATTATCTGTGGCTTGCTTGTGACTTTGGCCACAAGCTCTCAGGGCTATCTAAAAATGTAACACATAAAAAAATAATTTTTCCAACTTGTCCAAATTTATTGTGTTATTACTCCCAACACATTTTACTTTTCATTTATTACGTGTACGGAATGCACTTTTATTGATAATCCCAGAACATTCACTGAATAATGAACATGGGGGGAAACTTCCCTTATTAAAATTTGGCAATATCCTCTTTGGATTTAAGAAGCTGCTTTAATCAGAATCGGGTCTCTGGTCCATCTATTTAGGCCTTCGCTTCTGCAACTGGCAGCAGTTTAGCGACATCTCAGGCAGGCAGGGAAGCATCTTTCTCAGCCTTGCTGCCTTTGACATCATTGAGCAAGGACCATCCACAGGCAAAGTGTTATATTCTACCGTGTAGCACTGGTATTTATTTGCATTCTTTCCACCATGAATTGATATTCTATAGGGAAAAAAGCAACCAGCTATAATCTTCCTCTTCTTTAAGTTTTCTTTATTTTAAGACCTGCCATCCACAAAAGGACTTTTTTTTAAAAATGGCACCAGTGTTTGTGGACAAGTGTATCAGCCTCACGGTTCCCTGCTGGGTGTGATGGTTGTGGTCTAGATAGACTGGCTGATAACAAGTGGGAGGAATCTGCAGCAAGGATTTATATTGTAGGCACCTATGACACTGGGATATGCCATGTGATCCTAGAAGCAATATTTAGGTTCCTAGGTAGGATGTTGAAATCCAAGACCTTTCAGATGCTACCTGTTCCAAGTGTCATGGCTGCCTGCTTCCGCCCTCAGCATTCAGCGCTGAGATTCAGATCTGCGTTAAGCCATAGCTGCGCTTTGTATCTCAATGGGGTGGGTTCTGTCTTCACATTGGTTAACAAAATCCAGGACCATGAGCCAGGATCAGACCCTTGCTAAGCTAGATGCAATCCATAATTGTGCCATAGGAGGAACTCTACTAGCCTGTGGCTTCATAAACCATGGTATAAGTTTATAGCAGTGATGGAGAACAATCACTGATGATGATGATGATGATGATGTCTGACTTCCAACTCTGATCAGCTGCAGCAGCATGGAGTTGGAGTCTTAACCATAGCTGGAGAGCTGTAGGTTTCCCAAGCCTGTGAAACCAATATGGGGAAGTTGTGGTATGCTAAACAGGAACACTGGTAATAGGAATAATGGAAGCGTGATGGGCTCCAGAGAAGAAGTGGGATACAATACAGATTCTATAGAACGTTCATGGAAGGGTGTGTCAAGGGTGATACGGTTCTTTGTGTCAAAGAGTGCATAAACGAGAACATTTTAGCAGACTGGGTGGTAATACCAGACTAAACATAATTCTGAACAGACGAGATCCTATCAATTCTTATCCTGGACCAAAAAACTGTGGGTGAACTTCAGAGTGAGAAAAGTAATTGGGCAGTCAAAGGAGAAAGTGCAATAATGGGTGACACCATTACCCTTACATAAGCTAAGTAAATGCATGTTTGTGTCATGATAAAGGCACAACATATTTAGAATAGATGCCCTAAATGTGACAGTGGGGTTGGTCACCCAAAGGAAATGACCCTGGACTCAATCCCGAGAGGTGACCAGAACATGGTGTGAGATGTAAGAGTTGGTGAGCCCATTTGGGAACAGCCGCTAGAGTGCTATCAAATTTAAGGCATATGTTGCTTCTAGCAACATCACACGTTTTTCCATTAACATCACTGATTTCATGATGTCAGCTTTGCTGAGTGAAGCCTGATGTTGCACATTTCGTTGCTCCCCTCCCCTGGGCATCCTGGGGGGAAATTTTAGACAGTCCTGGATTTCCCAAGATGGATTGATCACAGGATATAGAAAGGATATGTCTCCAGGCTCTGTCATGCGAAAAGCTTTCCCTGATGATCAGTTTGTAGAGTAATAAAAGCACAGGGTTCTTGGAATTTTCCTCAAGGTGGTGCTTCCAGATATTGCACAAACTCTGCTGACTGTAGGGATGGTTCACATGTTATATTACAGGCACACCTAAGGCAATAGTAAGTGTACGCTTGAAAATGTAAACTGAATATGGCAAACCAATAATTGCCAAGAGGTACTCCCATCACAGGACAGACTAAAGCATAATAAAGTCACTATTGCTGTGTCTAGAGCATGTTGCAGAATCGTTGTTGTTGCTGGCTACTCATCTGTCTCGAGAGACAATGGAGTGCGCCTCTGGGGCTGATATCAAACCGCTGTGTTAGCAGCACCGAAGTGACATGGAGATCCTGGGCTGCCCAGTCGACACAACCTCCTTTTCGCCTCACTGATGTGGCCCTAAGGAAAGCACAGCAATACGTTTGGCGCCAGCTTGACTGCAGGAGTTGCCAGAAGGAGGCATACAAGGCACCATCCAACCATCTTAGGGACTCCACTCCAGATTTGTGTAGGGTTTAGAAGAAGAAGAAGAGTTTGCATTTGATATCCCACTTTATCTCTACCCGAAGGAGTCTCAAAGCGGCTAACATTCTCCTTTCCCTTCCTCCCCCACAACAAACACTCTGTGAGGTGAGTGAGGCTGAGAGACTTCAGAGAAGTGTGACTGGCCCAAGGTCACCCAGCAGCTGCATGTGGAGGAGCGGGGAAGCGAACCCGGTTCACCAGATTATGAGTCTACCGCTCTTAACCACTACACCACACTGGTTCTCAGTTTACTCCTTCCAAAGATATTCTGCAAGGCAGCAGAGGTTTAGGATGAGAGTTCCCTTCTCCTAGATAAACTACGTTCCCAGGTGGACAAGTCCCATTTGCTCCTCACTTCCCTCTGCAGCATGTGCAGAAACTACTTTCTTGACCACCGGACCCGCTATTGGAACACTGTTGCAGGATACGCCCTCAATAACACACCAATCTGGAGAGGGCTTTTCGGGCTGCAATCCTGCACATACTTACCTGGGAGTAAGTCTCATAGAATGCAATAGAACTTGCTTCTGAATGGGCAAGCATAGGATTGCACCGTTAGGAGCTAATTACTTCCCTACACTGAACTATTGCTTACATTTGTCGAACTTCTTCCCAACAGATATGGGAAAAGACCCCTCTGTACAGGCTTTTAAAGCATCATTGAAGACCACTTAATTGAGGCCACCTTTAACCGAGGTGCTGATTAGACATCTCAACTGGTTATGAAGCCGTAGTGCTGCTGGTGTGAAATGGATTCAATTGTTCCCATCGGTTAATTACTGAGAACTAGTATCGCAGACTCTGGCAGCCAGCTGCGGCGGGAAAGTTGACATCTAAGACGAAGATGGCGAGAGGATCTGGCTCAGCTTTAGATTTTGATGCTAAATGGTTTAGCGTTCCACGTCAGATGGACTCCAGCTTCCTATCTGCAGCCACGACATGGAAGTAGCGCTTTTGCCTTGAACCACATAATATTTGCAAGTTCATTCTCAGGAAAGCTTCGATTTTCACTCACCAGTATTCCCCTTTCATCTGTATTCTGATTCATCGTTTGCAGCTGCCCATCCACCACTTCCGTAGAAGCTTTGATTTAAGATGATTCGCCTATATATTTGTCTATTTTGCTAAATAAGGGGGGGGGGAGCTGAGGATGTTGTCATCAATTGCTTTCTTTCTGCAAGTTTCACAATCACAGCACTTCCTTCGGTCTCACTTTTCTTAAAAATATATTCATACGTTTTTTGGACAAATCTACACATTGGGGAGGGGGGCTTGCAGAAATGATGACATTGCCTGAATGTTGGCAAATGGAAAGGCAATAGGGGGCAAATATAGCATTTCCCCATTTAAGTATTGCTGCATCTTTTGAGAGGGTGAGAAATGTTGAGAATGATTCATGTTTCATTTACCAGATAACTACTTAGACAAGGTAATCTGCTGATGAGCAGACTTAGCCAAACACCTCTCCTCTCCTTGGAAGCAGATAGATTTGTGTCTGTGACATCCATACCATTTCTCCCACATCTCACTCAGGGTCAAAGCACAGCTACACACTAAAAGCACAGCCTCTCATTCATTCCCCACTTTTTTCACTGATGGGGTTGAAGGCAGCTTACAGATAAAAACAAAAACCGCTTTAACCATAGAAAAATCAAACATTAAAGTACAATTAAACATTGATAGAATTAAAACTATCCATTTATTTATATAGATATATATATGCTTATTTTTAACATTAAAAAAAAGTTCAAATGATTTAGGACAAACTGCAGATTGGGGTGGGAGGGATACCACTGGAAATAAGCACATTGCTTAAATGGTGTCAAAGGCAAAAGCTATGGGCGTAAATCCTTGTTCCATAGAAGCTTTGATTTAAGATGATTCACCTATATATTTGTCTATTTTGCTAAATAAGAGGGGGGGGGAGCTGAGGATGTTGTCATCAATCGCTTTGTCTCTGCAAGTTTCACAATCACAGCACTTCCTTCGGCCTCACTTTTCTTAAAAATATATTCATACCTCATATATTCATACGTTTTTAGGACAAATCTACACATGGGGGGGCCTTGCAGAAATGATCACAAATCCTTGTTCAGTTTAGTGATGTAACATTTTTTCCCCAATTTCAGTATTATTGCATTAATGTTTTAATATGTCTTCCATATGTGTGTATATATATATATCTGAAATTGTCTCACAGCATTAAATTAGAAGATAGGTTTTTTAAACAACAACAGCAAACTCTGAATCCTTTTGCACTCAGCCCAGATCTCCTGCCCCTCTCTTCCCTTTTCTCTAACTTAAAAAATGCAAAACCTTTGCATACAGTGCAGCTGGGTGCAATGCGAAGTTCAGTGCTGGGGAGATTCCAGGTACCTGCCATTGCAAGCCACAGGAGGGGCTACGCCACACATCACCGTTGGGTACCGAGAGGAATAGGGGCAAGGCAGCAGGTATCATGGGCTCTATGCCTTCAAGCAGGATGGGGGGGGGGAATGGCAGGATCCGTCAGAGGAGGATCTGATCCAGATCCCAAGGGGTGGGGGTGGAGGCAGTTCAAGCAGTGACTTGGATAAATGTCCTGCCCTGGGGTGGCTGGGTGTCCCAAAAGTAGAGGGGGAGCAGTCCAAAACAGCCAAGTGCTGAGGAGCTGGCGGGCTGGCCAACTGGTGGAGCCAGCCAGATCAGAGACAGAGAGAGTTAGAGGGTTGGGTTTGAGGCCCGTCACCAACAGATGCAACACCCCACCCCAACAGAAGAACTCACTTGCAAGTATAGTTTTCTTGCTTGGGGTGAGAATCACGCGAACGGCTCATGCCTTAAAAGAGTGAGGAGACAGCATGCCAGGTGTTGGGACCAGGTCTTGCTCTTATGCCCATCCGTGTCTCCTGTATTCTGCCTACGTACCTTTTGAATCATGTATCCTGATGCTCAGGCGGTGTGCTGATTTCTTTCATAAAGCCTTCAGGATTTCCCAACCCGTGTCTTTCACCCAAGGGTGGGGATCCAGAGTGGGGAGTAAGGGTGCTCAGTGTAGCGCCAATACAACACTCCCAACAATGCATTTGCACCATGCCAACCAAACTGCCCACTGCCTTGCTCTCGCCCTCAGTTGCCAGAAGCGAGGTGCGGCGTTCGGGAGGCTAGAGAGCAACATAGCCCCCACACCACACCACCCTGCTGGCTACTCCTGCCCAAAGGCATCCATGCACATTCCTTGACATATGCAATGTTTATGTGTATCTGTGCCATAGGCCTGCAGCCCACATCCTGTAAGTACTTAGCAATATCCCTGGAGGCAGGGATGAGAGGACACCTACTAGAAAGGTGAAGGTGTGCCAAAGGGGTGAAAGGTTCCCTTGTATTCAGAAGCCTTTCTCTTGGGAATTACAGGGATAGAACAACCTAAATTGTATAGAAATTTATTCATGTATGCGACTACAGCGGGGAGAATGTTACTTGCCCCAAAATGGAAAGAAGCAGAAATCCCAGCAAAGGAAGAATGGATACAAAAACTTATGGAATATGCAGAAATGGCGAAACTTACCGGAAGAATAAGAAATCAAGATAACAAACATTTTTATAAAAGAATGGAAATAGTCTATTGAATATTTACAGATAAATTGTAAACAGATAAAAACACTGGGTGGATTACTGTAATGACCTGCAACTACATAAGAGTATATATTTAAAGAAGATGAATAAATGAGTAAGTTAAGTTAATTTGGATATGCAGAAGACATTAAAAATAAACTTAAGGAACCGCAGAAAGAGGGGGAAGGAAGTCAAGTTTTTAAATGTCAAAATGACTGCAAAATCAGTTAGATAGATAGATGATAGATATAGATAGATAGGAAAAGTATAAATAATATTTTTTGTTTAAAAAGGTTCCCTTGCATCACTGCACACGCTTAAATCAAAACAAAAGAGTATCACTGTTGTGATCACTATCAGCCTGACTGCACCTAACTAGACATTGGTGCCACCAACATGCTTCTCCTTTCCCTGTCTAATTAGTAGTACCTAGCAATACAGGTGCCTGATGTGATGTCATTGCACTTGGTCTTTCCCTGTTTCAGCTCCATTCAGAGTGTGGGAAACGTTGAGAATGATGGTAACACTTTTTTTTTTACTAGGCGACTACTATGACAGTGTACTGTGCTTACTACAGTGGTAGTTGTGCTTACTACTACAACCCTCCCTTCCTTGGAAGCAAAGAAATTTGTGCAGTCTATGCATAAGTTTTCTCCCGCATCCGTACTCAGGGTCAAACTAGAATTCACACGAAAAGCACCGCTGCTGCTGCTGAAAAACGTTCTCTCTCTCTCTCTCTCCTCCCCCTCTAATATCTAGGAGAACTTGATACCTGAGAATGGCAATGGGATTGCACCCGCCAACCCCTGACCTCACATTCAGCATCAGTGTGAAGGGGCTACGTACACATACGTGGAAGAACACACAGGGGGGAATTATTGTGCAAATGGAAAGTTGATCTTAGCACTACGTTGGAGACAACTAACTGTCTTGCTACCAGCCCTCTATCTTGCCAGAACTGCATCCTCCATGTGACCAGACTGTGGAACTGCCTCTCAATCTTGCCTTTGACCTGCTAGTTATGCACCCAAGTCCCTGGCCAGTTTGTGGGCCTTGCTGTAGACTCTTCTCCAGCCTGTCCTAGCCTGAAACTTGTGGAAGTGAATAAATCT